TCAAACTAAAAGTACAATGAATCACAATAAACGTATAAATGTATGATTTATTATTTATTGACTATTTTGACATGTTTTTATAAAAACTAGAGGTATAAATTGACTTGGATTGAACAATTCTATTGAGTTTTCAATGTTTAAACTGAACCTTTAATAAGCGTAGAAATTTATGTATAATTATTTATTGAATATTTCAATATACTTCTACAAACAAAATGAGTTTAATCAATTAAAATAATTGATTTATTTACTAATCAAATACAAATTAAACTTAAATATATTAATCATAATTACGAAAATGTTTGATGAATTTACCAATTTACCTTATGATTTATTATATTGAAATATAATAAATAAAAATTAAATATTTGAAATATGAGCCGTTTATGTGCACTAAGTGCACTTCATTATTGACAATTTCTGAAAGTGCGGATTTTATAATTTTTAAAGGCTTTAATGTAGGTGTTTACGCAAGTGTTTCACAGATGCTCACGAAGGTGTTTCTAATCGCTGGTGTTCAATTATAGATAGGTGTTCATGCAGGTGTTCCATTAAACACGGGTGTCCATACAGGTGTTCACGCAGGTGCTTCTTATTCAGGCAAGTTAACGATTTCCAGTCCAAATTTATTTTCAAAAAAAAAATTGTTTTATTCAAATCTTTATAAAAGCACTTACTTAATCATAAAAACATCTTATTTGTTTTTTTTTTTCATTATTCAATAGTTGCATCCAACAGTTTTAATCTTCGAAAGACAAAATTATATTTAAAAATTAATGATTCTAATTGGATGGATGGAAAGGGTAAACAACGAGTAAATGCTCCAAATAAAATTGCAGAATTATCTATTTGTTTAGAGTAATAAATCTGGAAAAGATTATTTTTAAGAGAAAATACGAATTATGAAATATTACAATCAGAACCTCGCATAGTGCAGATTATTTAAAACGTGACTATTCGAGGACTTTAAATTATTTTATTTTTTAAATTTAGTTTCTTTAGAAATTTTGAACTCAGATAATAGATTATAATCAGCACTATTCGAATTATTGCTCTATTTTATTTCTGCAAAAATCTAGCATTAAATTCGTTGATTTTAATGCTGTCAGAAGCTATGATTACAATCATGATTGGCAGAATTTACACTAGAAACACCTCCAATTTAGTGCGTTAGTTGCCCCAATTACAATGCAAATATTGTAATCTAGTCCATTTCCGTCTATTAACCATGACCATGAACACCGTATTTTTAGAGTTATCTTCAAGGAACATTTCTTATCAAAATACAACCCTCATTGAAACATCTTTACTGAAAACAATTCTTTATTTATAAACTAATATAGCATAGTGCCGTTTCTGTCGGACTGTTTGAAAACCGCATAAATTTTAACTGCACAATAAGAGACTTTATTATATAAAGAGTAAAAATCATTTATGTATAAAAAATAATTTTGTATACTAAGTTTTTATCAAAATTCTGATCAAATCCGCATTATGATAAGTATTTGTTTACATTTTATTTATATTTTTATTATCATTAATTAGAATTTATGAACATAAAATAAATTTTTTCAAAATTATTATAAAATTTAAAGAAAAAATACAAAATATTTGAGCGTAATATGGAAATAAATCATTTATTTTAGCAACAATTATCTTAGATATTAATTGAATTATTGTCTTGTCCACTTATATAATTATTACTTTCGATACACAAAAAAACTTAATTTTTAAAGTTTAAAACAAATACTGTTCTTCTACAAGCATAAAACTTATTTGAAAAAAAAAACAAATAAACAGAACTAGAAAACAATGAAAGATAAATTTAAAAAATAATGAACACGAAATTATATTATAAAAAAAATTGAAATATTTTTATATTTTTTTTTGCTCGTTTTAATCTAGACTTATTTTAAATGTACAAGGCCATTTCCACTTACCGTATGAAATTTATGTCGCCGTGTTGAAATAAACCTGATGCTATAAATGTCACATTCATTTTTCTAAATGTATTGCCAAATCCAATTGATATAAACCCCCCCAAGTTTTCGGTGACTAATTGAAAGTGTTGTCCACTCTATCCAGACATATCTGGTTTATCCATCCATTAACATTAACCATACTTTATTGTGAAATGTTGCAAAACTGTGCGAACAACAAAAACAATTCATTGTTCCAAAAGTAACAACATTGATCGTGGGTTTGCTCTTGTTTCCTTTTAAAATAAAGTGAATTATTCATATTGAAGCATTTATTCTTTTTTTTCTACAAATTTAGTTAATACAAATTGTAGCATTATCAAGATTAATACTAGTTAGCTAAAATTATGCAATATTTCATTTAGTTATCATTCGTACCAAGTTTAAGACAAAAGAATAAAAAAATATTCTTAACGTGCGTTCGCTTTTTATTTCTTTGGTTTATTGGCGGTGGGATGTAATAAATATGCATTGCTTTTATAAGAAGTATATTATAATTCTCTTTACGTGGTTTTACGTACGCAGGTGGTTTTTCCGTAAACCTGGTGGTTTTGGTTAAAAAAGGTAACAAAATGTAGAAAGTGTGTGTTTCTGATATCATTCACATAAACCCATTACATAAGTAGGGAAACGAACCGCAAGTACTAATAGGGAATTCACATTACTTATAAGAAAAATATTTCTTTTTTGTGTGAAATGGAAAATACAAAATTTTGCAATTTTTCTACATCTGACGTATTTTCTTAATTGATTCGATAATCCTAAATACATTAATAAAGTGTTAAATAATATAATTAATCTAATTTAATTATTCCACTTCACTAAGTTTTCAAAAAAAAATTAAGTAAATAAAAAGAAAACAATAAAAAACTGGAGTTTTTTTTATAAATATTTCTTAACAATTGATCTTTTTCCAATATTTTTTTAAGAATTTACTTAACTTTATCGTAACATTTATAAATAAATCTAAAAGAAAGAATAGATACGATTTATAAATTTCTTAGATTATATAAACATTTTTTAAATGATCTCAGGGTAGTTTGAGGAGTAGAATTCCCTAAAGAATAATAACATTTCGAGAGTCTGCAAATCCCACATGCCGATACTTGGAAGAAGGCAGGTAGGAAACTGACTGGTCCGAGCTTAATTATGTAAGGGAATTACCGGAGCGTAGAACAGGTTACATGAAAATATTTTTGTTTCGGTTATTTGATGTAAGTACCACGAAATCCGGCAATCTTGCAATTTTCATTCTTTTCTTTTTGTTTGTTTGTATCATTATCCTTCTATAAAAAGGACAACAACAACGTTCAGAATTTATACGAAAAAAAATATAAAGAACAAACGAATTGAAAGAAATGTAAGACAATTGTGTAATTATCAATAAAATGATATAAGCGTTGTTTCGGCCTTGGTTTCATTGGTGGAGGAACGGAAATAATAAAGACGGATCGATTGTCTTTGTACTTTAATTGAATATGGAATGTCAGATCAGAAATTCAATTTGGTCTCAAGGTATTGAAGCCAAAGGATGAAACAATTACATTTTTGTCTGTTTTATTTATTATACATTATAATTTGTTTGTTTTTAATTTTACAAAAGTTTTCGATTTATTTAAGAATAAAATAAATGTTAGTAAAACTGTAGTCAACCCTTGAATAACACGTGTTATTCAATATTATTTGAGTAATTTGACTGAATAAATAATAGCATATAACATAGAAGTTTTATTTATTGTTAACAAAAATATAAATCCATATGTGATTGTTTGTAATTTAAAAAAAAAACAATTTTCTAAGTGAATAATCCTATAAGTGTTTGTGTTACAATAATTATAAGTAAAACTGTAGTCAATTTTCTAATAACACGGTTTTGCATAGAAGGGAATCATAAAAACGTGTTATTTGAGGGTTGACTGTATATTAAATATTATTTGAATAACTTGACTGAATCAATTAGAGCATAAGACATAATAATTTACATACAATCATTTTAATTTTAAAATAGTTTTTATTTGTTTAATTGAATATCAAGAATAAACTCATTTTAATACAAAATACAACAAAAAATAATATGTTTTATTGGGGTCTTTTTCAATAGACTAGACTGTCTATTGAAATCCCGACGTTCGATATCTCGACTGTATCGAAATCCCGACTATATCAAAATCTTGACAACCATAATCCCGACTATATCAAAATCCCGACTATATTAATATCCCGACAAACATAATCCCGACTATATCAAAATCTTGACAACCATAATCCCGACTATATCAAAATCCCGACTGTATCATAATCCCGACTATATTGGAAATTTATACAATAATATTTTTAAATTATTTCAGAGCGTGTCACCTTATGTTACACTTTTATTATTAAGAACAATAAATTATTATTAATTTATTTGATTTTATTGAATTATTCATAATAAACCTTAACATTATGAAATAATCTCAAATACGATTAGATTATTAATTGTTATTATTTATTATTAATAACAAAGTCACTACGCTCTGGAATAATTTAAAAATGTTATTGAAGACATTTTCGATATAGACGGGAATTTAATACAGTCGGGATTACGGTTGTCGAGATTTCGAACGTCGGGAATTTGATTGACGGTATTTCGGTTGTCGGGCTTGCGATTGCCACTGATTTCTTTGTATACGTGATGTATGCAACACAACTTACAATTAAAAATCAGTAATGCATAATAAATAATTTAGAAACATTAATTGTATATTACATTGAATACTACAAATAAATATTTATTAACATACAGTTAATTATTTATTATATAATTATTATGTAATCACAATAAAAAATTAACTGTTACAAATTGAGTGGAACATATGCAACAATATTTTCATGTACATATTTATTAGCCAGAAACAGACAGGTAAACTGTACATTTTAATTAATGAAACAATTATGTAACGGTTTATAAAATATTTGTCGTGGAGCGCACTTGCAGCGTTGTCGATTTTACCACGTTACAATTCTTTCATTGTTAATTTATTTATATTATTATTGGAACTACTTGGAACAAAGAGTTAACGACTCGTATTAATTTAATAAAAAAGAAAACCAATTTAATTATACACTCTTCTTCTTTCAAAGAAGAAACTATTTAAGCTTCAAGTTTTTTTTAAGTCCAAACCACATTCCACCTTCCACGGTCATATTGAAATGCTTTTTACTGAGGACCACAGGAATGACTGACTTCTTCACTGGTACGATCTCAAAATGCTTAATAATATGGTAAATCAAAATCTTGGTTTCCATCAAAGCGAATCTGGATCCTGTAAATAAACGATGACGATTTGTTCTTGTATAATTAAAAAAAATGTCATTCTTACCAATGCAATTTCTTGGACCGATTCCAAAGCTAATGAAAGAAGTTGGATCAATTTTGCTTTTGTTTTCATCGCTGAATCTTTCAGGATCGAAACGTTCAGGATCTTCGAAAATATTGGGATCTCTATGCAAGCCGTAAATGGGAAACCAAATTGTACTTCCTTTTGCAAGGACCAATGGTTTTTCGTCTGGTCTCTCAGGAGGAATGGTGTAATCTTTAACGCAAATTCTGTCAGTTGCTGGTGTTGGTGGCCATTTCCTCAGCGTTTCTAAATAAGTGAATTGAAATAAATTATGTTGATTATTAATTGTAGTTGAATTACCAGAAATGACCATGTCCAAATACTTCATCTTCATCAAAGCTTCGTAAGTAATTTTTCCATTGCATTTCTCATCGGTGCTCATAATGTTTTCGCGCAATTTTGCTTGTATATCGAGGTTGATAGCTAACTCGTAAGCTACGTAGCACATGAGAGTCGATGAGGTATCAAAACCAGCCAAGAAAAATATCAAAGCTTGAGCGATAATATCTTCATCGGTGATCTCCATTTGCTTGTTATTACTAACTTTAGTTCCTTCTTCAGTAGCGGCAAATCCCTCAGGAGCTTCGACATTCTCATCATGCATGTTTCCTTTCCTAGCCTCCATCAGCAAATGAATCATATCCGGCCTAACAATGCCTTGCTCTTCACGCATTTTAATTGAATCCTTAATCACTTTTCCGAAGAAGTTAGTCGCTTTCTCTGGGATTATCTTGATCTTCAGCAGCTTCGTAAGCATAGGGCTAACTTGATATATTAATAATTTCAATGCTGCGAGTCCACTGAAATCCGTAGCAATCAAACCCTTCTTGTAGAACTCGTTGTCTTTGTTACGCAACGAGTCGCACTTGATACCAAAAGCCGAAGTTGCTATAACATCATTGGTATAACGCGTGAAAATATCTTTCATCTCTACAGTAATGACATCCTCCTGCTGCTCTTTGAAGTAAAGCACAAATTCCTCGGCGCAGTTCGTTATCAAATTAAACATTAATTTCATTTTGCTGCTGGTAAAAGACGGACTTAAAGTGGTGCGCATTTTCCTCCACTTTTCACCTAAAAATATACATAACACTAATTATAAATAATGGAATATGTTATAATTTATAATTTACCAGTGCTTGCCGCTAGATTTTTGCTCCATAACGGATCAATTTCTTCACTAGGAAATCCTGGATGATCGTGGAAATGATCAAAACTTTTTATACCAATCTTTTTGATGAGCTCCAAATCGTTGATTATTAATATCGGCGTTGTAAATTGATAACATCCAAAATACCTTCAAAGCAAATTAGATTTTTAACATGTAAAATTATTCAATTCTTCCTGGCAACAAATTTACATCGTTTTCATTTGTACTTTCAATTATAATTACTTATAAGTATTATGTAAAGTATTAAACATAATATAAAATACCTTTCATTCTTGAATTGATTGTAAAGTCTGTGGATAAATGCTGAAAAGTTTTCTTGTTGAGTTGCAGTCCTGAATATATCCCCAAACAAAAATACTGGTTTGATATGCTTCACTCCCTTATTTTTCCAAAAACTCTGCCTTTTGCTTACGTATACGTAAATCAGTACGAGCAGCAACGCGATTAACAATCCTACCATAATCATCTTTGTAACTGGACTAAATAAACATCAACAGTCCCCTTTTATATTAAACTGATTGGATAATTCGCTTTAATATGAAAGGTCACGTTAAAAAAAATGATACCGCTTGAAAAAATCAACCAGAATTGTATATTATATTCTTTTCAGAAACTTTTTTTAACATTTTTGTAACATATTGTACTAAATTAAATATGTAACTAGAATTGTCTTTATAAAGTAAATATTTAATAAAAGTCAATAAATATGTTAATTAAAGATAATATTTTCAGATTATCTCATTTTTTAGTTTCCTTAAGGAATAGATGTTTTGAATATGGCTGTAAATAAACAAAAACTGTTTTAAGATATTTATTTTTTAATACATCAAAACGTGTAGTAAACACTGTAAAAATGTAACTGATAAGTAAATACTTATTATTATTTGAGATAGGAGTAAATGCGACAAATATATAATTTTAATCACTAAAATTAAGTTTGTTTGTTTAGTGTAATATAAAGATTTCGATAAATATACTTGGTTTCAGTCAGAATTTTGATTTTTGCTTAAACAATGTTCTTCCAATGACTGCAATATTTAAGCTTTAAGCTTTTTAAGTCCCAACCACATTCCACCTTCCGCGGTCATATTGAAATGCTTCTTACTAAGAACAACAGGAATGACTGACTTCTTCACAGGCACGATTTCAAAATGCTTAAGAATATGGTAAATCAAAATCTTCGTTTCCATCAAAGCGAATCTGGATCCTATAAATAAACGATGATGAGTTTAATTGTACAATATAATTGAAACACTCTTACCGATGCAATTTCTTGGGCCGATTCCAAAGGTTAAGAAGGAAGCCGCATCTATCTTACTCTTGTTTTCATCACTGAATCTTTCAGGATCGAAACGTTCTGGATCCTCGAAAAGATTAGGATCTCTTTGCAAGCCGTAAATAGGAAACCAAATCGTAATTCCTTTTTCGATGATTAATGGTTTTTCGTCTGGTCTCTCAGGAGGAATGGTGTAATCTTTAACGCAAATTCTGTCAGTTGATGGTGTTGGTGGCCATTTCCTCAGCGTTTCTAAATAGAACAATTGCATTCAAATTATGTCTATTATTACATTTGCTTATTTCACTTACCAGAAATGACCATGTCCAAATACTTCATCTTCATCAAAGCTTCGTACGTGACTTTTCCATTGCATTTCTCGTCGGTGTTTGTAATGTCTTTGCGCAATTTTACTTGTATATCGACGTTGATAGCTAACTCATAAGCTACGTAGCACATGAGTGTGGATGAGGTATCAAATCCAGCCCCAAAAAATACTAAAGCTTGAGCGATAATGTCTTCATCGGTGATCTCTATTTGCTTGTTACTACTAGCTTTGGTTATTTCTTCAGTTGCTGCAAATCCCTCAGGAGCTTCGACTTTCTCATCGTGCATATTTCCTTTCCTAGCTTCCATCAGCAATTGAATCATATCCGGCCTAACAATGCCTTGCTCTTCACGCATCTTAATCGAATCTTTAATCACCTTTCCAAAGAAGTTAGTCGCTACCTCTGGCAGAATCTTAATCTTCAGCAGCTTCGTAAGCATCGGACTAATTTGATACATGAAGAATTTCAAAGCTGCAAGTCCACTGAAATCCGTAGCAATCAAACCTTTCTTGTAGAACTCGTTGTCTTTGTCACGCAACGAATCGCACTTGATACCAAAAGCTGAAGTTGCTATAACATCGTTGGTATAACGCGTGAAAATGTCTTTCATCTCTACAGTAATGACATCCTCCTCATGCTCTTTGAAGTAAAGCACAAATTCCTCAGCGCAGTTTGTTATCAAATTAAACATTAATTTCATTTTACTGCTGGTAAAAGACGGACTTAGAGTGGTGCGCATTTTTCTCCATTTCTCACCTATAAATAAACGCAACACAAATTATTAAATAATTCAATATATTATTAGTTTTTTTTTCAAATTTACCAGTGCTAGCCACCAGATTTTTGCTCCACAACGGATCAATATCTTCACTAGAAAATACAGCATGATCGTGGAAATGATCGAAATGTTTTATACCAATTTTCTTGATCAGATCCAAATCTTTGATCATTAATATCGGCGTTGAAAATTGATAAAATCCAAAATACCTTAAAAGCAAATTTATTACAAAATTATTAAAAATTATAGCAAATACCTTTCATTCTTGAATTGGTTGTAAAGTCTGTCTATATATGCCGAAAAGTGTTCTTGCTGACTTAAAGTTTTGAACGTATCACCTAACAAGAATACAGGTTTATTATGTTTCACTCCCTTATTTTTCCAATAGTTTTGCGGTTTGATTACATATACGTAAATCAGTATGAGCAGCACCGCGATTAACAATCCCACCGTAATCATTTTTGTAACTGGACTACAGGAACATCATCAGTCCACTTTTATACTCCCACTTAAAGTCACTTCAACTCAACGAGAATTGCGCAATGTGTGTAAATTCAAAAAAAGAAGTATCAATATCACTATCATATTGATTTTGTATTACTGTTTTTGAGATAAAATTGTTTGATTTTTTTTTGTAAAAGTTCATATTGTAATTTAACTAATTTAATTATTAGGAATAAAAAGATAATTAATGTATTGGATAATTATATAAATAATATAGTGATTATCGCTTTTCTATCATATTATTAAAGATAAATCTTCGATCTTTGGTGGCTTTGGTACAGGGTTTGAAGAAACCAATTATAAATAACTACAATGTCGGCAACCGTGCGAACATACTCTTATTTTACCTGGATAGTCTGGAATCTGAGCCACCTACAAATCATATACAGTGAGGCAGCAGCAAGGAATTCTCAACTTTGTAAAATTTTAAAATATTCACTTATAACTTATAAATCCAAATGATACGACATAATATACATTTGATATGTAGAAAAAAAATGAAAATAAATTGAAAAATTCCATAATTAAACAAAATATGTCAAGATTCTTCATATTTGAGTATTTTTTTTTTTATTTTTTTCCATTTTTTTTATATAAAGTTGAATTTTGCTTTATTTTACTATATATCAAATCTAATAAATAATAAGCGAATATGTTAAAATTTTAAGTGTCTGTTGCTGAGTTCATCCCTCTCTGATTATAATGTATAAGTAATAAATATGTTGAAATCAAATAAAATATTTTATATAAAGTTTATGTTTTTCCTAATCTTATAGAGCATAAGTACAATTGTATTTTTAGATTATCTGTATTTCCTTTATTTCCCTAGAGAATAGTTGTTTTTTTTAAACGATTACAATGGTTACTATGGCTATAAATAAATGACATCTGTTCAACGGTATTTATTTTTTAATAAGTCAACATTATAAATATGAAACTGATAAGTACATATTTATTATTACTATTATTTGAGATAGGAATAAATGTAAAAAAATATAAATGATATAACTTTGTTTGATTTGTTTGAAATAAAGATATTGATACATTTTCTTAATTTGAATAATAACGTTGATTTTCGTTTGAACAATGTTCTTTCAATGAAGAACATTTATGCGTCAAGTTTTTTAAGTCCAAACCACATTCCACCTTCCGCAGTCATATTGAAGTGTTTTTTACTCAAGACCACAGGAATAACAGACTTCTGCACAGGTACGATTTCAAAATTCTTAAGGATATGGTAAATCAAAATCTTGGTTTCCATCAAAGCAAATCTGGACCCTGCAAATGAATGGTGAAGGTGAATATGCTTGCAACAAAAAGATCATTCTTACCAATGCAATTTCTTGGACCTATACCAAAAGTTATGAAGGACGCCGCATCTATCTTGCTCTTGTTTTCATCGCTGAATCTTTCAGGATCAAATCGTTCCGGATCTTCGAAATGATTGGGATCTCTTTGCATCGCGTGAATGGGGAACCAAATTACGGTTCCTTTTTCGATAACCAACGGTTTCTCGTCTGGCCTCTCAGATGGAATGGTGTATTCTTTAATACAAATTCTATCCGTTATGGGAGTTGGTGGCCATTTCCTCAGCGTTTCTAAAGAATTGAATTCAATCTATTATGTTTATTAAATGTATTTCTTTCAATTACCAGAAATGATCATGTCTAAATACTTCATCTTCATCAAAGCTTCGTACGTGATTTTTCCATCGCATTCCTCATCTGTCTTCATAATGTCTTCGCGTAATTTTGCTTGAATATTGGGGTTTACAGCTAACTCGTAAGCTAAGAAGTACATGAGAGTCGCTGAGGAATCAAATCCAGCTACAAAAAATATTATAGCTTGAGCAATAATATCTTCATCGGTAATCTCTGTTCGCTTGTTTTTAGTAACTTTAGTGACTTCTTCATCTTCATCCATATTTCCTTTCCTGGCTTGCATCAGCAAATGAATCATATCCGGTCTAACAATGCCTTGCTCTTCGCGCATTTTAATCGAATCCAAGATGACTTTACCAAAAAAATTAGCTGATTTATCAGGAATGAGCTTGTACTTCAGCAGCTTGGCAAGCGTTGGGCTAATTTGGAACATGAAGAATTTCAAAATTTCGATGCCACTAAAATCAGTGATGGACAATCCATTTTTGTAAAACTCGTTGTCCTTGTCACGCAATGAATCACACTTAATACCAAAAGCTGCAGTCGCTATAACATCATTGGTATAACGCGTGAAGATGTCTTTCAACTCAACAGTTATGACATCCTCTTTCTGCTCTTTGAAGTAAAGCGCGAATTGCTCGGCGCAATCATTGAGCAAATTGAACATTATCTTCATTTTGCTGCTTGTGAAAGATGGACTCAGCGTGGTACGCATGTTCCTCCATTTCTCCCCTAAAACACAAATCACGTAAAATTTAACGCAAAAAAAAGTTTTGATAAGTTACCATTGATTGCGAATAGATTTTTATTCCACAAAGGATCGATGTCTTCGTGCGAATATCCGGGGTGATCGTGGAAATGATCGAAATCTTTGATACCGATTCTTTTGATGAGATCCACATCGTTGATCATCAATATCGGCGTTGTAAATTGATACCATCCAAAATATCTTAAAAACAATTTTTTTCTCTAATTATAATAATGAAGCCTGTCATTCTCGTCAACATATTTCCTAAACAACTTACTGTTGCCATGGAAAGTTTGCTATACTTGACAAGTTGGTTAATAATGATTTTTTTTGTAACAAAACTATATTTACATCTGTTATAATTACGTAAATTAATAAATGAACCTTGAAGTGAAATCAAATTAAAATACCTTTCATTCTTGAAGTTGTTGTAGATTCGTTCAACGAACGTCGAAAAGTTTTCTTGTTGTAAACTAGTTTTGTAGGTATCTCCAAACAAGAATACAGGTTTATTATGCTTCACTCCCTTATTTTTCCAATAGTTTTGCGGTTTGATTACATAAACGTAAATCAAAACGGAGAGGACCGCAATGAACAATCCTATCGTAAACATCGCTGCGACTCGACTAAACGAACGGCAGCAAACACATTTTATTGAACGAGAATAATCTCAAACATAACTTCAATTTGATATGGTTAAAGAAAAACTAAAACCAAAATTTGATACGATAAAAAATATGTTCAGTTATCTGTGTTACTTTTAACACAGATTAATGCAAACTTAATTAATAATCATAAATAAAAAATCTTGTTTTACAACAAAAATAATCGCTACTAAAATATCAAACAAAACCATTTTATAAATAATAAATTAATGAGGAGAATTTAAAAAAAATTGTGAAAATTTATTTAGATTTTCTATTGCTAAAATCCAAATTTTGTAATTTAATATCAAAATAGTTTTGATATAATTTTATATATAAACTTGAATTTCTTGACGAGTTAAAAACATTTAAACTAAATTATATAAAAAATAATGAAAATCTCACAAGATTATTTGTTACAAATCAAATAATAACTACGTTACATAAATGATATAAATAGAACTGAACGTTACATAATCAATTAACGCGACTATTGCGGAAATGACATTGAAACTCTTCACACGCAATTACTGAAGATTCTCATTAATAAACTACACATGTATTTCTACATCATTCGTATTAAGGTGCAACATGTAAATATTTACAAGTAAATAAACACTTTAAATTCTTAAATTTTCATTATTGTTGCATCAAATATGTTGAAAAATAGTCATTTGTACAGTTAAGGAATATTTAATATAAAAAACGAATTTGGATCCTGCAAATCAATGATAACAAATTTACTTTCAATTATGATTGAAAAAAAAAATATCATTCTTACCAATACAATTTCTTGGACCTATTCCAAATGATATAAAGGAATTAGGAACAATTTTACTCTTGTTTTCATCACTGAATCTTTCGGGATCAAAACGTTCTGGATTCTTGAAAAGATTGGGATCTCTTTGTATCGCGTAAATGGGAAACCAAATTAAAGATCCTTTTTCTATTACTAAAGGTTTCTCGCCTTGTTTTCGAAGGAGGAAAGTATAATCTTTGTCACAAATTCTGTCAGTTGCTGATGTTGTTGGGTACGCGGTACGCATGTTCCTCCATTTCTTCCCTATAAAACGGATATATTAAGATGAAATAATTGTAATTAGGATACTTATCATTTACCTTTGCTTGTGAACAGAGTTTTACACCATAAAGGATCAATTTCTTAGTTTGAGAATCCTGGATTCGTGATGCACATTGATGCAACTTGATCAAATCCAGATCATCAATATCAGAGTCGTAAATTAACACTATCCAAAATAACTTTAAAATAAGTTTATTACTATAGTATAATAAAGTATTAATAGTACCATAATACATACTACCGACACTATTTGTATACCGTGTCCGGTCGGAATGACCAGATCTTAAAAAAGTTAGTGTTTTTATAATTAAATGTAAATAATAGTAAATACTAATTGAAATAGTATAACAACAACTTCCATACAATAACGATTCAAATTTATTTTTAAATAATTTCAATTAATAATAATAATTATAGTATCATTTATAGTTATTACATACATTGTAGCTATTACTTACTTAAGTAAAATCAACTTACCTTTCATTTTTTCATTCGTTCAATTAAGGACGTAATGTTTTTTTTATAGCAACGCAGTTTTCAAGGTATCCCCAAACAAGAACAATGGTTTATTATGCTTCACTTCCTTATTTTTCCAATAGTTATGGGGTTTGATAATATAAACGTAAATTAGAACGCAATTAACAATCCTATTATAATCATCGTTACTACTATACTAACGTATGGCAGCAATAACAAAACTATAAATTTGTTACAAGTTTGAGAAATTCAAAACAACATCATGAGTGTAATTATCAAAAAAATATGTGTTAGTCACTCTTATTTGTCTGTGCTTATTTTTAGCTGTTGATTAATAACAAATTAAAAACTGGTTTTATAGCAACGAAATGATACTATATAAATAATAATTAATTATAACAATTTAAATAAAAAAATTCAATTTAAGATCAAAACTAACTAAACAATTAAATTATTGATTTATTAAGAAATAATACCTAAAATCGATAAAAGTTGAAAATTTCACAAAATATTTTAAGTAATGAAAATTTCATATCCGCATAATTATTGAATTAATTTTCTATTTTGAAAAGTTAATTCACTATTATTTACAAACAAAATGATATTTCTGTTACATAATGCGACTATTGAAATGACATTGAAAATCGCATTTACTGATGAGGCTAAATTTCATTTAATCTTGCAGCAAAATATTTTTTTCATTTCAAATTGGCATTAATTTAAGTAAACAATGATCATTTATAACAAAGTTAGAAAATATTCTTTAAAATAATTTATTTCATACAACAGAAATCAATTCAATTATAGATAATAAACTTTGAATTAAAAAAATATTTATGCCTCAAGTTTTTTGAGTCCCAACCACATTCCACCTTCCGCGGTCATATTGAAATGTTTTTTACTAAGGACCACAGGAATGACAGACTTCTGCACTGGTACGATTTCAAAAGTCTTAAGGATATGGTACATCAAAATCTTGGTTTCCATCAAAGCGAACCTGGATCCTGTAAATAAACGAAGATGAATTTATTTGCAAACTATAATTGGAATATTCTTACCGATGCAATTTCTTGGGCCGATTCCAAAGGTTATAAAGGACGTCGGATCTATCTTGCCCTTATTTTCATCACTAAATCTTTCAGGATCGAAACGTTCTGGATCCTCGAAAAGATTGGGATCCCTTTGTAAAGCGTAAATGGGGAACCAGATTGTGGTTCCTTTTTCTACTATTAATGGTTTCTCGCCCTGTCTCTCAGAAGGAATGGTGTAATCTTTGACGCAAATTCTGTCAGTTGATGGTGTTGGTGGCCATTTCCTCAGCGTTTCTAAATAGAAGAATTATAATCAGATTATGTTGTTTATTAAATTTATTTATTTCATTTACCAGAGATGACCATGTCCAAATACTTCATCTTCATCAAAGCTTCGTACGTGACTTTTCCATTGCATTTCTCATCGGTGCTCATAATGTCTTCGCGTAATTTTGCCTGAATATCGGGGTTTATAGCTAACTCATAAGCTACGTAGCACATGAGAGTTGATGCTGTATCAAATCCGGCCACGAAAAATATCAAAGCTTGAGCGATAATGTCTTCATCGGTGATCTTTATTTGCTTGTTATTAACTTTAGTTACTTCTTCGGTTGCCGCAAATCCTTCAGGAGCTTCGACTTTATCATCATGCATATTTCCTTTTCTAGCTTCCATCAGCAAATGAATCATATCCGGCCTAACAATGCCTTGCTCTTCGCGCATCTTAATCGAATCCTTAATCACTTTTCCAAAGAAGTTAGACTCTCTGTCTGAGAAAATCTTGACGTTCAGCAGCTTCGCAAGCATCGGACTGACTTGATAAATTAAGAATTTCAGCCCTGAAAAGCCACTGAAATCTGTAACGATCAGACCTTTTTTGTAGAACTCGTTGTCCTTGTCACGCAACGAATCGCACTTGATGCCAAAAGCCGAAGTCGCTATGACATCGTTGGTGTAACGCGTAAAGATGTCTTTCATCTCAACAGTTATGACATCCTCCTTCTGCTCTTTATGATAAGCAGCAAATTGCTCGGCGCAGTCACTCAACAAAGTGAACATCATCTTCATTTTGCTGCTGGTGAAAGATGGACTTAAGGTGGTACGCATATTCCTCCATTTCTCTCCTAAAAACACACATATATTAAGCCTAACTACTTTTCAATAGCTTACTTATCAATTACCATTGCTTGCGAACAGATTTTTACTCCACAAAGGATCAATTTCTTCATTTGAAAATCCCGGATGATCGTGGAAATGATCGAAATCTTTGATAGCGATTCTCTTGATCAAATCCAAATCTTTGATCATCAATATCGGAGTAGTAAATTGATACCATCCAATATACCTTTAAAATTATATTTATAATTTACAAATTTATAAAGATATGATTATTATAAAGATGTTATCACATTTAACAAATGTGAACTAAAAATATCAATTTATTAAAGAATAAAATCAAATTACCTTGCATCCTTGAAGCTGTTGTAGATTCGTTCAACGAACAGCGAAAAGCATTCTTGGAGAAAAGTAATTTTGTAGGCGTCTCCAAACAAGAACATAGGTTTATTATGATTCACTCCTCTATTTTTCCAATAGTTATGAGGTTTGATTATATAAACGTAAATCAGAACGGATAAGACCGCAATGAACAATCCTATCGTAATCATCGTTGCGAGTAGACTAAACTAGCGGCTCCGAACCCATTTAATACAACAACAGTAATCTCACTTAAGGTCACGCTGTTCAATCCGATACGGCTATGCAAAAAAAAATGAAAACATAAAATTGTATACGACTTTGAAAAAATCATAACAGCATTATGCGTATATAATTAGTAAACAACAACAAAAAAAACTGTTGATCACTCTTATTTTTTTGTACGAATATTTTTAGCTCAGATAACTGTTACATCATTAAATAAAAACAAATAAAAAATTGTTAGTATAAACAAAAGTCAACTTTTAGAAAATATGTAAGAAAACCATAATAAATTATGAAAATAAAAATAATGATTTTTCACTTTATTTTTGATTTAATATCAAAATAGTTAATACCATTTCAATTAAAAAATATTAGTTTTAGATAAGATTAATTATAGGCTATAAACACTTGAATTACTTAATGACTTGATCAATTTAAATTGTTTCATTTTAAATAATAACAAATATTTTCTTAAATACACATACGCAATTTCAAATATGTATGTTCAAAATAATATAAGAATCAAAAAACAGGAATAATTTAGTAAAATATATATACACTGGGCAGAAAGACCTATTATCAATAGCCCTTTGTATCAGTGGTTTTTTTTTTGTTTCATTATTATAGTTTGGAAATGTTAATTATGATTTTTTGTATTGTTGCAATTAATAAAAAGTTCTGAGTGTTTTGTCCCATACATCGAGCTTCTTCTTGAGATAAGTATTATGCAAATGGTTCCAAACGGTTTTCTGGCTAATCTTCAGTTCCATGATTTTATCAACATTTTCGACGATTGGCCTAACAGAGCGTGTCTCATCTTCGACGTCCATATTACCAGAACGGAAGCGTTGGAATCAACGCTCTAACACACAACTGGATTCACTAAACACAAAACTGTCAAAGAACTTTTTTAAGCGTTATGTCTCCTTTAAGTCGATGTATAGAATAAAAAAATGCAACGTATACATAATGAGATATGACTCAATAAATCCATCTAACGAAAAACGCTCAGAACTTTTTACTTCACCCAATATTATTATTATATAAACACTTTCACTACGCAGTCTTTAATTGATTATAAACATGATACAAATATGTGTTTTTCAGTCATTATCTATAATATATACTTTCAGTTTTAATAAGATAACAAACTAAAATAGAATAATTTTTAATTAAATTTCACTCTAAAACTAAAAAAACACTCATTCTTAATTGTAAATAAGGTAATATTTTAGTTCTACAACTGATAAATAGAGAATTGAACGTAGAAATGACATTAAAACTCCACACACGTAATTATGCAAGACGCACATTACTAAGCTGCACATTTTTTTCTGCATCATTCGTATTTAATTGTGTAACGTAAATATTTACAAAAAAAAAGTAAATAAACATTTTTTTAAATATCGTGGCCGACCAATTTATTATCATCTATTGTATAATTATTATGTATATTTGTTAGATCTACAACTTTCCTCTTAATTATTACAAATCATATTTCACGTATTCATCAAATATACAATCGTATACTTATTCGTGATTATTTAGAAAAACTTGTGGAATATTTGCAAGGACGTTTACAAATTAAATATAGTTGCGTTTATTTAATCAACACTCAACAGCCTTCTTCCGCCCTACATAACTATGAGATAATCCAGTGTCCAGAGATTTCTCAATGCCCAGATACGACAGTAAGTCCATACATTTGTATTTTTATTGTAGAAATTTAATGTAATATATGTTATAGTTTCCAAGAAAGTAATTAAAATTATAAAGACACTGCTTTTTCCAGCATTAATGTTTTGTTGTTCCAATTATAAACGCGAATTACAGCCAAATGTATGAAACCATAGTAATCTACAAATATTCCCCAAATATCCAACTTTCATACCTATTTTTTGCATCTATTCTATCTATTATAGTTTCCGATAAAATTAATAAAATGTGAAGCCACTGCTTTTACGAACGTTAATTAAGTCATCTTTGAACGCGAATTACAACTAAATAGATGAAGCCACGGAAACAAATAAATAATCACCACATTCCCCGAATATCCAACTTTCATATGCAACTATTGGATCCATTCTATCTATTATAGTATCTGAGAAAATCAAAGATTTAGAAGTAGATTTTCTTGGAAATTAAATATTTGAAAATTGAAACGGTAAAAAAAGTTATGATAATTTTTGAGGAAAGTTTATTTACAAAATTAAAGAACATTAATGCTCTTATTTACTTTATTCACTGTAATTATAATAAATGTTTGTACTTATAACTACTTTTTAATTACTACTTAATTGTGTATTCTCACAATTTAAGCTATTTTAATAGAAAGTAAAGTGTTTTGCTTAGATACTAAATTATACTTGTATTTCTTCTTATTACGAAATAAAAATAGTTCTAAACTAGTTTCGTTTTTAACTCATATTCGATAAAATGAATTGAGCAATTTTGATAAATATTTTTTATTTATTCTTTAATGATTTGCAAGCAATGCCGAAATTATTATGATGCATTTTGATAACAACAACTGACGCAAATTTTACTGATAAAAGGACTTCTTTTTACTATTAAATTATATGAGTGATCGTTTTTCCAAACCCAACCACATTCCACCCTCAGCAGTCATGTTGAAATGTTTCTTGCTCAAAACGACCGGGATGACCGACCTCTCGATTGGCACAATCTTGAAGTACTTCAAGATGAAGTACACGATAATCTTATTTTCCATCAAAGCAAATCTGGATCCTAGATTAAATTAATAGATTAGTTTAATTTGAAGCTTGATTTTCTAAAGTTTCTTACCAATACAATTCCTTGGTCCAACTCCGAAAGGCACGAAAGTACCTGATTTTATTTTATGCTTGTTCTCATCGCTGAACCGTTCCGGGTCAAATTTCGTGGGATCCGGATAGTATTGCGGATCCATGTGCAAGCCGTAAATAGGAAACCAAACCGTCGTTCCTTTCTCGATCGTCACGTCCTTTTCTCCGGGTTTCGATGCTGGGATTACGTAATTCTTCGTGCAAGCTCTGTCAGTAGTTGGAGTTGGAGGCCACTTTCTTAAAGTTTCTACCAAAAAAAAAATCAAAAATTACAATCAAATTATTTGTTTTTAAAGTGTATGGATTACCGGAGACGACCATGTCGAGGTACTTCATTTTCACCAATTCGTCATAAGTCAATTTTCCGTTACAGAGTTTATCGGTTTCATAAATTTCTTGGTACAGTTTTTGTTGGACTTCTTGATCCACGGCGAGTTCATAGGCGAGATAAGTCATGAGGGTTGAGGAGCTATCAAAGCCTGCGATGAAGAATATGATGGCTTGCGCCACAATATCATCATCGGTGATTACAGTTTTTTTTGAGGTGTTATGGTAAGCTGCTTCTTGGGCTGTAGCGAATCCTTCCGAGTTGCTATTCGTTGAATCATCGCTCAATTTACCCTTCTTGGCTTCCATCAGCATGTGAAGAATATCTGGTCGAATTATGCGTTGCTCTTCGCGCAATTTAATAGAATCTTCGATTATACTCTTGAAAAATTTACCAGCCTCTTTGGAAATAATTGTAATATTAAATAACTGAAATCGTAAAATTTGAAAAAGGTTCGTTAAATTAGATTATTATCACCTTTGTGAGAATTGGGCTTATTTTATAGAAGAAAAATCTAAGTCCTTTAAAACCACTGAAATCTGTAATCTCCAAACCTCTCTTATAGAAACCATTTTCAGGATCCTTCAGCGAGTTGCAGTTAACTCCAAAAGCTGCACTCGCTATAACGTCGTTCGTGAATCTGGTAAAAACGTCTTTCATCTCGACCGTGACGATCTTCTCATTTTTCTCAAGATAATATTGGACGAAATTTTCGGCGCATTCTACCATCAAGTGAAAGATCATTTTCATTTTGCTTCCAGTGAAGGAAGGACTGAGCGCCGGTCGCATCTCTCTCCATTTCTGACCTTCAAATTTATTGCATTTATTATAAATTATAACACGCGTAGAATTGCAACATCTTATGAATAACAATTTACGCAATTCATTGATTACCCTTATTGGAAAATAAGTTTTTACTCCAAAGCGGATCGATGTCTTCGGTGCTGAAGCTCACATGATCGGTGAAATAATCGAAGTCTTTAATACCGATCTGCTTGATGAGATCGAGATCTCTGATCATCAGGATCGGCGACATGAATTGGTACCATCCGAAGTATCTAATTACCATTGATCATCAAGATTGAGATTTAAAAATAAAACACATTTTACCTACCGTTCATTACTGAATTGGTTATATAATTTCGTTGTTAACGCGGCGAAAGATTCTTTTCGCCTGACATTATCAAGTGTATCACCGAAAATCGGCACCGGTTTATTATGTATGATTCCTCTGTTCTTCCAGAACTTGTGAGGCTTCAAAATCTTATCGAACCACAAATAAACAAGGAGAGCTATAATGCAAGCCCACAATAACAAGGCCATGGTTTCTAATTAACGAATGTTTTTATTCAACGTGCGCTTTACTTGAAATACAGATAGCGACTGACAAAGTCCACTGCGGAAAAATATTTAGTTAGTTCTGAGTGCGAAGCCAACGCAGAATCCCCCCTTCGGCGTCAACAGAAAATTTTTCGGATTCATCTCGATCTTGCTAACAGTCTTCTCTATAGCCTCGATCGTGAAGAATTTTAGAGCGACGGCAAAGAACATCTTTATTTCCATCAAAGCGAACCTCGAACCGATGCAGTTCCTCGGCCCAGACCCGAACGGTAAATAGGTATATGGGTTAATCTTCTCTTTGTTCTCCTCTGAAAACCTCTCGGGATCGAACTTGTGCGCGTTCGGGTAGTACTTCTCATCATAATGCATAGCAATAGTCGGTACTATAATACCGTTTTCTTTGGTTACATGCAAATCTTTTTCTTCAGGTCTTTCAGCTTTCAGCACAAATGGAACTGTGCATCTCCTGTTGACCACTGGAACTGGCGGCCATTTCCTTAAAGTTTCTGTGAAATAAAGTAAATAATGAAATTCAATAAATTAATATAACTAAATAAAAATTACCTGATACAACCATATCTAGATACTTCAGTGAAGAAAGTTTACTGTAATCAATTGCGCCGGCCTCATCGATCTCCTTTATTAATTTATCTTGTATGTCCGGATTCAACGCTAATTCCAAAGCCATGAAGCTTATAGTGGTCGAAACTGGTTCAAATCCAGCAAAGAAAAACAGCAAGGCTTGAGAGACGATATCGTCGTCAGTTAAATTTTTCGATTCTTTCGTATAATGCTCGTCAACAGTAGCGAATCCAGTGTCATCATCTTTTACATTCTCTTGGTATTCGAGATTACCCTTTTTGGCCATCATCAGCAGTTGAATCATATCAGGACGAAAGATGTTGCTACTCTCACGGGCAGCCAAAGACTCCTTAATTATCCTTCCGAATTTCTTGTTGGTACTACGAGGAAACACCGTAATATTCAGCAACTATAAATAAATAAAATTATTACATAATTTGAACTAACTCATTGAAAAACTAACTTTCATTAATTTAGGCACATTGCTGAAGCCGAAAAATTTCATGATCCTGCTATAAGTCAAGTTCGTCATGTTTTTGCCCAAAGAATAAATCTCGTTTTCCTTCTCTTTCAGCGAGTTGCATTCAATGCCGTAAGCGCAACTAGCTATGATATCATTAGTGAATCTCGTGGATAAATCTTTCATGTCTACAGCGAATTTTGATTTTCCGTTCTTCCTCAGATACTCGAAAAACTTGTGTGATATCTGTATCATCAAATTGCTCATCTCCTTCATTTTGCTGCCGGTAAAGGCGGGACTCAAAGTTGATCTCATCGTCTTCCAGTCTTCGTTGTGCAAAAACAATAAACTGTTTCCGAGGAACGGATCCATGTCTTTGTTGATGATGTCGATGCGATTGACGAAGTTGCTGAATTGCTTTACGAGTAGCTGTTTGATTAAGTCCGGGTCTTTAATCACGAGTATAGGTCTATTGAATTGATGACTTCCGTGATACCTTTAACAAATTTTCTTTTAACTTAATCTATTAAGTTATTTTTACGGGATTTACCTTGTACCAGGACATTCCTTGTATGCGCGTTTCAGCCATTCCAACAGTGATATTTGCCTGAAAATTACGGCGGCTTGCTTTCCGAATACTGGAATACCTTTAACATTGGGCACTCCTCGGTCATTCCAGTAATTCAAGGGTTTAACGAATCTTAAGTAAAATAGTGTAGCGAGTGCTACAATCACTAGCACGTATGGTATCATCTTGTTGATGATGATCGGAACGTACTGATGTATTGACGTAGCTTTGCTTCGTTCTTACACGCTTGTACTTGTTATCAACTGCTGTTTAAAAAAAATAATTATATTTTTAGATTATGTTTTCATATAAACATAAATATTTTGTCCTATTTTTTATTTGCTTATCTTCCAATTATATTGCTTCTTTACAATATTTATTTGTAATATAAAAATCGTTAAATTATATTTATATTAGATAAATGAAATTACATTGTTAATAGTTATATACTAAATGATATGAGATGATTATAATTATAAGAAATTACCATACCGTAATGTAATGATTGCAACTAATAATGATAAATATTAGTTTTATTAGATTTCATTTGCGTACATTACATAATTCAAACTTTATCTCGTGTCAAATGTTTTGAAACTTATTATCTACTAGTGATAACATAGACGATTTGGATTTAATAATTAATTTTATTGTATTATTGCAAAATATAACAGTGAAAGAAATTGTTATAAAAATTTATAAAATATTATTTTATACAGTATCTACATAATTATATTCATTTTAGCTATTCCTAATTGAGAAACCGACCCAGAATCCTCCAATCGGCTTCATTGGAAATTCTTTAGGTGAGAGTTTTAAAGTGCTTGGAGTTTTCTCAATGGCTTCAATCCTAAAGTATTTAAGAGCGACTGCAAAGAACATCTTTATTTCCAAAAGAGCAAATCTTGACCCGATACAGTTCCTCGGCCCTGTCCCGAATGTTAAATAAGTGTACTTATCAACTTTATCCTTATTTTCATCCGAAAATCGTTCAGGATCAAAACGCTCGGGATTCGGGAAGTACTTTTCATCATTTTGTATACCAATTATAGGAATTATAACTCCATCTCCAACGCCAATACACAAATCGGATTCATCAGGTCTTTCAGCCTTTAAAACAAAGGGCACTGTACATGTTCTATGCAAAACGGGAGCACTTGGCCATTTCCTGAGTGTTTCTATGCAAAATATTAAAACATTAAGTGATTCATGAGGTATTATCAATTTTATTATTATACCTGATACTACCATATCCAAGTATCTCATCGATATGATTTTATTGTAATCTATATCTCCAAATCTCTCGATTTCCTCGTAAAGTTTCTCTTGAATATCCGGATTCAAAGCAAGTTCCAAAGCCATGAAACTTATAATAGTGGAGACCGGTTCGAAACCGGCCAAGAAAAACACTAATGCTTGAGCTACAATATCGTTATCTGTTAACATCTTGCGTCCCTCAGTGTAATGTTCTTGAACAGTGGCGAATCCAGTATCATCATCCTTGATACTCTCTTCATATTTTAAATTTCCCTTTTTGGCCATCATCAGCAGTTGTATCATATCTGGTCTAATTATGTTACCGCTTTCACGAGCAGCCAAAGACTCTTTAATGATACTACTGAATTTGGCATACGCGCTTTTCGGCAATACATTAATATTCATCATCTAGAAAGAAAAAATTGTATGACTTAAAGATTATAATTATTAAATTTTCCTTAAACTGACTTTCATCAATTTTGGCATGATATTAAAACCGAAGATCTTCAGCACCCTGACATTATCAAAACTGATCTGTTTTCCCAATTTGTATATATCATTGCTTTTATCTTTCAACGAGTTACATTCTATCCCGTAAGCACAACTTGCTATGATATCGTTTGTGTATCTTGTCGATAGATCTTTCATGTCGACGGCGAATCTGGACTTTCCGTTCTTGCTCAAATATTTGAAAAAGTTATGCGACAATTGCAGCATCAGATCGGTCATCTCCTTCATTTTGCTACCAGTGAACGCAGCGCTCAAAGTTGATCTCATCGTCTTCCACTCTTGGTTATGCAAAAACACTAAGCTGTTTCCTAATAAAGGATCCATGTCCTTGGTGATAACATCAATTCTGTTAACGAAATTCCCAAAATCTTTCACCATTATCTGTTTGATTAAAGATGGGTCTTTGATAACAAGCACCGGTCTGTTAAACTGGTGACTTCCATGGTATCTAATAGTAAACTAATTCAGGTTAACTGGAAATTATATAATTATAAACTTACCTTGTCCCAGGACACTCTTTATAAGTCCGTTTCATCCATTCGATAATATTTATTTTCCTGAAAACAATAGCAGCCTGCTTTCCGAAAACAGGGAAGCCCTTGACATTCGGTACGCCTCTTTCATTCCAGTAATTCAAGGGCTTCACGAATTTCCAATAGAAGAGAAACGCGAAAACCACGATGCTCAACAAGTATGATAACATTTTCTTGCTGTTGCAGAGCATACACTGAGCGTTTCGCGAAATATTGTCTTATGCACTTGACCTTGGTATCAATTATCAAATAAAACACAAAACACATTGATAAGACTATATATTGAGAAACGTTGAGTAAAATTTGCGAGGTTTTAATCCCACCCAGAATCCATCCTCTGCCTGCATATTGAACGAACCTTTTGCTATAATGATCGGAGCACTCGTCTTCTCCGTCACCACTAAATCGTATTTGAAAGATGGATGAAGTTTTTGGAAGGAAGGAAACTATGTTATGGAAAATTGAAATAATAAAATATTATTTTATATTAAAGAATAGCTACATAGTTATGTACATGTATATAATTTGTAATTAGCTATTCCTACTTGAGAAACCGACCCAAAATCCTCCGATCGGTTTCATTGGAAATTCATTATGTGAGAGTTCTAAAGTGCTTGCAGTTTTTTCTATGGCTTCAATCCTAAAGTATTTAAGAGCAACTGCAAAGAACATCTTTATTTCCAGAAGAGCAAACCGCGACCCGATACAGTTCCTCGGTCCAGTCCCGAATGGTAAATAAGTGTACTTATCCACCTTATCCTTATTTTCATCCGAAAATCTTTCAGGATCGAAACGATCCTGGTTTGGAAAATACTTTTCATCCCTTTGTATACCAATTATAGGAATCAAAATTCCATCTCCTTTGCCAATACACAAATCGGATTCATCAGGTCTTTCAGCTTTTAAGAGAAAAGGCACTGTACATCTCCTATGCAAAAAGGGAGCAGCAGGCCATTTCCTGAGTGTTTCTATGCAAAATATTTAAAAAAAATCAATCAATAAGTATATGATTCATGAGAAATTATCAACAATATTATTATACCTGATACGACCATATCCAAGTATCTCATCGATAAGATTTTATTGTAATCTATATCACCAAATCTCTCGATCTCTTCATAAAGTTTTACTTGAATATCCGGATTCAAAGCCAGCTCCATAGCCATGAAACTTATAATAGTGGATACCGGTTCGAATCCTGCTAAGAAAAACACTAATGCTTGAGCTACAATATCGTTATCTGTTAACATCTTGCTTCCCTCAGTGTAATGCTCTTTAACAGTGGCAAATCCGGTATCGTCATTTTTGATATTCTCTTCATATTTTAAATTTCCCTTTTTGGCCATCATCAGCAGTTGTATCATATCTGATCGAATTATCTTACCCTTTTCACGAGCAGCCAAAGACTCTTTAATGACATTACTGAATTTAGTACGCACGCTTTTCGGTAACACTTTAATATTCATCATCTGAAATTAGATAATCTCATTATTTTTAAGATAATTTTTATTGTATTTTCTTTAGACTGACGTGCATCAATTTTGGAACTATATTAAATCCGAAAAACTTCAACACCCTGGCGCTATCAACACCGGTTATCTGTTTTCCCAATTTGTACATATCGTTGCTTTTATCCTTCAGCGAATTGCATTCAATCCCATAAGCACAGCTTGCTATGATATCGTTCGTGTACCTAGTTGACAGATCTTTCATATCAACGGTGAATCTGGACTTTCCGTTCTTGCTCAAATATTTGAAAAAGTTGTGCGACAATTGCAGCATCAGATCGGTAATATCCTTCATTTTGCTACCGGTGAACGCAGCGCTCAAAGTTGATCTCATCGTCTTCCACTCTTGGTTATGCAAAAACAATAAGCTGTTTCCTAATAAAGGATCCATGTCCTTGGTGATAACATCAATTCTATTAACGAAATTCCCAAAATCTTTGACCATTATCTGTTTGATTAAAGATGGATCTTTGACAACAAGCACCGGTCTGTTAAACTGGTGACTTCCATGGTACCTAATGGTAAATTAAGTGTGTTTAACTGAAAAGTAGATAACTATAAATTTACCTTGTACCAGGACACTCTTTATAAGTCCTTTTCATCCATTCGATAACAGTTATTTTCCCAAAAACTACCGCAGCCTGTTTTCCGAAAACAGGTATTCCCTTGACGTTTGGTACGCCTCTGTCATTCCAGTAATTCAAGGGCTTCACGAATTTCAAATAGAAGAGAAATGCTAACACCACGAAGCCCAGCAAGTATGATAACATTTTCTAGCTGCTGCAGAGCACATACTGGGCATTTCACTAAACGTTATCTTTCTCACTTGTTTAATACGAAGGTCATGTGAGAATTATTGAAAACACACCTCATTTAAAACACATTGATAAGACTTTATATTGAGAAACGTTGATTACAATTTGCGAGGTTTTAATCCCACCCAGAATCCTCCCTCCGGCTGCATCTTGAACGAACCCTTCTCTATGACAATCGGTGCACTCGTCTTCTCCGTCACCACTAAATCGTATTTGAAAAGCAGATGGATGAAGAGTACTTTTATCTCCAATAAAGCAAAACGTGATCCTAAAATGATTTTTGTAAATTGTTATTTATACTAATTTGTTTTAAAATTACCTATACAGGCCCTAGGCCCAAGCCCAAAAGGCATGTATGTGTAAGGAATTATATTGCTCTTGTTTTCATCGGAAAATCTCTCTGGGTTAAATTTTTCCGGTTCCGGAAAGTACTTTTCGTCTCGTTGCAAACCAATTATGGGAATGGAAATGTTTTCGCCCTCTTTCACCTTATAACTTTTTCCGTTTCCACTAATAGTTATGTCTTTGGTGCATTGTCGATCTGTAATAGGTCCAGGTGGCCATTTCCTCAAAGTCTCTATAATTATAGACAACAATTTAAGAACCAAAATATAATTATAATATTAAAAAAATAACCTGACACAACCATATCCAAATATTTCATTTTCATGACTGCTTCATACGTCGGAACTCCTTTGCAATCTTCCATAACCATATCGATCTCAGCATGCAATTTCTCTTGCAGATCCACGTGTATAGCTAATTCAAGCGTCATAAAACTGATTATAACTGAAGACGTTTCGAAACCAGCTATGAAAAATACAAAGGCTTGAGCCGCAATCTCTTCATCAGATATGTATCTTTGCACCACTTCTTTCTTCCCAATATCAGATTCCTGGATGACGGCAAAACCATCATCAACCAATCCTTCGTTACTATCCTCATGCTTCAACAATCCTTTCCTGGCCTCCATCAAAAGATGAATCATATCAGGTCGAACAACGTCATTATCAATCCTGTACTTCAACCCTTCTTTAATGGTGTTAATAAAAAATGAAGAGATAGCTTTATCCACCAATTCGATTCCAAAAAACTTGAAGAGTTTAGGAAACGCGCTAAACAGCATAAACTTCACCAATCTAATTGTTGTGTAATTTGACGCCTCTTTGCCAGTTGTATAAAACGCGTTCTCTTTCTCTTTGATCGAATCACATTGCACTCCAAAAGCGCAAGTTGCAATCACGTCGTTAGCAAACCTCGAAGAAACATCCCTAATATCAATTTCTTGTAAATCACCATTATCAAAATGCCTGGTCAATTGTTGGGCGCAATCGGAAATTAGCAAGAACATTGCCTTCATTTTGCTTCTGGTGAAAGCCGGACTCAAAGTCGCCCTCATCTGCTTCCAATCATCACCATTCAATTGCAGGAGATTCTTCGAAAACAGAGGATTAACGTCCGCCGTATTCGGTTGATGCTTGTGATCGGTGAAATGGTCGAAATCAGCGACCAAAACTTGCTTAATTATATCCAAATCTCTGATGACCAATGAAGGCATAACAAAATTGTGGATTCCATTGAAACTGAAATACAATTAATCTTAATTTAAGGTTAAATAAAAATAATTACTTAATTACCTTTCGTTGGGAAACTCTTTGTAGTGATCGATGAAGTTATCAATGAAGGTAACTTTACCGAACGTGGCTTTCCATAGATTTCCAAATATCGGCACGGCATTTTTGCCGTAGATAACGTCTCTTTCTTTCCAATACAGAAGTGGTTTATATAAATATTTGTATATTATTAAGAATGACACGACAATAATTAACGTAATCGAGAACAGCATTGTATAAATAACACAATTAATTTTATTAAACGATATTATTTTTTTAATTCCATTCAAAATATGTTTACAAAAATACTGGCAAAATTATATCACGGATCGCTCTCCCCTTTATCATTGATAAGATTATCGATCGCGCTTTTTTCAGCACAATGCGATATGTAATTTAATTAATGTATTGTTGTGTCTAAGTAAGCAACCAAAGTTACACATTAAGCAATAACTAGTAAGCAGCTAACAGACAGTAGAAGCACAAGCATTTCTAAGCAATAAAGACATCGATTAAACCAGAGGGTCCCAAACTTTTTTGTGTCGTAGACCCCTTGCCATGTTTTTCAGTTTTGGGTAGACCCCTTACTTACCTGACATTATTTTTTTTGTAAATTTCTAACTGTAGTGAAGTTTAGTGTTAAAAATTTAAAGTAAAAACACATGTTAAGTTTTATACATTTATTAATTGAATATAAATTAAAACTACTCAAAATAAAATTTTGTATCTGTTATATATAATATACGGTAATATAAAATAAACAAAAAATAAACTAAGCAACCCCTTTTCAGACCCCTGGGGGTCGATATAGACCACTTTGGGAATCACTGGATTAAACCAATGCAACTGTCCGTGTATCTTTTAACCCAGGCAACAACACAACAGGTCCTTGTGATAATAAGTTATCAATTTATTGAAATTATTGTTACTGTTTTCATCACAATTACTTCAATAAATAATAACAGTGTGTACCAAAAAAATGTTCAAATCATTAGATTCTATAATTAATTATTTATTGTTGACGTTTTTTCATTCCAACCCAATATCCACCTTCAGGTTGAACCCTTATTGTTTTCCTGGATAAAGTTATAGGAACTGCAGTTTTCTTGGTCACGACCAAATCGAATTTGGAAAGCAAATGAACGAACATGAGTTTGATTTCCATCAAAGCGAAGCGTGATCCTAAGAAGATAATTTTAAAATGTTTGTAGATATGTTCAAATTTTATAATGTAAATTACCAATGCAAGCTCTAGGTCCAACGCCGAAAGGTATGTACGTATAAGGAATAATATTTTTCTTATTTTCATCTAAAAATCTCTCAGGATCAAATTTATCTGGATTTGGGAAGTAACGTGGATCTCTTTGCAATCCTATGATTGGTATGGTGATGTTTTCTCCTTTCTGCAAAGTGTAGCTAGTTCCTTTTCCTTTCAGCGTGTACTCTTTCGTGCATTCTCGATCTGTAACAGGAGCTGCAGGCCATTTCCTCAAAACCTCTATAATTTGAAAAGTTTAATTACTTTCTTTAATTAATTAATAGTTAATGAAAACACCTGAAACGACCATATCCATATATTTCATTTTTATAACGGCTTCGTACGTAGGTTTTCCACTATATTCTTCCATAACATCATCTATTTCCTTTTGCAATTTTTCCTGAACATCAACGTTAATAACAAGTTCGTTTGCCATCAAACTTAAAATAACGGAGGAAGTTTCAAAACCAGCAAAGAAAAATACGAACGCTTGAGCTGCAATATCAACGTCAGTAATCTCTCTATGCTCGATTTCCCGTTTTCCAATTGAAGATTCCTCGATGACAGCAAAACCTTTATCCAGTTTATCCTCTTGATTGTCTTCGTGCTTCAATTTTCCTTTCTTAGCTTCCATGAGGAGATGAAGCATGTCGGGTCTTATAATACCATTAGCTTTTCTATATTCCAAAGTCTCTTCGATAATATTCATGAAAAAATTAGACGTTTCCTTCGGAAAGACCCTCAATTTAAAGAATTCGAACAGCTTAGGAAACGCAGTGAACAGGAAGAATTTATATAATCTGAAACCTTCAAATTGCGTAGCGTCTTTACCCATCATATAAAAATCGTTTTCCCTATCTTTAATCGAATCGCATTGAACGCCGAAAGCGCAACTTGCGATCACGTCGTTGGTGAATCTACTGAACAAATCCTTCATGTCGATTTCAACCACTTCATCGGTACGATCAACGAAATTCTCTGCAAATTGCTTTGCGCATTCCGAGATCATCATGAACATTGCCTTCATCTTACTTCCGGTGAAAGCCGGACTCAAAGTCGCCCTCATGTGTTTCCATTCATCACCATTCAATTGACCCAAATTCTTGAAGAAAAGCTCATCCAGTTTGCTTCCCGGTTGATGTCTGTGATCCGTAAAGTGATCGAAATCTTTAACACAGATCTGCTTCAACGTTTCCAAATCTCTGATCAGCAACGAAGACTGATTGAAGTTGTATATACCATTGAAGCTGAGAAATTTTCAATTTTATCAAAAGCGGTTCATAGAATATTCAATTATTACCTTTCATTTGGAAACTCCTTATACAATTCGATGAAATTATCGAAGAAACTTATTTTCTTGAACGTTGATTTCCAGGTATTTCCGAATAGAGGAATTAAATCTTTACTGTACAAAACGTTCCTTTCTTTCCAATACGAAAATGGTTTAATTGCATATTTGTATATTAGCAAACCCAATAATAACAATACTATTATAGTCAAGTAAATTGATATATTCATATTATTGTCAATTGCAAAAAATAATATTTTGTAGTATATCAGACGACAAACAACAACGAGCACGGTTATAGCACAAGTGAGAACTTATCTTATCCAATTTTATAATTAACTAATAACTAATGAGATAAGTTTTTCTTAGAGGTCAATTAAATTTCAAGTATGTGATTCATATTATGTTATATACAACCATCAAAACAAATTCAACATTGATTTATTTATATCAATTACAATATAATTAAATTTTCTATAAGTAAACTTATTGTTCATTAATAATTGATTAATTGTTCATTAATCATCTTTCCTCAGTAGAATAGTTTATATTATATGCAAATATATACATTTTTCTTTCCAACTTAAATTTCAATTATTTTTATTGATTGCATATTTTCATTACAATAATTTTAAAGTGAATTTTATAAATTATTATTAAATAAATTAATTCTAATTCATTTGTGAACATCTAGTTAATCAGCTTTAACGCAGTGTTTCTCAAGCTTTTACTTGATCCATCACATCGTGTAATTGGAACGGATGTGTCTTCGGTTAAATACTTCTATAAATATATTTATTTATTGAATCTACTACTTTTAAGCCTTAAAATTATACTATAACTATATATATATTATTATTATTTTCATTAGATTTGCACAGACTATAAAATATAAAAGTGTTATATAAAAAAACACTTAAATCTTTACATATTTTAACATTCTTGCAAGAGTAAAATTTATTTATTTCGTGGTTTGATTCCAACCAAAAAACCGCCATCTGCTTGCATTCTCATAGTCTCATAAGATAATATTATCGGAGAATTTGTATTCTCATTTGTATTCACAAGCGTATTGTGATTCTAGAATCAAAGAAAATATAAGAAAACATTATTAATAATTTGATCGCCAAATGGCATGAACGAGTAAGGAACAATACGTTTCTTGTTCTCATCAGAGAAATTTTCAGGATTAAACTTCTCCGATTCCGGGAAATACTGTTCATCCCCGTGCAATCCAATTATGGGAATGAAAACGTTGTCACCAAAGTGCATATTTTCCCGTTACTTTCAAACGAGTTTTGTTTGGTATATTCGCAATCAATCATAAATTTAGAAGGCCATTTCCTTAAAGTTTCTGAAAATGTTTAAATATTTAATTTATAATAATATTCTTTAACATGAAGTTACCTGAGACAATCATGTCCAAGTATTTCATAGAAAAAACAGCATAAAAAGTGGGTTTTCAGTGAAATGTCTTCATTACACCATCAATTTCTTTCTGCAACGTATTTTGCACATCTACATTGATCACCAATTCGTTAACAATGAAACATAAATTAATAGAAGAAATCTCGAAACCGGCGAACATATATATGAAGACTTGAGCAGCGTTATCTTCAGCTGCGATGATTGTATTAATGTTTTCCTTATTCCTAGCCTCGATCAACAGATTGATGTAATCCCAGCTTACCGTACAGTTCTTCGATCTGTACTCTATAGATCCATTTCCCGCGTTCTCTAAAAACGCAGTTATCGACTTTGGTGTGAGTTCAATTCCTAAAATGTTGCTCAACTTTGGAACAACATTTAATAGAATGGACTTAATCAATTTATTTATTTCACCTTGTGACATCTTAATGCAACTCTTGTAAAAACCGTTCGCTCTATCCTCGGTGGAATCACATTTAAGGCCTATACCGCATTCAGTTGCAATATCGCTAAAGTACCTACTGGAAAGATCATTAGAGTCTATTTCCACTTCTCCTTTTTTGGTCAAATTATCCGTAAATTTCTCGGCGCATTCACAGATCAATTCAAACATTTTCAATTTGTTTCCGACAAGAGCCGGACACAGAATCGACCTCATTCTTTTCCAATCATCATCGTTCAGATGTAGCAGATTTTTCGTAAAGATTGCATTGAAGTTCTTAGAGTTAGATAGTTGTTTGAGGTCCATGAAATGCTTGAAATCTTTATAGAAGATGTTCTCGATCGCTTCCAATTCTCTGAGAAGTAAAGAGGGATAATTGCAAATGCCGTTGCAACTGCAGCGAATAAGAAAACACACAATCACTTTTCTGTAACGACGAATATACTCAAGGATTAATTAACCTTTCTTCGGGAAATTATCGAATATCGGAATCGGTTTGCTGTATTGGATGTTCTTTTTTTTCCAATAATATTGCGATTTTATCAGATATTTGTATATAACTTGTATTGATATAATCATTACTATTGTTATAACAAAATACATTTTCTATCTTGTTATTGATCAGATTAATACGATAATGTTAATTGCTTTGTTCAGACTGAATAATACACTTAAAGATAAAAATTAATGTATAATTCAATGTCACATTAATTTTCACCCAATATTTATTTATATTGAATTTTTTACGTTAAATTCAATTAAAAAACAAGTTCTTTTTATTTATTTTATACACAACATCAATTTATTAGGTTTTCAGAATTCAATCAAATAAATCATAAATTTTCACTAGAATATCTAATAATTTATGACGTGTCCAGGTCAGATTTCGTCGATTTGGGATAGCTTAAGACACGACACCTACATTTAGATGAACTAACATAAACAGGTATCACAAAAATCTGATACGAAAGGTCGTTGATTCAATACTCAAAAGCCAAAAACAAATGTGGGGGTTGATAAACCCGAAAGTTGTATAAATTAGGACCAAAGAGAACTTGATAATAAATTGATATAAATCTCATAATAATTAAAAAAATAACATGAAATCGATTATTTGAGTAAAATTACAGATTTAATTAATATTCTATTATATAACATTACAATATATATACAAATCAATCTATTAAATTTATTTAATATGCAAATCTTAAATTATGCAACTTAATCATCACTCCTATCTCATGTTTTAATTTAAAAATAACGATTAACGGTAAGATACGTATTTTTTATTTTATTTTTGACGTTGTTTCATGCCAACCCAGAAGCCACCTTCGGGTTGAACCCTCATCGTTTTCTTAGATAATATTAAAGGCACTGCAGTTTTCTTAGTCACGACCAGATCGAATTTGGAAAGCAAATGAATGAACATTAGTTTGATTTCCATCAAAGCGAAGCGAGAACCTAAAAATAATTTTAAAATGTTTGTAAATATGTTCAAATTTTATAATGTAAATTACCAATGCAAGCTCTAGGTCCAACGCCGAAAGGTATGTACGTATAAGGAATAATATTTTTCTTATTTTCATCTGAAAATCTCTCTGGATCAAATTTATCTGGATTTGGGAAGTAACGTGGATCTCTTTGCAATCCTATTATTGGTATGGTGATGTTTTCTCCTTTCTGCAAAGTGTAGCTAGTTCCTTTTCCTTTCAGCGTGTACTCTTTCGTGCATTCGCGATCTGTGATAGGCGCTGGAGGCCATTTCCTCAAAACCTCTATAATTCGAACAGTTTAATTAATTTCTTTAATTATTTAATAGTTAATGAAAATTACCTGAAACGACCATATCCATATATTTCATTCCCATAACAGCTTCGTACGTTGGTTTTCCATTGTGTTCCTCCATGACATCATCGATTTCCTTTTGCAGCTTTTCCTGAACATCGACGTTAATAGCTAGTTCGTTGGCCATCATACTTAAAATAACGGAGGCAGTTTCGAAACCGGCGAAGAAAAATATGAACGCCTGAGCTGCAATATCCTCGTTCGTGATCTCTTTCTGCACGATTTCCCGTTTTCCAATTGAAGATTCCTCGATGACAGCGAAACCTTTATCCACTTTATCATCTTGATTGTCCTCGTGCTTCAATTTTCCTTTCTTAGCTTCCATAAGAAGATGAAGCATATCGGGTCTTACAACACCATTAGCTGATCTATATTCGAAAGTCTCTTGAATAATGTTCATGAAAAAGTCAGAGGTTGTCTTCGGAAAGACCCTGCATTTAAAGAATTGGAACAGCTTGGGAAACACGGCGAACAGGAAGAATTTATATAATCTGAAACCTTCAAATTGCATAGCGTCTTTACCCATCATGTAAAAGTCGTTTTCTCTATCTTTAATCGAATCGCATTGAACGCCGAACGCGCAACTCGCGATCACGTCGTTGGTGAATCTACTGAACAAATCCTTCATGTCGATTTCAGCTACTTCATCTCTATGATCAACGAAATTCTCTGCAAATTGCTTTGCGCATTCCGAGATCATCACGAACATACCCTTCATCTTACTTCCGGTGAAAGCCGGACTCAAAGTTGCCCTCATGTGTTTCCATTCATCACCATTAAGTTGAACCAAATTCTTGAAGAAAAGCTCTTCCAGTCCACTTACCACTTGATGTCTGTGATCCGTGAAGTAATCGAAATCTTTAACGCAGATCTGCTTCAACGTTTCCAAATCTCTGACCAGCAACGAAGACATATTGAAGTTATATATACCGTTGTAGCTAAACAGAGACATTTTTAATTTTAACAAAACCGGTTTTAACGAATCTTCAATAAATACCTTTCGTTTGGATACTCCTCGTACAATTCAATGAAATTATCAAACATACTTATTTTCTTGAATGTCGATTTCCAGGTATTTCCGAACATGGGAATCAAATCCTTGCTGTACAAAACATTCCTTTCTTTCCAATACGAAAAAGGTTTGAATGCATATTTGTATATTAGCAAACCCAATAATAGCAATACAATTATAATCAAGTAAACTGATAAATGCATTTTATTATGAATTAATCAATCACACAACAAAAATCAACAAGCGCGGTTATAACACGAGTGATGATATATGTCGTCTACTTCTATAGATAAAGTACCGTTATACACATTATTTTTTAAGTGCGTAATTCATGTTCTGTTATATACAACCATCAAAACATATTCCAAATCAGCATCGATTTATTAATCTTATCTCATTTTCAAGATGTACTGAGTGGATGCGATAAGTTTACGCCAATGTTTGATAACATTTTGTAAAATTACATTATATTTCCATTGCAGAAAAGTCTTTTATATTAAATCAATGATAAAGAAATTTCTTTATTTAGAAATGTTATTATCAATGGAAAAAACCTATATGCAAATATTTTGTTCGACTAGAAAGTATTGACATTATTCATAATCAGAATCTATTTATTTATTCATTGCATATTTTCATAACAATTAATTTAATGTGTATTTAAACTACTAATTAAACTAATTATATTATACTATTTTAGAAGAATATATTATTTTAGAAGAAGTAATGTATTTGTAAAATTATTTTTCTCTGATTTTCAGTTAAGTGTTCTTTGTTTCATGCCTACCCAGAATCCACCTTCGGGCTGCACTCTTAAAGTACCCATACATAGTTTTATTGGAGCGGATGTTTTCTCGGTGACGACCAAATCGAATTTGTGCAGCAAATAGACAAACAAGACTTTAATCTCTAGCAAAGCGAATCGCGATGCTAAAAAAAGAAACGTTTTGTACTTAAAGTCTGATTTAGTAAAATTAACCAATTACCAATGCACGCTCTTGGACCGACGCCAAAAGGCATGTAAGTGTAAGGAATGATATGTTTCCTGTTTTCATCGGAAAATCTCTCAGGATCAAATTTATCGGGTTCAGGAAAATACCTTTCGTCTCTATGGAATCCAATTATCGGAATCGTAATGTTATCACCTATTTTTAAAGTGTAACTCCTGCCATTTCCTTGCAAATTATATTCTTTGGTGCACTCACGGTCTATTATAGGAGACGGAGGCCACTTCCTCAAAGTTTCTGAAAAATAAAATAATCAAATTGTTTAAACCATAAGAATTATTAGTATTTTATAAATACCTGAAACAACCATATCCAAATATTTCATGCCTAAAACATTCTCATAAGTGGGTTTCCTATTGGATTTTGCCATAACATCATCGATCTCTTCTTGCAGCTTTTCCTGAACATCAACATTGATAGCTAATTCATTGGCCATGAAGCTTAAAATGATGGAAGAAGTTTCGAAACCGCCGAAGAAAAATATAAAAGCCTGAGCCGCAATATCAACATCAGTGATTCCTTTCTGCGAGGTTTCCCGTATTTCAGTACGAGATTCTTCAACCGCAGCAAATCCTTGATCCGGTTGATCCTCTTGCTGATCTTGCTTCAACTTCCCTTTTCTAACCTCCATCAAGAGATCAAGCATATCCGGTCTAACAACTCCATTACTTATCCTATACTCCATGGTTTCTCGAATTATATCGAAGAAAAATGAAGTCGACGATCGTTCAAAAATGCGCCAACCGAAAATCTTGAACATTTTCGGAAACGAACTGAATAAAAGGAACTTGAACAGCGTCAGACCTTCAAAGTACGTCACGTTTTTACCCATCATATAAAAATCGTTCTCACGATCTTTAATGGAATCGCATTGAACTCCAAAAGCACACGTTGCGATAACATCATTAGTGAACCTCGTGAAAAGATCTTTCACGTCAGTTTCGACAATTCCGGTTTCACCGAAATTCTCAGTAAATTTCTGAGCGCATTCAGAGATTAATACGAACATTCCTTTCATTTTACTTCCCGTGAAAGCCGGACTTAAAGTTGCCCTCATTTGTTTCCATTCGTCGCCGGTCAACTGGATCAGATTTTTGAAGAAAAGCGCATCCAAGTCCGATTTTGGTTGATGTCTGTGATCCATGAAATAATCGAAATCCTTAACGCAGATTTTCTTAATAAGTTCCACATCCCTGACCAGTAAAGAACGTTGATTGAAGTTAAAAATTCCGTTGAAACTAAGAGATACAAAAGTTTGTAAATATTGCAAAATATTGTGCAATATGTTTACCTTTCATTGGGATATTCATTGTAAAATTCGACGAAGTTATCTAAGAAACTGATTTTATTTAACATCCATTTCCAAGCGTTTCCAAATATCGGAACCGGATCTTTGCTGCACAAAACATTCCTTTCCTTCCAATACGACAATGGTTTAACTGTGAATTGATATACTAAGAATATCAATAGTAGCAATAATGCAAGCAACAAACATATTAATGAATACATTTCGCGAAGAGAAAATATTAAAAGTAAACACTTTATTTATTTTATATTTTCTATCTAAATGTATTTAATTGACTAGATACAGCACTTCAGATAACACAAATATGATGTTATTATTGATCAGTTTCATCATATTTTATTGTATACAACCATCAATACAAAATTACCAACTTGTTATTTCTTAAAATTCATTTCTCATTTATTATATAGTAAAAATTTAACAGCATAAAGTGTTATTTGATACAGACAAATGTTTTCTTTTTGTATTTTTTTGTAAAAGTTCAGAATTATAAAAAAAAAAACATCTTATTTTAAAGTTTTTTTTTGTACAACTTTGCATTATATTAGTTTATAGTTGTCGCTCTTTTATTCCAACCCAGAATCCGCCTTCAGGTAACATCCTCAACGTCTTCTTGCATAATTTTAAAGAAGTTGACGTTTTCTTGGTAACGACCAGATCAAACTTGTAAAGTAAATAAACGAACAAGATTTGAATTTCAAGCAAAGCAAAACGAGATCCTAAAAACTATTAAATTTTAAAAAGGAAAATCAACAAAATATACCGATGCACGCTCGTGGTCCAACTCCAAATGGTAGATAACTGTAAGCTCTAATATTCCTTCTGTTTTCATCTGAAAACCTCTCAGGATCAAATGTATCCGGTTCTGGGAAATAGTTCTCATCTCTATGTAATCCAACTATGGGAATGGTAATGTTGTCTCCTTTTTGTAAAGTGTATTTGCCAGCCGTTCCTTGCATCTTGTATTCTTTGGTGCATTCACGATCCGTTACAAGAGCTGCAGGCCATTTCCTAAGAGTTTCTTTAAACATAAATCTGTTATAAATTTAAAACTTGATTTGGTGAATAGTATTACCTGACACAATCATATCTAAATACTTCATTTTTGTTACCGCTTCGTGGGTTTTCCATCGCAAATCGCCATCACGTCATCAATCTCTTCTTGTAATTTAACTCGAACATCCATATTAATAGCTAACTCATTAGCCATGAAACTCAAGATAACAGAAGTGGTTTCGAAATCGGCAAAGAAAAATATGAAAGCTTGAGCGGCAATATCTTCATCAGTAATTTCACTCTGACCAATTGAACCAATTGAATTCTGTATTATCTTCATACTTCAGCTTCCCTTTTCTAGCCTCCATCAAAAGATGAATCATGTCTGGTCTTATGACATCATTATTTCCTCTGTACTCCAAAGTATCTTTAATTAAATCCAAGAAGAACGAGGTAGTTGACTGGGGAAATACTTCGAATCCAAGTTTAGGAAACGAACTGAAAATAAAGAACTTCATCAATCAAAGCCCTCAAAGTTGGTAGCATCTTTTCCTTTCACATAAAACTCGTTTTTTTCATCTTTAATAGAATCGCACTTGATGCCAAAAGCACACGTGGCAATTACATCGTTTGCGAATCTCGTGAAAACATCTTTAACGTCAATCTCGAGGATTCCGCTGTGCACAAAGTTATCGGTAAACTGATTTGCGCAATCCGCAATCAGAACAAAAATTGCTTTAATCTTGCTTCCGGTAAAAGCCGGACTCAATGTCGCTCTCATATGTTTCCATTCATCTCCGCTCAATTGAAGCAAATTTTTGGAAAACAGCGGATTGATTTGAGAAAAACTTGATTGGTGGCGATGATCCAAGAAATGATCAAAATCTTTAACGGTTATAAGTTTAATCAACTCCAAATCTCTCATTGGGAAAGAAGTCTGATTGAATATATTTATTGCGTTAAAACTAGAAATCATTATCAATAAATTATATTTTTTAAATAATGAAATAAATAAAACTTTCGTTGGGAAATTCCTTGTAGAGTTCGACGAAGTTATTCAAAAAGCTGACCTTCCTGAAAATCGTTCTCCAAACATTTCCAAATACCGGAATCGAATTCTTGCTGAATCTAATATTCCTTTTTCGGTATTTATATATTATAAATATCGATAAAATTAAAAAACTTAAAATTACTTCGAGCATTTTTCGAATGCAACGGAGATTATTTAACCGCATTGCTGGCAGTTTAGAGTTTCAAATGTTTTATTCATATATAAAGTGGTTTACATGTTTGAATTTTGCATAGTATTCATACTGCTTAAGCCTAAGCTCTTTCAGCATGCAGTTTAAGGGTTATATTTGAGGGTATTAAAAAAAAAATAATAATAACATTGTAGGATAGAAGCACATTCTAGAGTAAAAACACAACATTCTTGAAATCAGGAAGTGTTTAGAATATGAATAGAAATTTTAGAGAACACATTTAGACAAGTACACATTTAGAAAACATTAAGATTACACATTTTATAGACACTAAGAAATATAAATAAGAAAGAAAATGGAATATGGAATATCACAGAAAGAATGGGCTAATGTTTTCAGTAAGATCATTGAAAATGGGAACATCAGATTCAAGATTCTGCACTAGTTTAGCTATTCCCCATTTTAATTTTTGGTTTTAGCCTGAGATAGCTACTGGGAGGAAGTTTGAATAGAGAAAGTATGTGATGATTGTGTATTTGAATTCTGAGAGCTAGTTTTCCTTGGAGTGTATTTATGAAGTCTGTAATGCTGGGGAAGGGAACAAGGTCGTAGAGTTGAGCAGAGGAATATTTGTAGTGTAACTTTAGAATTTTTCGTATTATTTTCCTTTCAAATATTGCTGGCAGTATTTTCCTACTATCGCATATGTGTGTCATATTAAAACAAAATTTAATAATTAATTTATTATTTATCAATTCGTTTAAAATATTACATTATATGAAAATGACAAAAAATTTTGAATTTAAAAAAAAAACTATATATATTAAACTTGGACCTGATCGTTTGACTTAATTTTATTCCGGTGTTGAAGCCCCAAACTAAAAGTCTTTTTATTGGTAATATATTCATCACTGATATTACATGGGACTGGCAAAAATTCGAATTTAGATAGCAAATAAACGAAGAGGATTTTGATTTGGATGAAAGCAAGAGATGATCCTTAAATAAAATAATTTAATTTAAATATGAAATAAATGTAGTGAATCTATCTTCGCAAACTTACCTAAACGATTTTTAAGTCCTAGACCGAATGGATGGAACGTATCAGGTTTAATACCATCCTTTTTATCTTCGAGGAATCTCTCCGGGTCGAACTCTGTGGGATTCGGGAAATGCTTTGGATCTCTATGTAATCCTACAATGGGTATGACGATGTGCTCTCCTTTCCAGAAAACGCTATTGTCTAGAATCATATTTTTAGTGCAGACAGTGGTAGCAGCAGGTACGACAGGCCATTTCCTTAGAGTCTCCGAAACGACCATATGAAGATATTCCATCATCATGATTTCCTCGCATCCCGGCGCACCGTCGCTCTGCAACATCACCGTTTCGATCTCATCGTAAAGGAATTGCTGCACCCTGGGATTCATAGCCAGCTCGTAAGCCATAAAGGACATCAAATTTGTACAAATTTCGAAGCTGTTCATGTAGAGATTGAGTACGTGTCGAGCCAAGTCTATTTTCGTTCCTGATTCTACAAAAAGAAAAATTGTTTATTTAATAAGATTTTGATTTTTTATTTTTAATCGCACCTTTTTGGGAATCGATCAAAAAATGTATATAATTATTATCCATTTTTTTCTCGTATTTCCGAGCCTCGACGAACTTTCTGACCGATTCCAAGACCATATCATTTTTCTTTGTTAGTCCAAGAAATTTGTAGAGCCGAGGGAAAGTCTTCGAGAAAAAGTACCTGAGGCAACCAATATCTTCGTATCGTGGCATCTCCGATACGAGCAGGAAATATGGAGTGAATACGTAATTGAACGAGTTGAAACGTCTTCCCATGATCGAGTAGATGAGCACGTCGCTAGTAAAATTCGAAAACAATTGTTTTGTGTCCAAATCTGTACTGCCGCAATCTTCCAAATACTCCAACACGTGTGTAACGCACTTTTTGATATGAGGAAAATGCGCAGGAAGGTGTCTAAGAAAAAACGAGTGATTCGATGATTGCACGCCTTTCGCATTAAGATCGGATGGGTGGAATAGCTCTTCATAGTAATCGGATTGGGTTTGCACGATTTTTGAGATTAGCGCTGCATCTCTTACGAGAATCGTGGGTTGCAGGATGTTGTAAAAACAGTTGATTTTAGTCTTCGGAAATTCTTTGTAGATCTGGATGATATCATTCATTGGCACATTCTTGAATGTTTTCAATCTTTGGTTGCCCAATAGGAACTTCAGGTATTTACTCCATTTATGGGTATATCTTCGAGATGTAAATTTACGTAAGAAGATGTAACATACAACTGAATGCAAACAAATAAACAAGAAAATAAACAAAGAGTTAACAATATTCATGATTGCGATCGAACAGTTTTAAAATTTATAAAGAACTAATAAAATTACATTCAAATAAAACTATACATTAAACGCACTGAAACACGAATGACTTCGATTTATCACAAACATATTTTTATCGTATTTCAAAAGAAGGAAAAAATATAGTTTTTATTATTGAATTTCTATTTGACTAAATTCTGATTATAAAAATAACATATACGTTCAATTTCTTCTTTGCAGTCCAATCCAATGACCACCATCCATAACATTGTTTAAAATCTTTGTGGATAACTTAATGACATCTTGAGTTTTATCGACTTTTACTAACTTGAAGGTTTTCAGTAAATTGACCAGCATGATTTTCATTTCCATTATCGCAAATCTGCTTCCAATGCAAGCTCTTGGTCCGAATCCAAAAGCAAGCAGAGTACCAGCAACTATTTTATCCTTATTTTCTTCACTGAATCGCTCGGGATCAAATCTTTCAGGATCTGGGAAATATTTGGGATCTCGATTAATCGCTGTAATCGGCAACCAAATAGGCGTTCCCTTTTCAATGATTATATCCTTCTCGCCTGGCAATTTAGCAGGAATTTTGTAATCCTTAATGCAGACCCTATCGCCACCTACGGTAGCAGGCCATTTACGCAAACTTTCCATCACGACCATATCCAAGTACTTCAATGATTGAATCATCTCGTAATCGATTTTCTGATCATTCCGCTCTAAACCATCGACAATTTCCGTAAAGACCTTATCCTGCACATCCTGATTTAAGGCCAATTCGTAAGCACTAAAGGTCAACTGCGTTGAGATGGAACTGAAAGCAGCAAAGAAGAAAATCAAAACCTGCCCCACGATATCCTCGTTCTCGATGGCAGTTTTCGGAGGTTTGCCTCCTTCGCCTTGCAGAGTTCCCGTTTTCGCCTGCATAAGAAGATGGATCATATCCGGTCTTTCTATGCCCTGATCCTCTCTGATTTTTATAGTTTCCATAACAATATTTTTAAAGAAATCGCCTACATCTGGGTGGAACAAGGTGATTCCTAATTTCTGCAGAAATTCAAAAAGCAAATAATTATGAGCACAAAAAACACATACCGACTACTCATACATGAAACAAACTTGGAAACAAAGCAGTTCCAAATATCTTGTAACTTGGTAACACGCTGACCCGATTTCCCATCTCCATAAAGATATTGGTCCTTTCTTCGATAGTGTTGCATGAGACTCCAAAGGCGCAAGTTGCAATAACGTCGTTTGCAAATCGTGAAAACTCCTCTTTTAATTCGATGCTCACTACGGTTTCGTTTATCTTTAGGAAATAGTATATGAACTTTTCAGCGCATTCCGACATCAAAGTGAACATGCACTTTAATTTACTGGAAGTAAATACAGGACTCAGAGTGGACCTCATATCCTGCCATGCCTTCCCTTTGAAAAAAAAAACAACTTCTTACGGCCACATTCAAATTCTCTAGTACTATTTACCATTCAGAGCAAACAAATTGCGACCCCAAAGAGGATCCTTTCTGGGGGCAAAAGCATGGTGATCCATGAAATGGTCAAAATCCTTCACAATCATTTGCTTCATCAATTCCGGATCCTTGATCAACAACGTAGGCAATATAGCTTGGTATAATCCTTCATATCTGATGAATTCATACGAAAATTATGCAACAAACATATTTTTTTACAAAATTCGACTATTTTCTACCCGACACGAAATATGTATAGTGTGCAAGTATAGCGTAATGAGTATAAAAATAATTTTCTTTTTATGAAAGACATGAATTTAGTAAATACCTTGAGTTCGGATGATTATTGTATATTCGATTCAATAATGTCTGGAAATTCTCTTTCTTGAGTATCACGTTAATTACATTTCCAAAAAGGAAAGATGGATTAATTTAAGGCACATTTCGATCCCTCCAATAATTCTGCTTCTTCTTCACGAAAATGATGAACAAAGTTATAATGAGCACAAGAAAACTTAACACAATCATAATTCAGCATCAATATGTTGTTTTCATCTGACGCTGTTCAATTTATAGCGACGATTTAATTCTTATCAAAAACGACCTTTGCATAAAACAAAATATATAAACAATAAATAAAAATAATGTTTATTGCAACAGTCGTACAAAAAAAAAATAAATAAAAAGAATATAAATATATATAATTACAAAAAAAGTCAACTGATACATAGAGATATTGAAGAATATAAACAATAATTACTCAATATGAAATAAATCTAATGATTCAATCATCGCAAACTCACCTAAACGAGTTTTAAGTCCTAGGCTAAAAGGATGGAACGTGTAAGGTTTAATTTCATCTTCTTTGTCTTCATTGAATCTCTTCAGGTCGAATTATGTGTAATAAAATGGGTAGACTATGTGCTCTCATTTCCAGTAAATGCACGAGTCTAGAATCATGTTTTTGTTGCATCAGCAATACATCTCTTGCGAGAATTTTGGGTTGCAGGATATAGTAAAACAGTATTTTTTTTTCTCCGGAAATTCTTTGTAGATCTGGATGAAATCGTATCTCAATAAAAGAAAAAAAATACATTTTTATTTTTATTATTGAATTTTTATTTGACTAAATACTGTATAAATAAAATATACACTCAATTTCTCCTTTGCAGTCCAATCCAATGGCCACCATCCATAACATTGTTTAAACTCTTCGAGGACAACTTAATGACATCTTGAGTTTTATCGACTTTTACTAACTTGAAGGTTTTCAGTAAATTGACCAGCATGATTTTCATTTCCATTATCGCAAATCTGCTTCCAATGCAAGCTCTTGGTCCAAATCCAAAGGCAAGCAGAGTACCAGCAACTATTTTATCCTTGTTGGCTTCACTGAATCGCTCGGGATCAAATCTATCAGGATCTGGGAAATATTTGGGATCTCGATTGATCGCTGAAATTGGCAACCAAATCGGCGTTCCCTTTTCGATGATTATATCCTTCTCGCCTGGCAATTTAGCAGGAATTTTGTAATCTTTAACACAAAGCCTATCGCCACCCCCGGTCGCAGGCCATTTCCTCAAACTTTCCATCATGACCATATCCAAGTACTTCAACGATTGAATCATCTCGTAATCGATTTTCTGATCATTCCGCTCCAAACCATCGACGATTTCCGCAAAGACCTTATCCTGCACATCCTGATTTAAGGCTAATTCGTAAGCGCTAAAAGTCATCTGCGTGGAGATGGAATCGAAACCAGCCAAGAAGAAAATCAAAACCTGCCCCACGATATCCTCGTTCTTGATTGCAGTTTTCGGAGGTTTATCTCCATCACCATCCAGGATTCCCGCTTTCGCCTGCATAAGCAGATGGATCATATCTGGTCTTTCTATGCGCTGTTCCTCCCTAACTTTTATAGTTTCCATAACGATATTTTTAAAGAAATCGCCCACTTCCGGATCGAACAAGGTAATTCCTAATTTCTGCAGAAATTCAAAAATCAATTCATTCTCACCACAAAAAACACAAACCGAATATTCTTACATGAAACAAACCAGGAAACAAAGCAGTTCCAAAGAACTTGAAGCTTGGTAACACGCTGACCCGTTTTCCCATCTCCATAAAGATGTTAGTCCTTTCTTCGATAGTGTTGCAGGAGACACCAAAGGCGCAGGTTGCAATCACGTCATTTGCAAATCGCGAAAACTCCTCTTTTAGTTCGATGCTCACCACTGTTTTGTTCATCTTCAGGAAATAGTCAATAAACTTTTCGGCGCATTCCGACATTAAAGGGAACATGCACTTTAATTTACTCGAAGTAAAAGCAGGACTCAGAGTGGACCTCATATCCTGCCATGCCTTTCCTTTGAAAAAAAAAATACAATTTGTTACGGCCACATTCGAATCCTCTAGTTCAATTTACCATTCAAAGCAACCAAATTGCGACCCCAAAGCGGATCCCTTCTGGGCACGAAGAGATGGTGATCCATGAAGTGGTCGAAATCCTTAACAATCATTTGCTTCAACAATTCCGGATCCTTGATCAACAATGTAGGTAATATAGCTTGGTATACTCCTTCATATCTGAAAAAATCATACGAAAGTTATGCAACAAACATATTTTTTTATGACTACTCCCTTTGCTATACGAAATATACATAGAGGTATAGTGTATTGAATATATTTTTAGGAATAACCAGAATTAGGTAAATACCTTGAATTTGGATGATTATTGTACATTCGATTCAGTAATGTCTGGAAATTCTCTTTCTTGAGCATCACGTTAATTAAATTTCCAAAAAGGAAAGCTGGATTCATTTGAGGCACATTACGATCTCTCCAATAATTCTGCTTCTTCTTCACGAAAATGATGAACAAAGTTATAACGAGCAAAAGTAAACTTAACACGATCATAATTCAGCATTAATATGCTGTTTTCATTTAACGCTGTTCAATTTATAGATGCGATATCATTCTTATCAAGAATGACCTTTGCATAAAAAAATTATAAAACAAAACTAAATATAATCAATAACAATTTACTATCAATTTACTCAACCATTAATGCTTTTTTTTTATGTAATAATAACTTGCAAATAATTTTGTTATATTTTTTATTGTTTTCATTTCTTAAAGAAATATATCTTTTATTTGTATTTATTACAACAAACCCCAGAACAATACATAATAATAATACATCTCCATATAATATTTATTTTCTTTTAAACGCAAACAACTTTTGGTCAGTTATTGTTAATTTTCACATTTATAATATAATATCTTCTTTTAATGACAGCAAATATCAACGTTTCCTTTTGTTTTACACTCACACATTTACGAATATTACCAATTATTTTTATATTTTTTTGTTTTCTTTGGCACAAAAAACACATCGACATCCCTATTACCATTACGTTTACCATAAATATACGTACGAGACAAGAAAGTTTAAGAACAGATTGTTGTTGTTGTTTTTTTTCTCAGTTTCAAATCTAGCAAAGCATCTATAATCGTTAAACGCTAATTTCCATATATTAGCCCTTTAGAATCCTTAAGATTATATATTTGTTTGTTTCAATTTTTTTCTAATAGTTATATCACAATATGTTACAACATCGAGTTTTTGCAATCATAAATTTACTTATTCATATTTTGTTTTTACTTTCATTTCAAACTTACATCTTTACAAAAATATGTGTTTTTTTTTAGTAATTGAGTTATCGTTTGTTTCTTTCTTTTTTTTTTGAACACTGAGATGTCTCCAAGAGCAAAAATTTTGAAAAAAAAAAATATAAACATTTAGCAAAACATATGCAAGCCACTGTTGCGCCGCGCAACGGAAAGAGTTTTAAGGAAGAGAGTGGTAAACTTTGGTAATTCGGATCAATTAGGGTATGGTGCATTTCGTCTTATTTAGTCTGCAATTTTTTGGAAAAGGTGATGATTGCAGATTATATTTAAATAAAATATATGAGTACGCCGATCGAAATCGAGCTGATTGTTTTTGTAAGTAATATGAACATGCAGTTCGATGGTTACATAAATATGTTATGTATATAAAATTTGATAGCAAACGTAACTTTTCATATATATATATATTTTTTTTATAAATAATTTAGATTTATTTTTATTATCTTCTTTTTTCAGAACACTTTTGTGTCTCCGTTCGGCTAGAACCTTTTATTACTGCATGAAAATATTGCTTGAGTGATTGTATTTTTGGTTATTGTTTGATGATGATGATGTGAGTTATTCAATGAAGTTTATGTTGAGTTGTTTAATGATGAAGGTTGTGTACGGATGGTGTGGTTTTCTTGAGAACGATGGTGAAGGTGAAGGAATGGGCAGGTGAGGAATGGGTCGTCGGTGGGGCCGAATGGTGTTGTTGAAGAGGTTGAGGTTGCGGCGCGCCAGTGGCCTTATGTTAGTTGGAGGTGGAGTGCTTGCCGTCGGAAGAAGCGAGTTCGCTGGAACCGCTAGAGCTCAACGTCGTGTTGGATCCGTACGGATCCAACGAACTCTGCACAGACATGGACCTTCCCTGAGCGTGTCTCCTCACTCGATTCGGGGACAACTTTCCGGGGTCGACGCTTGCCGGGTCTGCCTACAACAATAACCCGTTGTAATTACAATTCAGGAAGACTACAGAAGACAACGATCCTTCACCTGATATGCCAACGCGTTCATTATTATGCTGTACGGCACCAATCCCAAAGGATGTATCTCCCTCATCAGCACATTGGCTGGAATCTTATGGAACTGGATGTACTCCAAGAAGTTACCAATCACATCCTTCAAATTCGTATTCGGATTGCTATCGCAATATTTCTTTCCTAAAACAAAAGAAAAATGTTCAAATTTTAAATATTTTGCTCAAATACAAATATTATGTTCATAACGTAACGAAAACCAAAAGTTGTACAAATGAATAGAAGTGTCAATTATGTTTCTGTTTTAATATAGATATCGAATGAAAAGAAAGAAATGTGTTTCCGTTTCGTAATCAACAATGAAACGTTGTGCATTCGATACTTGAATACGCGCGATTACATCAACTCCTCTCAATTCATGTCAGTTCCATACATCGAGTATGAATAAAGCTCTAATGATGATAAATACAAATCTCATCCGCGATTTCCAAACTCGAAACATAAATATTTTTATATCGTATTTATTTGCTTTACAGAATGTTGTAAAATTGTTCTTTAAACTTCCTGGATTTAGTGGTTTCGAATATACGTAAATATTATATTAATTTTGAAAGTAATCTTTTTATCTTCCTGTTATTGAGTAAACGTTAAACTTACCCCACATTAAAGCAGCTTGAAACTTGGTGAATTCGTCTGCCTGCAATTCGTCTCTAACCAAAATCAACCTTACCACATGTTGCGGAAGCAACGTGAACGATCCCAAATTCAAAACTTCATTTCCATGTTCATCGACGAATTCTAAAACCTATTGTAATACGTTATTAATGTACAAGTATGCGCGAAATTTGATTTATACCTTCTGGACTAAAGATTTGGTGCACTTGTATTGGATGTACCTTTCGGCTGAAGCCAAAAGGGCGCAAACCGTGTCCACATTGATGCAGCATTGCACGAAACCTGCGCAAGCTCTTCTGAGCTCATCGAGACCGTAATAATCGGCTGCGTTCATGACACCTAATTAATAGATTTTTAATTAATTTACTATTGATGAGGAATAAGTAGGTCTTTTTTTACCCAATAGAGTTCTTGGCTGCAAGGTAACGCATCCCGTGTGGATGTACTCAATGAGCTGTCTGAAAACATCTGGTTCAAATTCCTCGATGATTAACGTTTGGTGCTGTTGAGATTGAGGCTGATAAATTACAAGAGAAGAAAGAAAACATCATGATAGAAGTTAGTTGGTTAGCGTAGGTTTTGGAGTATCTAGAATGTTCATGCTTTGGGAGGTGGAGGAGCGAGGGTGCCCAGAAAAAGAGTTGTTAATCATGCAGTTCATTTGTGTGGAATGATGTCGGCGTTCGGTGCTTTCTACTCAAAGAACAGAAGTCAGAAATGAACAAGTGATAATAGTGAAAAAGAATATTTGATGGTCGCTGGAGGTTACGGATTACCTCTTGGATAGGAGCCAACTGCTGGGTGTAGCCTCTCTGGATGGCAACAACAACAATTAGTGGTTTTTTTTTCTCTCACACGCACACGCATTCAATTACATTATTTTTTTTTGTTAGTTAATTTAAATGTTCATACCATTGACGGGAATGTAAATATATACCAATCAGAGCCCAACTAAAGCAAATCATTGGTATCGCGATGATCGTCCAAAAGTAACTTACCTGTTGCGAAGAGTTTTGTAGGTTCAGTAAGGGCTCTGAGGAGCGTTTCAAGAAAATCCGTAACTTGTTTTCGCGAGGCGGAGGCTCTTTTTTCCGCTGAGGACTCGGAGCCTGAGATAAAGAGACAATTTTAACTGTTCTTTAAGAACTCTTTGTATATATGAATTACTTGATACAGCATTTTGTGGAACACCCGAGATCTGGCAGCGAGGACTGCTTTCACGGCGCAGACGGGTTCACGGGTGTCGCCCACCAAGAAAGTCACGTCGCACAGTTCGGGCATTGAAGCCAAGAACTTCATGTCCTCAGCTAAGCCCGATTTGTTCTCGAATGTACTTAAATCCGGCTCGGCTTCCGCCATCATATTATACGTTGGAAGCAGCAGACTTTGAGGCATCTGGAACAACATCTATCAATAACATTGGTCAAAAGGTTTCTAAAGCTTTAAACTAAATACAAACAGTTAACATAATCAATAACTTGCTTGCTACCAATCAGCTACATCAATTAAAAATTTACTCAAAGAAGAGAAGCAAAAAAAAATGGATGGATAAATTTATTGGTTTATTTAGAAGTAATAGCAATATATTACTATAACAAATTGGAAACTTATAAGTCCTAAAAAAAATGAAATATTTCTTAGAGTTAGTACTTTTTATAGTTCTATTATTCTCTAGTATAAACTTTCTGATAATTTCAAGTATAAAACTTAACGTTTAGAAAATGTATGATATTAGACTTACGAAATCAATTGTAAGCAGCAAATTAAGTTGCGTGGATGATTTAATTTTTGTTTTGCTGAAGTTCCTGAAAAACTTTATTTATTCAGGTGAGGTTTCCATCCGTTTGATTTCCTCCGCGAGTTATTTATTTACTCAGGCGCACTGCATTTTACGAATCGCCCGAAGACAGTTGATTTTTGTTAAAGACGACCGACGCACATATCAAAATCAAGGTTTAAAATTGGATTTCCTACGTTTATTTTGCATCCGAGCTGCGTCCTATTTAACGCTGCAATCGAATGATATCCACTATTCATAACTATTCTCGTTAATCATTTCAGTACATGATACAATTGTTAAAGATGCGGTTGAATTACATGTAAATGCAGCGATAAGGATATTAGTAATATCCGTTCCATATAATGAATACCCTTAAGTTTTCCTTGGAAATTCTTACTCATGGCAACGCGAATTGAACTTTTAATGAATATTACGAGATGGATAAACAATATTTAATGTTCGTTTGGGATCAGCTGGGAAAAACCAACAAGTAATCAATATGTTAGCGTACCTGTTGAGTTTTGGCTTCCTGCAGTTTTCACAAAGAAACAGATATTCACCTCGACGGAAGGAATTGATGCTCGGATATACGGAACTAGAGGATGCGTTCCTCAGAGCTGTTGATTTTCGTTGACCATCGTCGCCGTCCGCACAACTCAGCACAACTTCCAAACTTAGGCGAAATACGAAAAGGCTTGGACGGGGAAAAGCATACGAACAGTAGTAGTTGTCCCAGCCCACAGAACTGAGAAAATTTCCCCGCATGCGTAAGCCTAACGATTGGTTTGCTGCTTCCTCTCCACGCAATGAATTTTATCTTTTTTTTTCTGTTCCTGCCATATACCATGATAATCACTTTAAAGAGTACAGTGTAATATAATATTGCCTCATATAATTCTTACTTACTTATTTTTTTTTTGATAAAACCATTTACAATGCGGTTTAGAGTAAAATTATGTTTTATTTCCTCATATGAGATTATCTTTATAATAGAGCAAATCATTACATATATTTTAGTCAGGGAATTCACGTTAGAAAAAAGCAATTTTGTCCTTTCCTGCAAAACTTACAAATTTCCGTACATTCATTTTCTCACGGACAAAAAGGACTTTGATGTTATTTCTTTAAAACCGCTCCCTTCAAAGAATCTTATAGAATACCTTGACCATTACAAAGTAATAAAATAAATGACTTTAATTTATTATCTAAATAGAAAACGTTGTCCAAATATCTTAATTCAATAACATTTCAATAAAACTATTCAACAAATTATATTGATTAAATAGAAAAAAGTTAGAACTACAAAAACGATACCTGTTCTATCTAACTACCTAAGATATTGAGAAAGACATACAGAACTTTTTGAACATGTCCTAAACATACATTTCAAATAATCAAAAATATACACTAATTATGTTTTCTTTCAATTTTCTAAATTATTATAGAAAACATCAATGTTCACATAAAGTGATTGGTACAAGGAATTTAACAATATATGTTACTATATTCTACAAAATTATCTTTTACTAATAATCTTTTAAGAATAATTATTAGTTTGGTTTAAATCATTAAATTCAAGTAAAATAACATAAATTATGTAATTTATTGTAATATTTAGTATATTTGTTCTAATAGTATCATTATTATATGTTGTTAGACAAAACTTATGTTTAATAATAATTTAACAATAAATTAAAACAAGTGTAAAATGCAATGTGTATTTGGATATATTTTTAAATAATAATTTAAAAAATAAACTTGTTGATTGTCAGGCAACCAAATATACACAGATAATTAGGTAAATAATATACAGAGGTCAGTGCATATCGAAAGTATCGTTGGAAATACCGAATCACCACGTTTTTCAGACTTACGTCTTTAGTAAAAGCAGATGAGCTGGAGAGAGTCCAATAGAGCAACGTGATTGCGAGATGAGACATTCCTTAATTTAAAAAGCTTGCATTCAGTTGAAATTCCTGCCGTTGGCAAGTACTAAAGTTAACGAAAGTTAACGGCGTATGTTGAAAGTTTCCGTGCCACAAAACAATTTCAAAAATGGAAGTCGACGATAATCAGACCGTTGATTTGGATCCGGTAGTTAAAGAGGTACGAATTTCATTAATTTCCATGTCCCAATTAAGGTTATAAAGCCATGTGTTTTAATACTGATATGTTTTCCTTCAGATTCCCATTTATCTATCGAAGCGTCTAGAGAAACAGCTCTATGTGTTCCAATATCCATTCAGGCCGAAGCTCTCTAAAACTGAACTGGCCATTGAGAAATCCTACCTGAAACCGGACAACAAAGAAGTGAAACTGGAGATGGGAATTGACACTAGTTCCTCTAATTTTGATATCACCAAAGCAGAGCAGATAGCCATGGAGGTAGATGGAATGCAGACTGACAAGAACAAAGATAAGGAGGTTGTGTTTGAGAATGAGTACATGGACAAAATTATATTGACATCAAGCAATGTGGTGCAGAACACAGATAAATATGCTATTGGTGTCTTCAATGGTAAGGAGTATCACATAAGTCCTCTGGAGGGGTTTCTGCAGATGAAACCTTGCCTGGATTACTTGAATAAGGTCAAGAGAAAGAGGGACACTAATACAGATGATGAAGATGATCCTGAGGCTGGACCAAGTGCAGCCGAAGCTGTCACAGTGAAATTTTCAAGGAACAGAAATGATAAGCAAATGAAATCTAGGGATGTCAGTTATAAGAAGCTGAAGGAAAAAAGAGATGCTGAAAGCTGGATTGAATGCAAGTGGAATACAAGCACCAGCTCAACCAGTGAGATTACCAAGCAGAAACTATTTTCAGAGTGCTTCGATGATATTGGTCAGGGGATAAATGTGAAACCCTCAGAGTATATTAAAATTTTGGTGCCTGATGATAAAGAGGAAGCCATTATTAAACCTTCGCTACCCTCAAATGTTGTCTCTTTGCATGCATTGAGAGCATTGCCATTGTTGGAACAGTGCAGGTTACTTTTGAAAGATGGTAAGACTTTAATTGTGTTTCTATTTCAATACAAAATTTGTTAAAATTTTTATTTGCAGCAAAAATTATACAATTTCAACAGCTCATTATTTTGTTGGCTGGCTGTGATGGCGCGACTTCTGAAGCGTTACTGAAGACTTTACCTCAAGTTGCTGTTTTAGTTCGCGGTAATTGGATAGTAAAATCTGAAATTTTGTATCCGCAAGATACGTTTTCGGCTGTGGGCGGTGTTCCAGCTGAACTCATGTGTCGATCTCGTGATTATGTGGTAAGTTTTTAACACAAATTAAAGTCTATTAAATTGTTTTTTTATATAACGCAACGTTTTTTCAGTTATATTTATTTACTAAGAAGCAATTTATAACAAGGAAAGAGGTCTGCTTGCGTTTACCAATCGAAGAGATTAAGGAAATATTTACGGGGATTTCGAAATTGGATCGAAGCAAACGCTGGTCTTTGGTGCTTCCCACTGACACAGATTTTATGGGAAAGCACTTCGAAGTGGTTGAAAGGCAGCAGGCGCTTTGGGAACAGAGAGTAAAGCAACTGGAGAGCTTCATGGAATGCAAGGAAAAGGAGAAAGAGAAGAAGCATCGGCGGAAGAGTAAGAGCGTCTGCGAGGAAGCGCAGAGCAAAGAATCCGACCTTGACTCGAGCGTGGAAAAGCCGACGTCGCCGGAAGCGGTTCGGAAGAAAAAAGCCAAATGATATTTCTACAACATAGGATTATTGTAATGAAATTGAAGACTTATTAGTATGTTATCTAGTCTTTGCAATTTCGGAAGATTGGAATCCAGTTCCTCTTTATTTTTCTACGGAGAAAAGAAAGATACAAATTGCTGTTATTTTTGTATGACTTGTATTATTATTGCCTTTACATTTTAACTTTTTTTGTGATATTAATGTAAATCGATTACGTTTTTTTTTTCTAAACTCAGCTATTTGTTTCATGTCGAATGTATTATATTAAGATAATTATATGAAATACACTATAATATATTTATGTCCGATAATCGTTTATTTCTTTCGCAAGTTTTGATATTTTACTGGAAATGATCAATGTACAAAATGTGTATATAAATTGTTATAAATAAATTAATGTAAATTATACATTTAATTGATGAGATTCTCCAAATATTACATAATCATTCATATTAAAACTGAACACTTATTTTTTTTAAGTTCATCCCAAGTTCGGAAGTCGTTCATACTTACAAAACTACTTTTGGGTCAAGGAATAAAATAATAAAAACGTTTTAAAATATTTTAATGTATTCTTTCTTAGAAATAAAAACCTAATTTTATATAATAAAAAAACGACGAATCTTAAACGAAATAAATGTAACTTTTGGTAGTTAAATGATAAACTATCTCCGAACCTACTGAACACACAATGAAACTGAAAGAAATGTAATAAATGCATTCGTTTCATTAACACAAAAAAATAGAAATCTAATTGTACAAAATCAATATACGTAGAAGCTCTTGTAAACTACACGGAGTAGGCAGCGGAAACGTAATAGAACAGTTGCATATTTACAATTAGTGAGAAAATTATAAAAGTTTCGACGAACTCGTTATATACACGAAGCCTTAAAAAACTGCGATTAATGGCTGCAAAAATTGTACTTGATACTAAAACTATTTGAGAAGTAAGATTAAAAAAGGTGTTTAGAGAGGAGGCCGAAGAGCGCCGAGAAAATGAGAACCACGGCAGCGCTAGCATTGGAGTGTGCAGCTCCGCGTTCGCAGAAGTCCAACCTACAGTTCTGTGCCAACATTTGGTACTTATCTCTGACCACCTCCCAAGAGCACAATCCGACTGAACACTCAGGGAATTCCACGGGATTCTCGTTCATGAAGAACATCACCTTATACTTGTCGTTTTGGTTGTCGCATCTGTAATGAATTTATAGTTAAATGTAAGGTTTTATTGTCTTTTTTTTAAACATACTGGTAGAGGACTGCGGCAATGTTTCCAGAGAACGGCGCCAACTGGGAGGTCCTCCATTGCCTCCTATCCATTTGATAATAGTTGTCGGCCGTTAAGATGCCTTGATCTTGACCGATTCCCAAAGCCACCATAAGCTTCAGTATCTCATCGATGTTCCTGAAGTGCACGATACCTTTCGCTTGATTAGTGGAGCCATCAACAATGCGTTCAAATCTCTCGTACAAGTCTTTAAGTAATCCACAGCCTAGGTTTTTGTTTAAATGCTCATGTCCGTATCCCGATCTGTAATAGTAGAAGAGATCTTCGCCGTACTCGAGCAATTTGTGTTGAGCGTGAGTGAACGCCACGCACCATGGAGAAGGTCTCGTAATGAACCTAAGATCAAATTGAAAAAAAGTTTGAGTTTTCTATTTGAGGGGAATTATTTATGAGCTATGTACCAAGACTTTTCGTATCTGCACAAGTCGTACATGTCCTCGATAATGGTATCGTTCAACGTGTGTCTGAAGCCTAGCCTCCTGAAGACATCCCTGACCATATCCCTGTATTCAGGTTTCTGCTTGAAAGTTTGATACTCAGAGGCTGTACTCCTATCTTCATCGGAGCGTTGCTCATAAGTTTTGCACCTGGAATCCGGAGTCTACAAACAATCATCAAATTAAAAACCTGTATGAAATCATCACTTTATGCACTCACAGATCCATACTGCGATGATTCACGGTTCTCACTGAACGACGGTGAATAAGAGCCCTGCGAGAACGGCGAGTAAATCTGATTCTGATTGCTGTTATCTCCGTAACTATTGAAGCTAGCAGGATTCCTCACGGTGGCATGCACCCTTTGGGCGTCGTTTCCGAAAAGTCCTTGAATGAACGCCTGATAGGATTCGTAGGACTTGTCTCCTTCTGTATATTCGAACTGGAAGAGAACAACAATTAAGGCGTGACTCATAGCATTGCGTAACGGATTCCTTGGGAACACATTTTCGGCGCATTTCAGGCGGAGGACCGGACTCCGAAAACCGGTTTACCTGTTCAAAATATGTTTCGCCACTATTTCAACGGACACAGCAGGAAAATCGAAAACGCTGCCTTTTAAATCCGCGCGCATTCTCGTTTTCAAGAACAAAATAGAAAGCTGCTGCTCACAATATCCAATGCACCGGCAATAATAGCTAAATAAGATTTAATAAGCACACGCAACGTGTACAAGAGATGCGATTTTTTTTCTATATGAAATAATCGCTCGCTTGTAATGACTTCATAGAATTGCAATCTGACTGAGTCATATTATTCAATGCTAGTTTATGTTCTGTTACTTAAGGCCGTTTATGTTGGGCGTGTTTCCTTACTATGTATATTGTACTTTGTTAGCGTTACAAAATTGCATCTTTGATAAAAAATAATATAAACGTACTGTACAAACAAATATAAAGTGGCGTAGGTCGTCATATAAAACCGCGTTGTGATATTAACAAACTAGAAATACAAAATAAAAATCTACATAACAACAAACACACTTATTCTCATACTTTTTTAGCGATAGAAACCAAATTAGTATTTGAAGGAATTAAAGATCAACAAGCTTCGATACTGACCTTCAAACAAGCACCTATCGCCAGATTTAGAAATGATGCTATTCCACGTCCAAGCAATAATTACACGTTGTTATTTTTTTAATTGCTAACAGTGTACGTTTAAATGAGAAAAATATTAAATATAGTTTATTTTTTCAATGCCACGTAAACTATGCATATTTATAAATGTATATCGCGATTTTGTTTAGAATTTATGGAAATTAAACAAGAGTTTAATAACATCAACGTATTTAATAAAATGTAAACTAAATCTATGATGTTTTTAATTATTGCAAAAAAAAAAGTGAAATTTATAATTTTTGTAAATACATTTCTATTGATATTTGGCTGAATTGTCTTTTGTATGTTTTGAATAGTACGTTTATATTTAGAAAATCTTATTAGCTTAATATGTTAAGTGACGCTCACCTAGATTTATTTAACATAGATTTACATTTAGTTCATGTCGTGTTTGAGTGTTCATTAAACCGTGTTAAAGTACATATTTGTTTATTGCAAGTTATTAGTGAAATTTGAAGCTATTGGTTTTTCGTAACCCAAAATTATTTATATTTATATTAATGTAGAAGTAATAAATTGACTCACGTAATACTGTGTCTCGCTGTACGGGACGAGAAGATCCCTAAAACGGCTCTGAATCCTTCTGGCGATGAACTTTAAATCTTCGGCACCTTGGCTACTCAAAGATCCGGACTTGTGCTCGTTGACTGTCTCATTCCATCCCCAACTGAAGGAAACAAACACATCATAAAAATTTAAATCACAGATGCCAAAGTTGCTGCATTTGCGTACGTATGCGTATACATTCGAGTCCATTTAAAATTCCAGTACACACCTGCACAGCTGTACAGTTAACATGCTCATTGCGTAACTCACGCACAACCCGTGTTCCGTGATTTCATTTGCGGTCAATGCATCCCATAATCGTGACGTAAACATATTATCATTTATGCTTGCCCACCATTATAGTTTACATGTGATTTTATTTGAAAGGGAAGAAAAATGCTGATTAACGTACCTTCTTATCAAGGAGTAATCCTCGGCGCAGAGTCTTCCCCTGTTCGGATAGGATCCGCGTTCACCATAGTTCTTCATGATCTGATCGTGAATCCTCTGCAGATTCCTGTACCTCTCGATGGACATTCGATCAGGGATGCTGGTGCCCTCCCTGAACGCGCTCCAATATTGCACCGGTTTACATTCTGCAAATTAAGATCAATTGAATAAGCGATGACCGAATTTAATTGGCTTAGGTGACCGAAGCCAATTAACCTTGTGACTCAAAGGCTAACTTGCTTCTTATTTTTATTTCTTCATCATTTTGGTAATGCATTTCGCTAATTAAATTTAGTACTCACGTGGGACTACGTGCTGATTAGAGGTTTTTCCGTAAACGAATTGGTACGAAGTCTTGCTGCCCATCCTAACATAAGCATCTGAATCAGTGGAATAACAATACTCTTCGCAACATTTGCCATCGTCATCTCCGAATTTTCCAGTTCCGTAGTTGCTTTCGTTGTTTCTGAATCTATCGTCGCGGTTATCATTGTTACGGTTGAAGTCTCCCCTGTTTCCATCCCTGTTGTAAGGATCGTTCTGATTCCTGTTGTAAGGATCGTTCGGATTCTTGTTGTACGGATCGTTGGGGTTCCTGTTCTGTGAGTCATTGGCGCCATAGGGATCGTTCGGGTTCCTGTTGAAATCGTTTCTGTTGTCGTTGCGGTTGTACGTATTCTGGTTCCTGTTGTAGGGATCGTTTTGGTTCCTGTTGTAAGGATCGCTGGGGTTCCTGTTGTACGGATCATTTTGGTTTTTATTATACGGATCATTTTGGTTCCTGTTGTAGGGATCGTTCTGATTACGGTTGTACGGATTATTCTGGTTCTTATTGTAAGGATCGTTTTGGTTCCTGTTGTACGGATCGTTCTGATTCCTGTTGTTCGGATCACTAGGATTCCTGTTGTACGGATCGTTCGCATTGTACGGATCACGATTGTAGGGATCCGATGAATTGTACCTCTGTTCATTACGACCGTAATTCCTGTTGTAAGGATCATAATTTCCCGTTTGATTATTCCTGCTGTCGTACTGATTCCGATTGTAATTGTCCCTGCCGTATTGATCCCTGTTCGTGTTGTACGGATCGTAGGATTCGCCCCTGTTCCTGTCCTCGTCGTAGATGTCGCCGAAAATTGATTTCGCCGCGATCAACAGGAACAGCCATTTCAGGATCAAGTACGTCTGCACCTCCATTTTCCTGAAACAATACGTACCGAACATGAATTTATTGTTGTTGTCAACAGCAACAACTAATGTCATTTCAAAGTTGCCTTTAAGTTAATTGTAAGTTTATAATCAAAGAAGATGTGCAAATTCTGTAACAGTATTATATGGTTCCTCATTTTGGTATTCATAGCACCCTTCATTGCCACTATTTGCGCTGAATTGTATGTCTTCTTCCACTGCTGCGGTGCTTGTTCAGAATGTTGCGAGGTAAGTTTTTATACCTAACAACAAAAATTTACTATTTTATTTTCTCAATTTCAAATTTTTACTGGCCCATTATTTGACCATTGCTTTTCCGATCTTTACAAATTAAATTACTTAAATATAATACATCATAATCATTGAATCTTCAATTACATTTCATCATAAGTTACCATAGAAACATAATAACCTTTAGCATTCGCAGTTCAACCAATATTAAATAAACAAAATTAATTTAAACAATTTTTTATCAAGATGCTTTGCGAAAAACAATGATTTATTATTTAAATCATTAATTAACATTAATATTCCTGATATCACTTAAAATTGCACAAAAAAACAAGAAAATTACATCGTTTTGATATGACTAACAACGAATATGACCTTCTCATAACTTCTTATATAACACATTGACGCTAATTCTATGATTTAAAATAACATTGACAGTCGCTCATAATTAGTTCGTGGTTTGTTCTGATGATACATAAATAATAATACGTTTTATCTAATACAAAAGTTAGAAACTTTGAAGTAAGAAATTAAAATTTTGTTCTAAAATAAAATTTATTTTTTTATATAAATTTCTTGCAAAAAAAAAATAATGAGATGTACGTATTCATTCATCATATCTAGATTAATGCAATTGCCGTTTATTATATAAACATAATTAAATATGCATTGTGCTTTTGTTATATTATGTTATTTTTTGTATGAACAATAGCACGCTTTTAATATGAGGATTACGTATACGAATTTACTTGACGCTTCTTAACTTGCAATTAAGTAATATGAAAGCAAAAATAAATATTTCTTTCGATTCTAAATATCTTTTGAAAGATAAACCTTTGAGAAATTCAATTGCAAGAATGTAGATATTTTCCTTGCACGATGGAAAATTTGTTCGAGTGGAACTTGTCGCGTTTTGTTTGCATGGATTTACGTAATATGGTGAACTGGTTCACTTGATGCTAGCTAGATATGTACATGTTTGGGTTAGCAGAGAAAGCAAAGATCAATGCAATAAACATAACGGTCTAACTATATTATATAAAAAAACTTGCTTGATTTGTCTTGTTCGGTACAAAATAAGGAAAACCAAATAAAAAGCAATTATTTTTATAGTAAATTACATTTTTACACTACTAAATACTTCATAACACATTCTATTTCCCATACAATTTATGTAATACAAAATCTGAAGTTAATTGGATATATTTGATAAAATCTGTTTCAATGAAATCCTTATTGCAATAAACAGCAATGATTTTAACGTATTTGTATAAATTTTCAGCCGTTTACTGATTGCCTATTAAAAGGAGTTCAATTTCCTCGACTATGTGCGGATAAGATGGTAGCAGGAGAAGGATGTGGAAATAGTTAATTAGTTAAAAGAATACAAAACCTACCCACAAAAAAAAAACGATAAAACAGTGATTATTTAGTGGAATCTCATTCAGGAGAAACCGAACAATCGAATCGTCATTTGCGGCAGAATGTAATGTAAGTTTAATTAAGAAAACGCATTTAGCTCGAAGGATCCCGACAAGGCCTTCCTCGTAGCAATTGCATAAGACAATGTTATCGACATGCAAATGCTTCCCCGACCGGTAAAGTGCTTTAGTGCGGGTGATGATAGTGTTTATCACCTGCCTCCATTTTTTTGTGTGGTTCGAGTTTACCGGTGATTTCGCTACAAAATGTTGTAATTTCATTATGAATATAAAGAAATAATACACGAAAATTACATTATATTATTGCTTGAAGTACCTGCATGACCGTATTTCAGGCAAAAATATTTATGTTTTTTACCTTGACTCTTAATCATCTCCGTTACGCGTTCGAGTTACATGCATATAATAATGACAGGAAAAAAAATATGGGAACTATAAATAACTTCTGCTTTTATTTGTTCTTGTTTCGATACGTTTTCCGTTCGCAGCAAGCATAGCGTTTAGTCAAATTCAACAAGTGCTATTTCCATGCTGGTTCGTTTAGGTAATCACCTACGAATTAGGTTTATAGCTTATTACTAGATGCTTAAGTCGTTCACTAATGTTCAATTAAAATACTATTAAAGTAAAAGCGCGCATCTACTTTCCTAAAATTATATTGTCATGATCTTCGCTCTGTACTGTTTTTTTTTTACAAATTGCTTTTACACGATTCAGGATATTTATTCTACAAACTGTTCCTGTTTTTAGTTGATTTTAAATGAATTGAATCACGAATTGTTTTTCAAACTTATTAAATTCGAATTTTCATAATACTTAGTTCACTAATTGTACAAAATAAATATGAAAATCTTCAGCTACTATTAAAATTCATGTTTTCTTTTTAATGCAATTCTAAACAATTCTAACTCTGACTAAAGCATTCACTCTCGACGTGTTCCTTGAGTCATGCAGCGCAGAATGTGTAAATAAACATGAAGTAAATAAAAAAAAACATTTCAACCATTAGCAAAACAAGGATATAAAAAAAGTTGATGTTTAAAACATTTGTTTCAGATTTTACTAAATTTCTCAATTATTACTATAAATCTTATTACTATTCTTAAATAACATATTTTTAAGTTAAGTCAAAAAAAATGAAAATAACTAAAATTTCCATTATTTTATAAATTTTTATAAAAGCAGTTGAAACTTAATTTACAATATTAGTGTTTTATTGAAAATAAGAACTCTGAAATAGGAAATTCCAAAACATTAAATATAAAAATTACTTTAAATAACTTTTTTGAGAAGAAAATCACATTAGTATTCGTTAATCAAATTCAATGTTTTTTTTTTGTCAACTTAGAATTTGTTTTCATATTGTTTGGTGTAATTGCTAGTTGAATTACTATCGTGTACTGAAACGGAAGTTTCAAAACGTGTCTACCTGGATACACATTGTAGTATGTGTATGTGCTTTAAATATCCATTTGGAAATATCGAACATTCACTATTCCACACATATATTAACAATATTTGTATATATTACTTATTTTATATTGTATATTTATTGTGTTTAATGTAATAATGAAGGAATTACGCGGAATGTAGTTTTTGTATGAATAATTGAAAGATGGATAAATCGATGATGATTCCACCGATATTAGCTTCAGAAGATAAGTGTCTTTGCGTGGGAATCAAACAAAGTTCATGACACCGGTGCGATGCTGAATAATTGAGGAGAGTTGCGATTGAGCGACAGGTCATTCTCAGTTCTTTCCATTTGAAATAGGAAATCAAGTAAATAAGTAAAAAAAACATCGATTCGCTTATCGCGAATCAATTGAAACGAAAGACCAATTGTCCCATTTAGCGAGGACGGTGATAAGAAGTAAATTGTAGTTACTGCTGCTGCTGTTGAATGTTATCCTCTGGGTCGAGATCATTGTCCCAAACGCGTCGCCGTAACTGTAAAATTTGGTTTTAGAAGGTGCGGTTCTCCGATGGCTTCTCCAAATGTGAAAGTTCACGTTGCGCAAATCGCGTCGGGAGAAAAACAGTTCTCATGGAAAAGCTTTTTTCTCTTTGATACTTTCTAAACCAACAGAACGTTTAGATGACAGAAGAGAAGATGCTCATCGATGCTGCATCGCAACACCAGTTTCAGTGTTTTCGCATTTCGTTAATGTATTCTGTACACATGTAAATCGACTCTGCGTGTAGCATTTAAAGTTGGACACTGTATGGTATTTTTTTTTTGTTAACGGTAAGAAATTCGAGAAGTTTAATGGTATGATCATGTATATTAATAAGAAGATAAGCTCAGATTACTGAATAAATATTTGCTACAATTATTATTATTGTTTTTAAAGTTTGTTATTAGTAAACAAATGGAAACAACATACCTAAGTTGTAATTAATCCTGTATATATATTGATTTGAATTTGCGCTGCTGCTAACCACCGGTCACTAAAGCTACGGTCACAATAAACCGAGAGTTTGAAAGAAGAAAAAAATAAGTGTTTGAATGGCCCGGAGGGCTCGATGTATGGGAACGCGGGTTTCGTAGGTGCGTCCTGCAAACGGAACCACTCTTTAATGAATGCAGCGAGTCGCGAGTATAAAACTTGACCAACGAAATACATCACCCCCTACTCTCCTCACACACATCCACACACAATCGCAACTAGCAGTCAGGAGCTCATACAATAATTTTCCGTACGGCTACCTTGTGATTCTATTTATGATGTATGTCTTCTTACCTAACGCCGAAGACTCTTGCGTTCCCCATGCATTTGACGATCTGAAGGACTATGCACCAAACTGTTTGGATGCGCACTTGGAATGAGCCAAGGATTTGCGTTATGCATCCGAAAATCCCATCGATTCAACAACATTTATTTTTAATGTTACGATCGGTTTGCGTGATGAGTTTTAGTTATCTCATATTTTCGACACACGAAAATCCTCGCTCGTTTCAGTCTCGGATCCAAAGGATACATATTTCTGCGGCGAATACCTTTTGGACGTCTCATTTGAGACACGCACGGTGACGTGATTACGAAGAAATAAATGATATTCATTTAGGAAAGTTTGTTTTTCTATTTATTCATTCTTATATAATAATGTATGATACATTTATGATAATTGTACTTATTTCATAGAAGATTCATTTTGTTCATAACATTGGAATATTGCACAATCTACATAAACGAAATAAAATGAATATTTGAAAAGACTTTTTCATAGTTATAATTTAATAATGTGATAAATATAAAAATATATTTTTTCTTCCTATTTAAAATTATTAAATTTTTCATATATTTATTCTTGAATTTATTTTTTCTCATATCTATCGTTTTCTTTACATGTTAAGATCATTAATAAGAAAGTTGATGATAAAGATGAAATACACAATTGAGAGAGAAATATGTCGCTACGTACATTAACATTGAAAGGAAAAGAGAAAACCTTGGAAATCGTTGGGAATGTTGAATTATTAATTTGATTCCCGTTCGCTCAAAGAACATTTGTATTCTTCAAGGGTTCAAACAATTACTTCTCAGTTTATTTCCTTACTGTAAATGCTATTCTTTATTTTAAGAAAAAAAATGAGTTATATAAAATAGTTTAGTTGCAGAATCCATAATTGGTAAAAATATTAGTTTATAAGTTACAAATAATTCAAATTAAACTAAAAATATGTCATATTATTTGTTAATTAGATAAATACATTTTTAACATTTTCTTTCTAATTAGGTTGCTGTGATTTCAACCTGTAATTCGCGTTCAAAATTGAAAAAATTGAACGCTCGAAAAAACAGTGTTTTCCAATTTTAGTAATTTTCTCGGAAAATGTAATAGATTGAATGGATCCAAAAGATGCATGTTCTAGTATTGTTTCTGATCACACATATTTCCAAACTTGTGTTCGGACATGTTATTTGTGATTAATTTTTGTACAACATTTAATAATGCAAGTGTTATTAAATTTTGTACAAAAATTAACTACGAAGAAATAAAAATATCCATACATATGAAGGAAAATTCTTTCACTATATGAGTAAAAATCTGAAAAGGATTATGCTCGTTAAGCGAGTTTTTATTGTATGTTTTATTGTATGTATGTATTTAAAAAATAGATTAAAATAAACAAAATTCTTACTTACAAATACTCTTCAATGTAGACATCACAATTATTTAATAAAAAACGACAAAAGAAACAGATACATCTTCCAAAAATATTATATTTTATTAAAAAAATTATCAATTTTTGTTTGCACAGTTATTTTTTTTATCACTAAATATCTCCTTGTAACAAGTTAGAGTTTTTAGAATTTTGTTCGTAAGTCGGGGAATATTTATGATTTTGTATTATGAGGTACAGGTGTGTAATTTTACAGTTGTATTATGAAGCAACAAAATATTGCGATAGATTATTTTTTTCATGTACTAAAATGTCCTTCTGTTGTATTGACCTTAATTACATTGATTAGGGTAATAATTTAAATTTGCTTTAAATTAGATATGCAACACAATATGCTATTACTACTGTTCATAAAAGACTTAGGCTATCTGAGGATTTGGTTGTAAGTAAAATTGTATAAGCATTGGAGTATCAGAGCAAGCAAAAACAATAGTGGTGTTTAGATGAAAAGTTCAATTACAGGTGTAATTACAGATAAAGTATAGTGCGGTGATTTTGTGCGGCGAAATAACAATCTTCCACGTCCAAAAATTTTAGCAAAAATGAGTAAACATATGTATTCAACACAAAACCTGACGGACAAGGAGCTCAAAGAGCAGGGAAATAGGATGTTTATTTTAAGAAAATATGATGACGCCGTTAATTATTATAGTAAAGCAATAGTAAGTCCATTTGAGGTATTTATTAAAAAAAAAAGTAGTAACACATCTGTTTTGGTGCAGATTAAGAATCCAGATGTTGCACATTATTTCACAAACAGGGCTCTGTGTCACCTGAAACTGCAGAGATGGGAAAAGGCTTGCACAGACTGTCGCAGAGCCCTAGACATGGACCCAACTTTGGTTAAGGGCCACTTTTTCCTTGGGCAAGCTCTGTTAGAGACTGAAAATCATGATGAATCCATAAAGCACTTGCAGAGAGGTATTTTCAAAAATTATTTTTTTTGCAATATATATTGATACAAGTTAATTTTAGCTTTTGATCTGTCGAAAGAACAAAAATTAAATTTTGGTGATGACATTGCATCTCATTTGAGGGCAGCAAGAAAGAAAAGGTTCTGTATGCAGGAGGAGAAGAGGATTGCTCAGGAAATTGAACTGCAAACTTATTTGAACAAACTGCTTGTTGAGGATAAGGAGAAACATCTGAAAGTACTTGATGAACTTGAGTATGATGCTGAACAGAAGGAATTCAAAGCGCAGCACATTCAAGATAAATGTGTATGTTATTTGCGAGAATTTCGTGTTTTAACAGTAATGAAAATGATATTTTAGGAAACTTATATGAATGAATTGAACACGATTTTCGCTAAAGTTGATGACAAGAGAAGGGTGAGCGTAATCTATAGTTAAAATTAAGATATATATAAACGTTGTCTTTTGTTTAGAAGCGTGACGTTCCCGATTATCTTTGCGGTAAGATAAGTTTTGAAATTCTCCAAGAACCTGTGATAACACCTAGTGGTATAACTTATGAAAAGAAAGACATTGAGGAGCATCTGCAAGTAAGTCATTTTCTTACGGACTTTTTCCCACACACAACTTTATTAACACTTATTATTATTATTACACAGAGAGTGGGACACTTCGATCCAGTCACCAGGGTAAAATTAACTCAGGACCAGCTGATTCCGAACTTCGCGATGAAAGAGGTCGTCGATTGCTTCTTACAAGATAACGAATGGGCATTGGATTATTAAGCTATTGTCTCATATTCACAGTAGAATTCGTTTTCTCTCCGTCATATCCTCTTCGTTTCGCTTTTTAAAACCATTCTCTTTAAGAAATATAATTGTTATAATCTTATTTACTCGATTAATAATGAAACTACGATAATTTAAATTATTACATAGTTTTCTATAAATAAAAGTACCGCTTCAAATGATTGTGTTCTAATTAATGAAAACAAAAATAATCTCCTAAAGTGAATTTGTGCACCAAAATATCAATCTTATTCATTTTCATAAACAACGTTGAACAGATCTTTGCAAGCCGTTGTTGCTGCATCCTTCTTGGCTGACTTTTTGTTGGGTCCTGCAAAAACATTATCACGTGATCCTCAAGTTACAAAAAAAAATGTTCACTGCGAAATTATTTAATTTCACATTAAACTCACCATTTCCTATGTAAAATTTTTCATTTACAGAACATTTCATCGTGAAGCAAAGTTTCGGACTTGTGCCAGTAACACAGACCAGATCATAAACCACATTTGGATGCATCTGATGCAGCAACATACATGGATGCAACATCGACGGGTTCTCTGGAAGCTTCTTAGCACCAATCATTTTATCAGGAGGCGGAGTAGTGACCAGTTCCAAAGCAGCATTTTTCTCACTGGGCGTTGCCTGAAAATAAAAACACATAAATACGAAACTCAAACAAATTGAAGCAAACGTAAGTCTTACAGTGTTATCATTTGACCAGGCATCGAACAATTTAAACATCGCAAAGCATGCGACATGTCCTAGCGAGATCTCGCCATCCTCTTCAACCTTCTTCTCGCCACCCTCGCTCTCCGTCATAGAAGCATCAGCAGACTCCGTCTCCGGCGCTTTGTTAAAAACTTTAGAAAGTTTCTTAAGGATAATGTGCTTCAGTGCAGCTTCCGCTGCGGCATTTCGTGCTGCCACTTTACTATGACCGACACCTTCAAACACATTATTATCAACAGTTATTGTGGCCTTGGCACAATCTGGTGTTGCCGTTGTGAAAGTCATAGACAAGTTGGAGGAATCCGCAAGCATTTCATTCAACACAACGACTGCGTTTTTCGGCTGCAGGATCCTCTTCAAATTCATATTCGTCGCTTTCAATTTTTGTACCCTCGACAATTTTGCTGCAAATAAAATATATATTAACACATTTCATCAACAGATTTACTTAGGCCAAGTAATCAGTTTAAATCAGAATTAAGTTTCACATTGCATCTTAAACGTCTCAACGGAATTTCCGGAAACAATAAAATGCTTCAAATTTGCGCAGTGATGTCATCATAGAATTGAAGAAAAATTGAAGAGATGTATATTATATTTACATTTTTTCATCCATTTTGGCTTCGCGCGATTTGCTGCCTCCGAACTATCGCCTGTTTCCGATTTAAGTTTATTGGAACTATCCGTTTCCATTGGTACTTCCGCCTTTGTGATGGTAGGCGGAGCAACTGAAGGCGTGGCTACTGCTGTATGCTTCTTTATGTTTGTAGATTGTGAGGAAATTGAGATTGGTTTTGAATCATTTATCGTTGGTTGTGCCGCTTTCACTGTAGGTTGCGTAACATTTGCTATAAGTTGTTTAACATTTGCTGGCAATTGACTAGTATTGGTTTTAGGGACACTTCCAGAGGTTACAGGTAGAATAGGGGCTGGAGCTATATTTATTACGGGTGTTGGAATTGTTGCTACGGGTGAAGTCATCTTGTTTGGAGGTATATGCTGATTGGCAACCATTAAAAGCTGCTGGTTCATGAAGTTCTTCGCTGCTGCGGCAAGATTAATTTGACCGCCCTAAACAATTTATCAGTATAAATAAAGTAATATGAAAATAAATATATAATTGCAATTACCTGTATAACTGGTTGCGCCTGGCTCATCAATTGAATTTTTACTTGTTTATTAGCCAAGTATTGCTTTTGCTTCTGTTTCTTCTTCATCTGCTTCTGGGGATTTGGCTTCTGATTTCCTTGTTTCTGTACCATCAACAGTGAGCACCGATATTTTAATAACAAAATCACACATAGAGACAATGGAATAATTCACTGTCAATTGACACCACGTCTCAATGAATGATCAAGCTTTTATGCATGTATATCTTGACAATTTATGTCCAAGTGTATGAAAGCAAACTATACAGAATCAAATAAGAATATTTGATTTGTACAATTCTGAAATTTCTATTATTGAACATAATTTCGTTAAGATACAAAGAAACAAGTATTCGACTAATTATGTGTTAAAAAAATATTCTTCTGTAAAGCATTTCGCTTCCAGAAACTTTTTATAGACATAATTAGGACGAACAGTTTTTATAACAGTACCACCACTGAGGCAGGATAAATCCAATGCCTGTTTTTCATATCAAATAAAATTGAATTAATTTTCAGTAGATAATAATGAAACGTCCATCAAAGCTTTACATCAGAAGTTTCAGTAAAATCATGATGGACATTTACAAAATTCATAGGAATAGTGATGTTTAATGTCTTACCTTTTTTGCAGCATTATTCTGACGCCTCTGCCCTACGGCTCCTACGTTGAAAGCGGATGAAACTGAGAAAATATCAATAGTTAAGTAAAACACTAAGGAATATACGACTTTTTACTTACAGAAACCTCCTTGATACATATTGAAGTCAACAAATGATCTACTATGGAATTGAAGCTAAATAATGCTCTTCTATCGTGAAATTTTTGCTTTTGTTTAGGACAAAAACCAATATCCACAAAAAATCTTCACACAGAATAAAAATAATGAAAGTATTGTCAACCACGTTCCAATGGTTCTCAACATTTCATTTAGGTTAAGATTTTCTATTTTTACAGATTAACCAATAAATGAAACTGTTTGGTAACTGTTTAAACCCGATTATTATCAACAAAAACACACAATAACCATTTTCATTGAAAACTTGTATATAATACTACACACCACTACATACATTTACAATAGTATAAATGTTTGAGGATCACAGGTACTTGAACTTAATGATCGGTTTAACATGCAGTCATGCCAACTATAAAGAAATACAAATATTTACAATTTATTGATTAACATCAAAACATTTTTTTATTATACAAGTGCGTCAGTTCTATTAAATCCAGTTTCTTAATATCAAGTACTAATAAACATTCACATTATCATCTTTATTCTTATTATTCTTTAATTAATAACAATTTTGAAAAGTAAAATAAGATAAATAAACTAAAAATTACTTTACATTATTATAAAATTATACTTAAATTGTTAGTTATTTTAATTACATTAATAAGAGAAAACATAATAATACAAATAATATCATTAATTTAACATTAAAAAAAGTATATTTAATGACGTACATTACTAGATGTAATCAAAAACATTGATTAACTCAAATTTGTAAGAATTGTTCATCATTTAATGTTAGTTAAAATTACTCTACAGTTAATAAAAGTAAAGTAACAACAGTATATAAAGTATATTCAGAATTTAAAGATATTTACCAAGATAACTATATCAAAAGAAGATACAACATATTTAAGATATTCAACTATAATTTTAGAATTACTGAATTACAATCAAGTGTGATCATTAAGGTAATGAGGCATGCTTTGGGGGATCACGAACCAAGACATTTTCCTGTAAAATTTAAAATATATGATTGTTTTTAGTATTTTTGGGGCCCTAAAAAACAATTTGTCTAGAGGTCTCAACTATTCTTAATCCACCTCATTATGTGTCATTAACAACAATTATATAAATGTTCATATCAATCTTTAAATTTGAATATTTCATATATATTATAGGCAACCAAATATACGGATTAAGTGTTGATGGTTGCATTATAAGACGTAGTTAGCTAAAATCAATATTTACCATTTCAATTAAATGTATATTAGATAAAAGGATTGAAGAAATGAATAGATATATAAATGCTTCAATATCGATGCTCATTTCATGATATTTCAACCGATTGATTTTCGCACATTGAAATGGCAGACGTCGAAGACATGTTAACAATATAAACATGGCAAGTGAATGGTATTTTGAATAATTCGTATTGAATAAACATGATAAGATTTAAGTTATTAAAATGTGGTATGCAGCCGTCGTGCGATTCATCAGACGTAGAATAGTTTTAGGTATAATATTCAGCATCTCGCTGCTCTACTGCCTCTTCAGTTTCATCGGAAAGGTAAGCAATCTGAAAAACCTAACCTAACGAGCTCTTAAATAATAATTCCAATACGATTTACAGACAGAATTCCTGGACAGCGACGAAGTTGTATCAGTGAAACGAACGCAGCCTTTCATATGGAGAACCCTGCAGCAGCACAACTCCACAGCTGATGGGGAGTTTGTGTGTAGAAATTCTGTGCAGGGAAAAGTACTCATAGTTGATGATCGGGGTAACATCCACTCCTTGAACATTTTTAAATATTTCTTAATAATTATTGTACGCAGGTTACGTTTGCCCGAGAAGCGAGATATTACCAGCAGGATGCTGCAATGATAATCTCTCATCATCCATACAGTATTCCTGTGAAACTTGTAAAAACAATAATTGCTGTGCTATATATGAGTATTGCATTTCCTGCTGCTTGCATCCTGATAAGGTATAATATCAACAACTTATGCATTGTCGTTTTACTTAAATTGGAATTGTTTACAGCGAAATATGTTGGAAAATGTATTGGGAAAAGCGTCGGAGCAGAATAACGTGCTGTTTGCATCCGTAACAGACCACTTCGAATTGTGCCTTGCCAAATGCCGGACCAACTCGCAGAGCGTCCAACACGAGAACTCCTATAAAGACCCGAAGGCTAAACACTGCTACGGCGAGACGGCCCCGGGGATGAACAATGTGGATAACGAGACCTGAAGAACATTGCTATTTTTATTATATACACTCACAAAAACAACCAACGAACTTGCAAACAACACACACACACACTTCCACTCACCAAAGTATCTCCAGTGAAATTTATTTTTTAAGTATGTTATAAGGAAGGTAAATCAATTAAAAATGTCCCCACTAACATATTTCTAATCGAGATATTGTAATTATTTGTAATTTTAAAGGAAAGTATACATATTTATATATTATTAGAGATATTTTACTTAAACTCCTGCGCGTAAACCTTCTGAAGGATTTCGTCCACCTGTATATCCCTCGCTATGGAATACAGCGACTCTTCCATTAACATATCAGCAATCCTGTAACAAATCCAAATACATTCACTAAAATTGAAAACATTCCTTCTTTAATTTTTATATAGCATATTTAGTAATTAACTTATTATTTATAGTTTTCGAGAAATACAATAAAATGTGAAGACTTGAAACCTAATTTCTTCAATTTTTATAGCAAATTACGAAAAATCTTTAGCACAATTATGTAATTACCCTCATCTTAATCTTTATAGATTTAGTTTTAATTAGATAATTCATATAATTATGTGATGTGTATCTTTAGCGAGATTCAATTCAAAATGCTTTACCGAGGCTGTAAAGTTTATCACTGTATTACGTGAAAATAAAAATAACGTACAAATTAAAAATTTCATTCATCTTATAGTCCAGAATTTTTCTTTAATTAACATATTTGATCTATGTATTAATTCAAGAAATATAATTTTAAATTATTTAAAAGTATTACATATTTCATTTAATAATGAGCAACGAACTTGCAATTCTAAGAAATAAAGATATTTTCATAATACAAAAAATCATTACGTGACTAGAGAAATTCATATGAAACTGCATTTAAAAATAACTTGATATAAACCGAATCACGTTTTTGCAAAGTAAATACTCGCTTTATGCACGATAGATTCGTACCAGGAACAACAGACACGACAATGTAAGTTAAAATTAAATACCTTTCCATCAGGATCCAGGGTGACATATTTCCGGATTTTCTATACATGTAGTTGCCTTTCGTTTCTTTGTGGAAATCCAATTTGTACTCAATGATATTGACGACGGTGTCCTTTGGAAGCATGACCAGTTGCCTTAGATTCATCTTAGACTTCGATATCCTGTTCAAGCCCTGCGATCTCGACTTCTTGGTGAAGTCTTCAGGACGTTCCTTGTAAAGCAACTCATTACTGCTATCATTCAACGAGCAACCTTTTGAGGCGCTCTTCACCACGTTCACTTCATCCTCCGACACCTCCACCGTCGAGTTATCATCCTTAATGCAGATCAATTGAGCGTTTTTCGAACCACTGACCGACAGCGTTTTCCTAATAAAAACAAATTTATTATAAATACAAAATGCATTATCAAAAAACGATTTTTCTTCTTGTGAAATTGTATATGCTATAGATTATACCGACTGTTTGCGGGGTGTTAATAGTTAACGCATTTTTCAAAGTATTCTGTTTACTTTTGAACACCCACGCAACGATCGCGCTTTTTGGCCACGCACAACTTTGTGTGATTTATTTATAAGAAGAAATAAGTAAAAAAGAAAAAAAAAACTGTACATACACACACACACCGAATCTCGGTATATATTCTTAGAAACCGTGCAAACTTGGCAGGAAACTTTACAGTTTCCCAAACACCCACCGTCTCTATATGCATTCTTCACTTGCCCAACATTTTTTTTCACACTATCCAGTCTTGCTCAACATTCTTGTCCTCGTCCAGTGTTTCTTTCATTAGTTCTTTCGTTTCTCGTCGTTTGTTATTTCTATCAAGATCAATCGCACCTTCGGTTACGCATTCATATATAAATCAGGCAATTAATTAATCTGCATTGGAACTGTGCCAGATGAATGCAATTATTTTCACGGTTGGTAAAAAAGAAAACCGAAATTTTCTCTCATTCAACGGACAATTTAATACGGAATATTGAGATGCTCTAATACCATTCAGAATCTCCAGAGCATTAATTTGCATACCAGTTTTAATTGCTTATGCAATTGCTCTCATTCGTCTATTTACAAATGAAAAATATGACAAAATTGGTCGATACAAATTATCTAAAATTTCTTAAATTAATAATAACAAATCAATAGCATTTGATCAAATTGAATCTAATTTTGTTAGAATAAAAATTGAAATATATACATAAACAAATCTTTATACATTTGTTAAGAAAATCATCAATTTTGGTCAATTTCATAACGAATTGTATCTAATTTGAAGTTTTAATATAAATCTAAATATTAAGTACAAATATAGTTCGCATTCAAAATTCAATAGTTATTAGAATGAAGATGTCTTTCAAAAGCGCGAAATGTAAAGCTGAATGAGAGAATTTTACAACATCAACACTATTTATATACTGTCGACCGTTGATAGATATTCGACTTAATATCTCTGTTTGTTTGGATGTGGTTCTGAAAAATAGTTTGTATGACCATCAGAAACGTATATTAAGATCGATTCGGAGCGTATGAAGAAATCAAGCTGACCGTAAACAATCGTTATGAAATTGAGCGGATGCCAGTTACGGTAGGCGAGGAACGGATGGTCGAGGAGGCGTGTGCAGAGTTTTTCAACTTTTTCAGCGAGCGTTTTTCAGTGTCGAGTGGAAGGGAGAATCTCTTGGTACATGTAAGTCCATCCATCCATCCGTCCCCTTCTAGACGGGAGGGAAAAATCCCAAACAAAAACGCGAACGAGCGACACACGCAGCATCAGTTGGACACTTTCCTTCGTCGCGATCTTTTTGGACTCCTTTCGAGAAAAACCCACACACGCACTCAACGAATTTCGGTGGTGCCGTCTGCAAACAAAAACTCTAACAACACACAAAAAAAGTACCTCCTCCGCATCATCATGGTAAGCCTTTGGAAAACACCATCTTTGGTCAACGATAAATTTCAACTTTTCCATATTTAAATTATAATCATTAATTACAAATCGATCTAATAATACAATTTCATTAAATCCAAATCCAATCTTAAAAAGTTTTCAAATATTTTGCATATTATGTAAGCGATTGCGAAGACTAATATAAAAATCATTTCATTTTAATCCAAATTCATTAACATTTAGATTAATTAGCATTAATTTAAAATTAACAAATTCCTAACATCATAACTTATTTTTCCCTAAATATTAAAAAGTCTATATGAAAATATAGAATAGAATTAGAACAATTTAAATAACTGAAGTTTTGTCACTATAATTTTATGTCCTAATAACTTAATTACGTCATATAAAATAAACAATATTTTCATTGGAAATGCAAAAAAAATTGGTTATAGACATTTCTGATCGTGAAAAAAAACTTTATATATTATTTTGACTAAATTTCTATAAATAAAATCAATTTTCCATACCCAAAATTTCTCTGAAACGTTTTCAAAATATCTAAACTGCTGTTAATATGAAAATAAATGATATTTCATTAAAATAAATTATGATATTCTATACTCAAGTGCTTATGTGATCATAAATTACATTTTTTTTGTTTATGAAATATTAGTTTTAATTTTTCATATATTTTTTTTAAAACTAATATTAATAAATTAATTATGTTGTACATTTTCTGATTGAAATGGATACTTATAATGAATGAAAGGAAAATGTTGGCAATAACATTGGAATTCATTTGCCAAGAAAACGAACTAATCATTAAAATTAATTAATTTCCTTCAATTATTTGAAAAGCGAAAAGCCAACGAAAGCGGTCACGTGTAAAATAAGTTTAATTAATATTAACACTGCTTCAAGACGATCGAACTGGAAGCAGATATTCGTGGAAGAATCTATTAATAAAATTGGGACACGATCTATATAATATTAGGTGAAATTGCAAAGGCTGTGTGTATGTATACAAGCGGTGCACACAGCACTAGATTTAGTAAATTTAGTCCCGAATAGAAAAAAAAAAGAAAGGATAAACCCGAGAGCTCCTTGGGTCGAGTTTCCCTGGAAACAACACAGAAAACGGTATTCTGGCAAACGGCGAACGTCCAATTAATAGTCTAATAAGCGTTACAAATAACTAAAAATAAGTATGCTTTTTCCGTTCTTAGCATTATGATGATACTCGAAAAAGAAAAAAAGGAAGGAATAACCGTATTTTCGCAATTCGAATTGCATTTCAAAAGTTTCATATTTTTTTGAACTTTTGCCAAAATCCGGAGGACATCTGTCTCGTACATCAATCTCTTTGCGAATGCGTAATTTACTGATTTCCTTACCGCTTATCCTTGCTCGCAGTTGACGAAGACTTGGCGCTCAACGGTGCGGTTAATTCTTCCTTCTTGTGAGTCGTAGTGTTGTCGGTCAGGAAGGCCGATTGGATTTCCGAATTGGCGCACTCTATTAATTTATCGACGAACTCCTTAAACTCCATATTCTCTATGGACTTTCCCAGGCGCGTTTCTAATATCCCTTTGGCCCTTTCCTCTATATTTTCATGATGCTGCTCCCCTTCCTCCGTCTTAACCATGTTGATGAAATGCTCCAGAATGCACTCGTACTCGCCTTGCGACATAGGCTGCAATTGCAATAAAAACAATAATCATTTTATTTGTTAAAGACGAAACCACAAGAATGCGACCACTGCAAGAAACCCATCGAGGGCAAGTGCGTCAACGCTTTAGGTAAAGCCTACCATCCCATGCATTTCGTCTGCGACAAATGCAAGAAGCCCATCACCGAGACCGAATTTCAGCAGAAGGATGGTAAGCCTCTGTGCATGAAGGATTACGAGGATATGCTGCCCAAATGCCACGGCTGCAACAAGATCATCAGGGAGAAGGTTGTCAAGGGCATGAACAAGACCTGGCACGAGGATCATTTCGTGTGCAACCTCTGCAAGCAGAAGCTAATCGGGCAGAGCTACGTGGAGAGAAAGGGAAGACCTGTTTGCGAGAAGTGCTTCAACACCAACATCGCCGACAAGTGCAAGGGCTGCGAAAAGGTCATCGACGGTCCTGCTACCGTCGCCCAAGACGCCAAGTGGCATCCAGAATGCTTCAAGTGCAAGGTATTTATTATTGATAAACTGGAACTAACATGAACTAACGTCGAATCTGTTTGTTTTAGAAATGCAAGAACCCCATCAAGTGTGAGAAGATCAAAGTGGACACGGATGGTCTTCCAATTTGCGACAAATGCTAAACATTTTTGATAATATACACACATCTCATTTCTTTGTAATTCGATACTAAATTCGCTTTACGATGCTCTGATTAACACTTATTTATTCTTGTTTAAGTTTTAATAAAATTATTATTATGGAAAAAAAAATCTCTTTTCAAATCATCTCACATTATATCAGTTATATTGATAATTCAGTACAAAATCTAGACGAAAATAATTCTAGATTTATAGAAATGTTCAAAAATGAAATTTTAAAAGATTCAGATGTGGATTCTCTCTGTATGTGATCACTTTTACGATCCCTCTTTGTTATCTCGATTATCTTCGATACTTTCGATGACATAACGTGCAGATAACGTAAATCTATTTATACGATGTTATTGGGTATTTTTATATCCTCAACTGTTTGTATACGCAGAATTTTTTTCGCACGGAACCACAGTGGTTTTTTTTCATACGTTCGCCGAAGATAGGATAGGATATCCGATTAAGTTGAACTTTGAAACAAATAAGTCCATTCGAAAATCCCTAATCATCCTGATAAATTTTTGTTTTTTTATATAAATTGCATTTGTTTTTAATTCATAATCAATTAGTTAATTAATTTGTGGAAATTGAATTGGAATATTTCTACATTTCTATTATGTGAATTTATGTAAAATTTATTTCTCTAATATAAAAGTTCTTAAGTTGATACCGGTCACCCAATCCAAATTGTTTAACTTTTAGGAATAGGCAAATATCACAATGACATTTAATTAAATAATACAATATATACAGATCTTAACTATTTAACAAACAATACCTAATGTATTTATTACCTGATTATCTTTAGCAATTTTCTTAAAGAATCCTTGCGCGAGCTTCCACATCGCCGAGTTCTCTTTGGTATCTTTAACATTTGCATCCTGCATCTGAACTATAGTCTCGACGTTATCGATATCGTTCACATTCTGCTTTGCGGATCTGCATTTCGAGGCAGGAGTGTTCGTCTTTAGCAACGTTTTTTGTAGAGCTGTTTGTTGTCCAGAAAGAACAGGCGTCGGACACTTCTTCTCCACGGGTTGCGGTCGATGCTTGTAAGTAGCAGTCTTGTAACGCGATTGCACGTTAAACCTAAGAAACAATACATTACAATAAAATAAGTTTACTAATCGAAAAGTAATAGTAACTTTTTTCTAGCAAGAGTCGCGATTGCCTTCCTCCAATACAAGTCCTTCTGAGGCGCGGATTGGTACATGGATAATTTACTGTGCTTCGACCGGACTTTGGGCATCCTTTTACCGGAAAGTGAAACGTTCGAGCCAACAGGTAAACCCACCGATCCTTGCAAATTCTCTTGGAGCCTTTCCAATAGTAAATTACACCTGACTTCAAGCACCTGTGGAAAATATTAGCAATTCTAAAATTAATCATATCATATCTGTATAATCCATCTAAATATACATTTTGTTTATTTTATTCGATAGTGGAATTATTCTAAATCGTAATATTTTGATTAGATTAATAATATTATCAACATTTATGCAACAATAGATTAGAACCTAACTTGAATTCATACACTTTTACATCTTCTAAATCATTATAATCTATGTTAATATAAATATTTTTTTATTGTTGATAAAGTAATTAATTTTACTTATCTTCAGCTTTTCAAGAATTAACATTATATTAACCATAATCAAATACGAGTGTTTAATAAAAAAAAAGATTTAAGAATCTTTAAAATTGTTGATCTTTAACTTACATCAATAATATCATCGCCTTCAGCAGCATGATTTCTAAAGATATCACAGAGAACTCCTGTGCTTTTTAGAAGGTCTCTGAGTTTATCGGGAACTCCGACAACGATGGTATTGGGAAGATGTTTCTTGTACGCTTGTAATCCTTGAAAAATGGTTTGGTTCGCCGTGAGGAACTTTTGGTTGAGATCGATGTTATTGGCGTTGCGGACACCGGTTCTTGCGGATGGAGGCCGGAGCATATTTTGGATATCGGTAATCTGCCGATAGAATTACATCAATGAAGAAAAGGAAAATATTTGCTTACTTACGTGTCTATTCAATTGGTAGAGGTGTATTCTGGAAAAACGGGATGCGAACTCCAATGCGCGTTTCTTTCTTCGCGCGTAGTCTTCGGCGCCGTCCGGAGGGTCAATTCCGAATTCCAATACTAGCCTAATAAATTAGTATATTTAAAGTCTAATTAATTTGTGTGATATGATAAAGTACATGCCTAACATCCTCTAAAGTTTGAAGACTTTTCTCGATTATACTCCGGACTTTCATATTCAAATAGAGCCTGAGAACTTCCTTAGGTTGTTTCGGTTCCCTATCTTTCTTCGCGCAAATCTCCGACTTGTTGGTATCTAGTTTATTCTCGGCCTCGCTTTGGCTATTAACAGCGTTTTTTATATCCTTCTCCTCCATTTTCCTATTGCTCTGCATGTTGAGAGTTTGCTGCACCGCGCTTATTATGCTGTCTTCAAAGGAGTAATCGAAACAATCATCGTCGATGCGATCCTCCACCTCTTGCCTAATAGTTACATCACAATACTCATCGGAGGAATCCGTCAGGACCGAAGACTCCGGCGGTTTCTTGATCACCAGCAGAGGATGCATATCGCCGACCGATTCCGTCTTCTGCTGCTCGATCCGTCGAGGATGATGATTGAAGCGCTTCTTCCTTGAAGATTCTTGAGAGGAACCGGGTTTTGCGAGGTTCGCGGCTATCTTATTCCCATCGGGAAGCGTCTTCATCAACGACAGGATCTTCTTCGTCGAATTCTGGAAACGAAATTGAGATGCATCTAGATGTTTTTTTTTATCATCTTAAGGGCTCACTTGTAAGAGGAACCCTATGTCTGCCATTTGATGATGAATTGATTGATTGTGGTTATTTTTTCTTGAGTTTGTTGGGAAACCGATCAGATTAACATTTAATAAAGATATGGGAGCGTTAGTGGATGGGGCCGAACAGTTTCTTGGCGCATTGTCAGTTTGACACGTTGCGTTGCAAGGCAACCTACGGGAAAAAAGCGGTGTGCGTCGAATTGTAAATCAACTGAAATGCCTAATGTCTTACATAATAAGCCAATTAGTACGACATGTGTTACATAAACTTGATGCGCGTATGAGAACATCAAAACATATCCTCATTCGAAAAATCCGGTATAATCGAGCCATAATTAGCTGCACACAATAATCATCAGCAAATTATTTAAACATTGTTCTTCTTATTACTCATTTGTTTTATATTCTCATGTTACTTTTATTCTTACTAATAATGCAATGATAATTAACGTCCAATGAATATCTATAATAAAATGTATATACATATTTGATCAAGAGAAACAAATTTTTGTTAGAAACAGAATTGATTATTATTTTAGATAAATTTAGTAAGAATTTTTACGTTACGGACGGCGCAAATCGGTTTGCCAGCTACGATAAAATTTTTCGTGGACGCCTATGGACTCTGTGAAAAGTCAAATATCTTACGTCAATTACAAACTTAAACTTTTCTTATACATTTTCGAATCATTTTTAAACTGTTTATAACAATTGTGAGAAATGTATATCACGTATCTAAATTGCTTCAAGAATTATTAAAATATTTATAAGAAATGTATTAGCGTTTAAGCTTGGTAAATGACGTAAGATCTTTGTGGTAATACTCAGTCAAAATCAGTGGCGTGCATAGCGACAATACTATTATTCATATTTTATATATAAATATAATTTCCGTTTGCGACAAAATATGAAAATTGCTTTACAGGTATGTTATATATGACACAGTTTATAGTTTGTTATCATTCAAAAAATTCAAAGTCAAATATTTATTTAGAGAAATTTTCATATATAAATTAAAACAAAATGAACTTAAATTTCTATATAACAGTTGTTTCACTAATCTATTCTTTAAATTTCTGTTGTGTAAAATTAATTTACATTTTTTTTATTTATACAGATTTAATTTCAATTTCATTATTGCACATTGCAAAATATTTGCTTTAATATTGAGACAATTCTGCTAAGTACAGAAAAAAAAAAGAAATATGAATGTGAATGCCAAAAAAATCTATTATATAAAATTGAAATTATTTTTTTTTTAAGAATTTAGAAAGATTTAAAAAAATTGCATATTTATATTGCGAAATTATTGCACATATTAATGCAATTCATTGAAACGTTTTGTTACTTTCTTTACTTTTTGTATGTTGAGTATTTGTTGTTTGAGTATGTATCCTTCGGGTATGGATAATAGATTAAAACAGGTGCGAAATGGGAGCTCATTTATTTTTAGAGGCGTTCTTTTAGGCAAACATTAAAACCTCCTCGGGGCATTTGAACATTTGAAAATAAACTATTTACAACTCGATTATTAACATGAAATGCGAGTAACCTCAGACCACAATTCAATTATGGTTCGTTACCATATATTTCGGGAATTCATAAGCACTACTGCGTACATAACATGTAATCAAATATAGACATGTAAACACAATCCAAAATAAAAAATATATAATTTTCATTTACGGATATAATTATATTTGTTTTTTACTTTATTATAATTTTGCAATGAAACTTCATAATTAGTCCTTAATAATTATTAAGATTTATTTCTTTTTAAACAGGTGAGAAAATTCTTCATAAAACGTCTTAAAGTAAATGTATTGATTAGATTTAAACCTTAAGATTGACCTCATTCAGTTCAAGGTCTTTATTTAACTGTCAGGCTATTATTGTCTCGATCTGAATCAGTTTCAATACAATTTCGGTCATAAATTTCTATAAAAGTAAAGAAATATTTACTTCATTGTTAATGAATTTCTGTAAATATCTTTAAATTTTGTGCGAAAATTAAGAAAAATTAAATTTTATTTAGGTATTAATAGATGTATTAAGATAACATAATTTTGTATAAAATCTAAATTAATTTTCTGAAATCTTTGTCAGATAATCAGTATTACCGATTAAGGATTAAGTGCGTTATCGAATGTGCTGCTTTCTGAAAGCTCATGCCAAATTGTGTACATTGCAAAGCAGTTCAGTTTTGTGCTGTGTTACCAAGATTTTGCACGTTCCATTACCATGAAAGGATCAGCACAAGGTGAGATTTGGATTAATGAATAATATGCATCATATTTACACTAAATACGTTCAATTCATATTAGTTATGAGTTATTTACATCGCATTATCATCATCAGTAAAATAGTTATAAAAATAGAATGTGGTTTCAAAAACAAGACCAACAATTATTGTGATAACTTATTTATGCGATTAATTTAAAAGTGCGTTACAAAATTATTTATATACAATTCACAAGGCTTCATTAAAACATTACATCAAGTACAGTAGAACCTCGCTTAACGCACAACCTCGCATAACGAGCATTTTGCTCGTTAACAAAATGAATTGTAAGAAAAATGATTCGCTTAACGGGCAACGTTTCGAATAACGAGTCACGATGAGAAGAGAAGTCCCGGATTGCGCGCCTGCTACATCATTTTTAAAACTTGTATTATGTGTATTTTTGAATATGTTTCACTATACGAGTAAAAATCCGGAAATTTTGGAACAGATTAAACACGTTAAGCAAAGATTTACTTTATTTTGTAAAAAAACGAGAAATGAAAGTAATTAGTGGAAAACTTAATTTGATATAATTAATATCAGCTAATACTACGAAACGATTTAGTGAACATTGATTAAAGCTATTAAGTGAATCATAATTACTATCAGACATTAATTACAAAAATCTTTGTTGAAACAATTCTATATAATTTATACAAATAAATACGTTCAACTGAAAACAACAAATCGAGTAAACTCTAGACTTTAAATGATAACTCAACCATGTTACTTGATTGCAACAGGTTGTGCACGAATTTAAGTATATAATAAAGTTTTAACGATTGTATGGAAATTCGTGCCAAAATCTATATCTGAATTATATTTTCTGAGTGCAAGAAACTTCAAGACTTTTTTTTTGCACAGAATATACGAAAAGTTCGAAGAATTATTTATTACACATATGTAAATTCAAGGATAGAAAATATGATAAAATTGTGATAATATTAGAAAAAAAAAACAATGTAATTTCCTACAACGATTTGTTAATAAGTCTTTGATAACTGCTTCCTCACGATTACGATAAATTATCACCAAAAAAAGGATATGCAAGTCTTTAAATGTATTTTTGTGTTATTAATGTTATTTTTCAATTGTTAATCAATGATTATTATATTTTTTAAGATATCCAAGAAACTAGTGGTATTAATTTTGTTTTTTATCATAATTCTACGTTCATCTTAATCTATTACATCACCTTTATTATTAGTTAATTAAATAAAGTAAATAGTAAAGTGATAAGTAAATTTGTCAGATTATATTTATGTTATGATTCATACTTAATTGTAGTTGTAAATTAGTAATTGTGGTGAGCCTCATTAGATAATTATTGATTAATAACTTAAATTCTCAATTATTTAATTCATTGCGAATAGATATTAGTAGTTTGTTGAATTATCTTTATGTTAATGAATAAGTCAATTATTTTCTTCAATTTTACTCTTATTTTAAAGAGGAAATTGTTGATCAATGAACGAATTTTCAAATTTGTCAATTCACAACTATAACAATAGTTAAAAGATTTAAATCCTTCATAAACTATTAAATTTTGCCTCTTGAATTGTAAAGTAATAAGTAATTTATTGAATTATTTTCATCTTAATGAATGAATTATTAAATAACATAATTAATTCCCAATATATTTTCTATTTTACTCTTATTTTAAATGGATCAACGACCTAATTTTCAAATTGATCAATTTTGCAAGCTTATAGTGTAAACAAATATTAATTAAACCTTTAATTATAAAGTGATAAGTCATTAATATGATTTTATATAACAATTAATTACAAATTATGAATAGCAAATATTGAAGTGATAAATAATTTATTTAATTATCTTTATCTTAATGAGTTCATTAGTTCCAAATATATTTATTAATTTATTAATCAACGACTGAATTTTCTAATTTGTCAATTCACAAAGTTAAATGATTTAAATCATTCATAAACTATTAAATTTTGCCTCTTGAATTGTAAAGTGATAAGTAATTTATTGTTATCACAAAAAAAAGGATATGCAAGTCTTTATATGTACAATAAAACAAATGAAGAAGTTACATTTTGATTTTTTTGTTATAAATGTTATTTTTCTATAGAATTCCAAGAAACTAGTGGTATTAATTTTGTTTATTATCATAATTCTGCGTTCATCTTAATCTATTACATCACCTTTATTATTATTTAATTAAATAGTAAAGTGATAAGTAAATTTGTCAGATTATATTTATGTTAGTTTGCTCTTATTTTAAAGAGGAATTTGTTAATCAACGACTGAATTTTCAAATTTGTCAATTCACAAAGTTAAATGATTTAAATCATTCATAAACTATTAAATTTTGCGTCTTGAATTGTAAAGTGATAAGTAATTTATTTTTATCACAAAAAAAGGATATGCAAGTCTTTAAATGTACAATAAAACAAATGAAGAAGTTATATTTTGATTTTTTTTGTTATAAATGTTATTTTTGTATTGAATTCCAAGAAACTAGTGGTATTAATTTTGTTTATTATCATAATTCTACGTACATCTTAATCTATTACATCACCTTTATTATTAGTTAATTAAATAGTAAAGTAATAAGTAAATTTGTCAGATTATATTTATGTTAGTTGTGTGTGGTATGTTGTATGTTGGTGGTATGTGGAAGTGTGGATGGATGTGGTATATAATTAATTCTTAATTGTAGTTGTAAATTAGTAAATGTCCTGAGCCTCATTAGAAAATTATTGATTAATAACTTAAATTCACAATTATTTAATTCATTGCGAATAGATTTTAGTAGTTTGTTGAATTATCTTTATGTTAATGAATAAGTCAATTATTTTCTTCAATTTTACTCTTATTTTAAAGAGGAAATTGTTGATCAATGAACGAATTTTCAAATTTGTCAATTCACAACTATAACAATAGTTAAAAGATTTAAATCCTTCATAAACTATTAAATTTTGCCTCTTGAATTGTAAAGTAATAAATAATTTATTGAATTATTTTCATCTTAATGAATGAATTATTAAATAACATAATTAATTCCACATATATCTTCTATTTTACTCCTATTTTGAAAGGATCAACGACCTAATTTTCAATTTGTTCAATTTTACAAACTTATAATGTAAATAAATATTAATTACACCTTTAATTGTAAAGTGATAAGTATTAATAAGATTTTATCTAACAATTAATAACAAATTATGAATAGCAAATAGTGAAATGATAAATAATTTATTGAATTATCTTCATGTTAATGAGTTTATTAGTACCAAATATATCTTCGATTTTACTCTTATTTTGGATTGTAAAATGCGAATAAAGATTGCGTAGAATGATGATGAAAAACTGTCGATTGAAATTTTTAGTAGTTTGAATTATCATCGTGTTAATGAATAAGACAATTATATTCTTCAATTTTGCTCTTATTTTAAAGAGGAATTTGTTAATCAACAACTGAATTTTCTAATTTGTCAGTTCACAAAGTTAAATAAAACTATTAAATTTTGCATCTTGAATTGTAAAGTGATAAGTAATTTATTGCTATCACAAAAAAAAGGATATGCAAGTCTTTATATGTATAATAAAACAAATAAAGAAGTTACATTTTAATTTTTTTGTTATACATGTTATTTTTCTATTGATTTCCAAGAAACTAGTGGTATTAATTTTGTTTATTATCATAATTCTACGTACATCTTAATCTATTACATCACCTTTATTATTAGTTAATTAAATAGTTAAGTGATAAGTAAATTTGTCAGATTATATTTATGTTAGGTGTGTGTTGTATGTTAGTGGTATGTGGAAGTGTGGATGGATGTGGAATATAATTAATTCTTAATTATAGTTGTAAATTAGTAAATGTCATGAGCCTCATTAGAAAATTATTGATTAATAACTTAAATTTTCAATTATTTAATTCATTGCGAATAGATATTAATAGTTTATTGTATTATCTTTATGTTAATGAATAAGTCAATTATTTTCTTCAATTTTACTCTTATTTTAAAGAGCAAATTGTTAATCAACGACCGAATTTTCGAATTTGTCAATTCACAACTATAACAAAAGTTAAAAGATTTAAATCCTTCATAAACTATTAAATTTTGCCTCTTGGATTGTAAAATAATAAGTAATTTATTGAATTATCTTCATCTTAATGATTGAATTATTAAATAACATAATTAATTCCAAATATATTTTCTATTTTACTCATATTTTAAATGGATAAACGTCCTAATTTTCAATTTGTTCAATTTTGCAAGCTTATAATGTAAATAAATATTAATTACACCTTTAATTATAAAGTGATAAGTTATTAATATGATTTTATCTAATTATAATTATAAATTATGAATAGCAAATATTGAAGAGATAAATAATTTATTTAATTATCTTCATCTTAATGAGTTCATTAGTTCCAAATATATCTCTAATATTTACTCTTATTTTGGATTGTAAAATACGAATAAAGATTGCATTGCGTAGAACGATGATGAAAAACTGTGAAATTTTTAGTAGTTTGTTGAATTATCTTCGTGTTAATGAATAAGTCAATTATTTTCTTCAATTTTACTCTTATTTTAAAGTAAATTTGTCAGATTATATTTATGTTAGTTGTGTGTTGTATGTAAGTGGAAGTGTGGATGGATAATTCATTCTTAATTCTAGCTGTAAATTAGTAAATGTCATGAGCCTCATTAGAAAATTATTGATTAATAACTTAAATTCTCAATTATTTAATTCATTGTGAATAGATATTAGTAGTTTGTTGAATTATCTTTATGTTAATGAATAAGTCAATTATTTTATTCACTTTTACTCTTACTTTAAATAGGAAATTGGTAATCAACGATCGAATTTTCAAATTTGTCAATTCACAACTATAACAATAGTTAAAAGATTTAAATCCTTCATAAACTATTAAATTTTGCCTCTTGAATTGTAAAGTAATAAGTAATTTATTGAATTATCTTCATCTTAATGAATGAATTATTAAATAACGTAATTAATTCCACATATATTTTCTATTTTACTCTTATTTTAAATGAATCAACGACCAAATTTTCAATTTGTTCAATTTTGCAAGCTTATAATGTAGATAAATATTAATTACACCTTTAATTATAAAGTGATAAGTTATTAATATGATTTTATCTAACAATTAATTACAAATTATGAATATCAAATAGTGAAGTAATAAATAATTTATTGAATTATCATCATGTTAATAAGTTCATTAGTACCAAATATTTCTTCAATTTTACTTTTATTTTGGATTGTAAAATACTAATAAAGATTGCGTAGAACGATGATGAAAAACTGTCGACTAACAAATTAGTGAATTTTTTAGTAGTTTATTGAATTATCATCGTGTTAATGAATAAGTCGAATATTTTCTTCAATTTTACTCTTATTTTAAATAGGAAATTTTGAAACAACGACCGAATTTTCAAATTTATCAATTCACAAAGTTAAATGATTTTAATCATTTATAAACTATTACATTTTGCATTTAAATTGTAAAGTGATAAGTTTTTTATTATTATTATTATTATACAAAGCAATCTATCTACAAGCATAAAAAAAGAAAAACAGATAGCATGCTGTAGTTCTGGGCTTAATAATGAGAAAAGTAATTTATTGAATTATCTTCATGTTAATTAAACGATTATTTACAAATTATGAGTATCAAATAGTAAAGTGTTAAATAATTTAATGGATTATCTTCATGTTAATGACTGATTAAATAACTTAATTAGTTCCAAATATATCTTCGATTTTACTCTTATTTTGGACTGTAAAATACGAATAAATATTGCGTAGAACGTCGATGGAAAACTGTCGATTAACAATTCACGTTGGGTATCGTCGGAGTATTTTTGTGTGTAGTAGGCCATCATCCCAAAAGCGGGCGAAGAAGTCGAAGGCGATTGCGTAACGCACGAAAACGGCCGCCGTCAATTACGTGCTAGCAAATTGGAAAACGATCAAGATAAGAGATGGAAAGCTTCGTCGTTTTCGTTTCTCCTTATCGGAGCAACCGAAGACTTTGTCATCGTATAAAAATAATGATTGTTATTTATTTTTTAATAGCGAGCTGAGGCCGTAATAATTTTCACCGATCGGACGTGCAGACAATGGGAAAAATAGAAGCGGAAAACCTATTCGAAGCTCCAAGTATTTGTCACCATTTAAAAATATTCGAACCAGAACAGCTCCATTACAATGTGATTTTTAAATATATATATTTTTTTTAGATATTTATGTGTGTAGTATATATATATATTTATAAAAGTTTCAATGGAAATCGCTAATCAAGAGGTGCTCTGGCACGTATTATCCATGACGACGAGAATTTGCGAACAACTTAAAACGAAAATCATGTGTCATAATTCCGCTGTGCGATAAAAGGCACGCACTCAGCACAGCACAGTATCCTCAGAACCTCTAGCGAGGAAGCACGGGACCTCCAGGATTCGCACCTTCCCAGTAAGCCTATAACCTTCCACAATGGTAAGCCTTCAAAATTCATACTAAATTACACCTAAAAAACACCTCTCATTTGCTTCCAATCGATTCTAATCAAATTATTAGATGAATTTCCACACAAAAAAACAACTACTTCTTAAAACTCAATCCTTCTATTCGGAATTAACATCAACTTTTTACTCTAATCATAACACCTGCATTCAATTTAAAAACAAAATAATTAGAATATAAATTCAAACGTCACAAGAATAATTCTTGTCAGATCAAAACAAATGTCATCAGTGATCAATTTTCAAACGATAATCTAATGTATCTAATCATTATGGATTTCAATAGATATTTCTTATTATATAAATCAAACAATTAAATCGTGTTTTTCTGATTTTTCACTCGGAATGAGTGCAATTCTGGCTTGTTGGATAAATATTGGAATACTCTGCTCACTCCACTCCATTAGCACTATTTAGAATGGATTTGCGAATGAAATAATTATTATTTTTGTCGTCCAAAACATTAATAATTTCCGCATTTCTTTGGACTATAAGACGCACTTTGATTGCATAAAGGAATTTATTTAACTTTGTCGTGTGTTATTTCTAAAAAAAAATACTTAATTTGTTTAAAAGTCGTGTTTTCATTATTATTGCGCGTTTTGGCGTGTCAAGTATCGATTCTGAAACGGCCTGGTACCATGGTGATCAGATAAAGCCGGGAATTGGGTTAAAGACGAGCCCAAACGGAATTGTATTATTAAATACCTGCCTCAGTCTGATCCTGCAGCGTCCTCGATTCGCTATAAGTCGCGCCACGATTCGCTATAAGTCGCTCAAGATTATTATTATAATACAATGCTCCTCCTAACGTGCACGTCCATGTGGTGTCATTTCGCACAATGCGAACGTCTTGTCTTGTCCACGCCGAAATTATCTCAATTTAACAGAAAATTGCTTTTAACGAGCCGCGATGATACTCATGCTTTTTGTCGCTCTGTTTATAATTAAGCAATTAAATTTTCTAATTGAAACGATTTTATTTTTAGTTAATTATTGTTTGTTCGCGCTTTTCAACGCGAGGACAATTACTATTATTGTAGATGAAAAATATTTAATTAAATGTCACAACAGTCCGACATAACACGCCCTTACAAGGTTATCTTTATTGATTGCGATTCTCCTCAATTTTCTCGTTGAACTCTGACTTTCGAATTAAGAATGTATTATTTTTAGGAAACACGATGTTTTACTCTGGAAATAGTGCAACTGGTTTTATGCGTTCAACAGTAATGACCTATTTCCCGATGCTCGAGAATTGATCATATATTTGCCATTCGTTCTTTTTTTCCACGTCAATATTCTAAGAATAAAACGTACTCTTTTTTTAATGATCCATCATAATACACAATTTATTAACGTCGGAGTTTGGATTTAATATCAACCAGTTTGAAAAAATAAAACAATTCTATTTTTAGTAATTTTACTTTGATTGAGAAGGAAATTTGTAATTATTTAAAATTGATTAAATTCATTTATTCCTATATAATTGAGAAATGAGTTGATGGAAATTTCATTCTTAACAGTCCATAACATTTAAAACTTATACAAAGTGATGAGTTTCATGATGTCAACACATCAATTTTAATTGTTTAACTGAAGTAAAGCTAAAATACTTGTATTTCAATTTCAAATACGAATTGATTTGTTAATACGTTAATTTGGTTTTCACTTAAGTCGTGAAAGAAGAAATTACGTGAATAAACATTGATTTAATGTAAGTAAATATAAATCAATAACTGTGAAAGTAATGATTATAAAAATAGGTCGTTTCGTACGAATAAAACGATCGTAACCTGAGGCCAATTAATGAATTTACCTTTTATAATAAGATACATGCATATCCAATTTATTACCAAATTACATTACTAAATACTTGTATGTGGCTTGCAGAAAATTAAACTTAATAATAATTATATTTTTTTTGCGTTATGCAATTGCTCAATCGATCTCCGTGTGTATAACTGTGTTACAACATACATTTTTTTTTTCGGTTTCGATCCACTTGTTCTCAATGCGATCAGATAATGCGAAAAACTCGAGTGTACAAAAAATGATATGTTTACGTTGCGCATCGTATGAGTAACGACGTATTTGGATGTGTGTGTGTGTGTCCTCCTCCTCTATCTGGCAATAAATTATATCGGCTTATAAATATTGTTAAATCATTTATAACACGGCAAATTGAAAACAATAAAATGTTGCATCACTCCACAGATAGCTGTGAAGGAGGACGGATGATTCACGCTCACCGATTTGATGTTTTCAAAACAATATAGTTGCGTGTGTTTATGGTCAGACTTACCCAAACAATTCCAGTCTTTTAATTACCCAAACACGTAATTGACATACACTTATTATTTTCTTCATACTGTTTTCTGCGTATTTTAAACTTTTTACGCCAATTATTGCAACAATAAATATTTATGTAATTTAATACAACACAATTATAATTAATTAGGAGTCAAACTTTAACGAATTTCAGTTTGTGCTAACATTTCATCTGATAAGATATATAAGTCCAACACGTGTAATTTTCCATTTAATGAAAGGTGAAACAGGCGTAATTCTAATAATTTTAGAATTTTAGTATAAACATATAACAGCGCAATGATATTTTGGGCGTACCTTTTAATTAAATGTAATGACGATGATGAAATCATTATTTTTTCGACTAATAATAGATATGCGACGATAAAGAACAAAACACACGAAGGCGTGCCTCTATGTAATACAATATTATCGTAACCGCAGCTCCGCTATATTTATTTCGTTTTAAAAAAAAAAGTTGCGTAATTATTATTTAATAATTAATTTTGTTTGATTTTTTTTTGTTGCAGACTTCCGAATGCGACACTTGCAAGCTTCCAATCGTAGGGAAAGTAAGTATTATTTATGTAATTGTTAGTGCTTCATCTTTGCATAAACGTTTATCTCTTCAAGATTTCTAACATATCTTTCTTTACTTTGTCTTCGTTTTATTTCATACTTGAATTGTCGTCGTAGCATCGGATAGATGAATCGATGATCCTTGATCTTTGCTTTTGTAGCTGCAGAGCTGTGTTAGTCACTGGGGTTCATTGTATTTATAATCCTCGCTTTACTTATCGATTGATACGCATACGTTTATTAACAAGAGACTTGTTGTATATTTAAATTTTTATTTAAGAAAAAACACGTATTATTTATTTAACAAATTATATAAAGGTTTATCGACCTAAGGTTTTCTACTACATTTATATTCATTTATCATTGTTGTAAACTTATTTATGTTGATTTATTGATGGCATTGATTGCAATTAATTCTATTGAATATTTGTAAATTCATTTGGAACATGATTTAAATAATAAATCTGGAAATGCAACTGTTTACTAACTTAATCTTATTGTTTTAGAGCATCAATGCATTGGGCAAGACTTACCATCCGGACCACTTCGTCTGCGGTAAATGTAACAAGCCGATTACAGAGAGTCCATTCCATCAGCGCGATGGTAAGCCTCTGTGCGATGCAGACTTTACAGAGTCTTGTCCGAAGTGCGCGGCCTGCAACAAGCCCATCACTGACAAAATAGTGACTGCGATGGACAAGCAGTGGCACGAGAACCACTTCGTCTGCGCCCTTTGCAACGGTGCCCTCTTGGGTCAAGAGTTCCACCAGAAGGAAGGAAAACCCATCTGTCAAATTTGTTACCGCGGCAAAGTCGCCGACAAGTGCAACGGATGCGGAGAGCCGATCGAGACGTGCGCCACTATCGCACTCAACGCCAAATGGCATCCCGATTGCTTCAAATGCAAAGTAATGAATGAATCTTGATCAAATCAAAGAAGCATAATTGATTGCTGTTTGTATTCTTTTAGACTTGCGGAAAGGCCATCTCCACCACCAAATTCAAGGTGGACTCGAAGGGATTCCCGATGTGCGAATCTTGCTAGGGGATGATCAGTCAACGAAAAAAAAAACACGAGGAGACGAGACAAACCCCGTTGAACAAATATTTTTAAATTCTAAATTTTATTTCCAAGATGTACATTTTATTTTATTCCCCTTTTTACATGTTTATTAAAAATACTTTTTTATTTGAATGTGCGTTGCGCTTCTTTACATTTTAGCTTTCAGAAATTGAAACGCTTATTTTTATACACCGCCCTGTGCTTTACTTATTATTACATTATATATAGATTTATCACGTGTATATTTATATAAATATATAAACTGATCACCTTAATAAACTATTGATATATTCAAAAAACTAGACTTACTTGTTTATTGTGGCATTCGGAGCAGAAGACACGAACACTAATGATGACCATGAAACTGGCGTCGGCGACGCGCTCCACCGACGATCGTCGGTTTCGGCTTTTCACCTATGGGAACAGCTGCTGGAATCACCTGGGAAACGGTTTGTTATGAGCAGGATTTGAATAAACACAAACACCTTCAAGTGAACATTGTGCTTGTGTGTGCGTGTGCATAATTCGAGGAAAACGAAAGGGGGAAAAGCGGGAAAAATTTACTGTCTGACCGTGTTGTCACCGTCATCGGTCTGCTTATTTTATCGATACGACCTAGGAACACTTCGGTTTGCATGTAACGAAAAAATCGAAATGTACTCTGGGTCCGATTTGGTGGTACGCTTCGTCGGTTACCAACGGAGTCGGTAGTGCTTTTTTTAACTGTGCACTCGAAGGAAGAGGAAGATGAGACATTTGAGGGAGAGGAATGCCATCATCCTCGCAGCACAGCGGAAGCTCAGCTTGAACACCGTCGTTTTGCCGCCTCTTTCGCCAACTTTCAAGGAGAACGGAGCCGAACTTCTGGAACAGTTCTTAGTAAGTCGAAATTATTATTCAAACTATAAAATAGTAGATTTTATTAAAACTTCTGTAAAGTCTCTTAAAAGTCAAAGACTTGAAATTATTTGAATTTTTTATCTCATTTTATTGATAGATGTCGTTCAAGTACAATTCCAAAGTTAGTTATCAAATTTAGTTAATATTCATTGAAAATCACTGAAATTATTTATTCAAAGTTTCAAATCTGCTAAACGTAAAGAGGATTCAAATTTTGAAAGTTAGAATTTAAAAAAAATGTTAATTTATTTAAAAAAAAAAGTACAACAATGTGATTTTTAACTCTCATTGTTGTTGCGTTTTGTTGGCTGGTGATGCATTTTCGGGTGGTTGAACGTGAAGGGTGGAAAGCTCGGGAAATTTGTTGTGAATGCGCCATAATAATAAAATCAATAACTCGTAGACTGCAAGCGCGGGGTTCGTAGGTGTAAAACTCTCGAGGCGTAGGAAGCAGAAGTTAACGTCGCTCTCGTTGATTTTGTCGAGTGCCATTTTGCAATCGAAATACTAGAACAAGTGGTGAAAAGAAGTGGTGAAAGTGGACTTTTTGCAAATCGGAAAAGCAAACTCAATTTCGGATTGCCTGTGCGTGTTCGCGCTGCGACGTCGCGACGCTCCGCCGAAAATCCCAGCAGGCGACGAGGCTACGTGTCCCCGGGCATCATCTTGGCGATGATCTAACGCTTTTTTTCTATTAATCATCGTTGTTTTCTCCGTTGAGTTTCGCACAGAAAGAAAGGCCAAGTAGTTGTATACGAACAGTTAAAGAAACGCAAAACGTTGCTGCAGTTGTTCGTAAAATGGCATCGAAAGTGATGGTGAAAATCGCGGTTCAGCCATTTTCGCAGGTGAATGAAAATGTATATATATATATCAATAATGTCCTTTGTTCACGACGGCATTAGGATGAGTAAGCGATTATTCATAATTCTTATTGTTGTGTTTAGGTCAACAAGGCGAAGGCTTCTGGGGTGAATGGAGAAGTCGTGCCCATAGGAAGGACGACCGAGATCGGGCGTCTGGATGCTCAGAAGGCCACGGACGCCCCTCGTGTTGCACAACTTGAGCAGAATATAAGATATCTGCAGGAGCAGCATCAGCTCATGCTGAATGGTTTGCATCACGAAATTGATGTACTTCGACATCGAAACAGGGAGTTACAATTCCAGCTCATTACCGGTCTAAATCTGAGTAGTCCATCTTCCCCGGACGATGATACCAAACATAAGGTACTACTCATTTTACCAATACTAACAAACATGTAAAACAAGTATAATTTTGATCTTAAAGCAATGCTCTCAAAAAAAAATACAAATTTCATTAAACTTGTCAACCATATGTTGATACTAATATCATAATCATTAACCAGAACTTCATATATGTTATTAGGTTTGCCTTAGTACTGAACTATCAATATGTTCATTTGTGTAAATGTTAGACTTGTTGATCTTCTTACTTGAATATTGATTGACATATTTTTTTGTATACATAATACATCATCAAACAATATAATGTATAGTTGCATAGCTTAATCTAGGTGTAGTCTTTGAATATTAATTTTCTAATGTTACTAAAATATTAAATTTGTGTTTAGGTTTACAACAGCCCGAAGCAGGTGAATATCACTCCGCTACAAGTGGAGATATTGGAGAAGGAATTATCGGAAATGAAGGTGCAATGGCAAGAGTCCGAAAGCCGAAATGTTTACTTGTCGGCTATCGTTGACGAACAGAAGAAGTATGAAATTTAATTCCTAATAACTTTTCTACAATGCCGTTCTTTTTTGAAGGAAATTGGAGCGTTACGAACGCGACAGAGAGAGAGAACGCGAACGCAGCATACAGCCCGATCCTGAGCTTCTTCGAAAACTCGACGATGCCGAGTCTCTAATCCGAAGACTCCGTCGCGAAAACTCTGATCTTCGTAGAGAAAACGCTCTTACCAATCCTCCTGCTTACCAGCAGAGGGAGTTCCACAACCGCGACGGTTGCGGCACTTACCAACAGCAGCAGCAGCCGAGGGGCGGCGGAGGTGGCGGTAACAACCGCGGAAACGGCCGAAATCGCGGCAACGGTGGTAACCATTACAGGGGCAACTGGTTTCCTCCTCTCCACTCTCAGAGCTACTGGCAGAATGGGCGGGGACAGGAACGCAACGGCTCCGCCTCCGTGGATGGTACTTCTTTGCCAAGCTTACCGGCCGGAGGTGGCGGAGGCAGCGGACAATACCAGGGCCGTCGCGGCGGCAACAACAACCACTACAACGGCGAGGGTAGAAAATACAGAGGTAACCAAAGTAGAGGCCAAAAACCGTCTTAAGATGCTTCAGAAACGACGTATTTGGGGAAAGACCGCTTTTATTGTTGCCTCTATAGCTGTTACATCCCTATAGAAAACAACAGGAGGAAGTAATTTATAAATGTTTGTTGCCGAAAAATTAAAATGGAAATTCTTGACAAAAAAAATAGATACAACTGATATTTACATATATCTATATAATTGTGATATAAATAAGTGTTTTTCGATTATTAAAGCTTTATATATTCCAATATTTCTATCTCTAAAAAAAATATATATAAACAGAATAATTGAAAAATAATAACTAAAAAAAATAATAATATATATCTTGTTGATGTTTAGAAGGTGGAGTATATAACATTGAGTTTCTGTCTTATGGGTTCATCAAATTAATCGAAAAATACTTTGACTAAGGGAAGCAATTATAATGGCAAACACAAGGATTCCGCGATGGGATTCAGAATTGACTTATGTTCGTACGTGAAATAAACGCCCTTATATGTCTAGCTTTCGTTTTGTTCCAAATATTGTTTGACACAAGGCACAAAAAATCGGTGTGTGCATTGCAATATAATATATTATATATATATACAAATATTATACATAACATATATATAAATAACTGCTCCATGATTAATTTACTTTATGTTTCTTTGTGATAATATATTTATTATACTTGTATTTCTATATCTGAATAAAATACTATATATATTAGAAAGAAAACACTGATATAAAATTACAAAACGTGCAGGAGGAAAGATTACTTTTTGTAGTTGTAGAAGCCTTCGCCGGTTTTCACACCCAATTTGCCTTCCTTCACCAATTTCTCTACAGAATCGTTAGGCTTAAAGAGTGGATTCTCTGGGTACTTCTTAAACCATCCCTGCATGATGGAGTTTGATGTGTCGTGTCCAACGTAGTCGGCCAATTCAATCGGTCCCATTGGATAACCGGCGCCCAATTTCATGGCAATGTCGATATCCCTTGGAGTGGCGTCGCCCCTTTCCACCATCCTGATAGCTTCAGCAATGTATGGTACAAGAAGCCTGTTCACAATGAATCCAGGAGTGTCCTTGCAAGTCACACAGGTCTTGCCAACAGCCTTACCCCAGGCCATCATAGCATTGAAAGTTTCATCAGAGGTCTCTGGAATGCGAACAACCTCCAACAGCTTCATAACTGGAACAGGGTTGAAGAAATGCAGACCACCAAACCTATCCTTGCGGCCAGTCACTGAAGCAATCTCTCCAATTGAAAGGGAGCTGGTGTTTGATGCAAAAATAGTTTTCTGTGGTGCTTGCTCATCCAAAGTCTTGAACAGCTTGTGCTTGATCTCCATCTTCTCAACAATTGCCTCAATGACAAGATCAGCATCTTGGACAGCCTCTTTGGTATCTGTGCAACCCTTGACGCGCTTCTTGGCCTCGGCAACGAATTTCTCGCCCTCGCTAGGGTTATCCTTAAACATTTTCTTGGCTACTCTTCCCAGATTGTTGCCAATACTGGCTTCAGCCTTTTTCAGGATGTCTGCATTCAATTCCACTAAAGTAACATTGTGGCCGGTTTGCGCTGCAACCTATATACAAATCATATTTCATGGCTCTTCTACTTGTTATTACTTAACTTACTTGAGCAATTCCAGAACCCATTAAACCTCCTCCAATAATTGTGACATTCTTAATCGCACTTCTGGCTGTAGAAGTGGACAGAGAACTCTTTAAAATCGTTAATGGTTGAGCCATTTTCTGTGCTAAAACTGAAGATTCTCAAAAACCGACTAAGTAACAGTGAAGTCCAAATCGAACTGTATATTTAGTTGTCTAGGTTTTCGAGATATACCGACCCGGGATCAAAGTACAAAATCCAAAGTCACGTTACAAGATATCCATAATATAAATACAGAAATATTTTATTTACTTTGAGTATTTAATTATTATGAAAAATATAAATCATTATTTATTATATATAAGTATTATCACATATTATGATAATGTTCATTCCTTTTAATTATATTTAAAGTCAGCATTTATATTTTTTAAATATTTCTACCAATGTAAGGAATGATAATGCATTTATAATTAGACGCAACAAACAATTCATTATCTACAATAAAATGATTTCGAAATAATTAAGCAACACGTAAATAGCAAATTATAAACATGCACTTAGGATTCTTTACCAAAGGGCATGTGGATTCAAATCTCCCGCGCGTTTCATAACCTGTCAGACACTAAACAAAAAATTATGGCATAAAATTCTTGCATTTCGAATCAAACACACGTTTCTTCAACAGCAGCAAAGGAAATATCATATAGCAAGGATGGTGAATGTTATGAAAGGCATCTTGGTGAAGTGGTAAGTAAGTGTATAATGATATTAGCAATGGTTATGCTCATAACCTAACTTATTTTATTTGTTTGCTTTTTCTCTTAACTGTGTAGTGAGCTTACTCTACGTAATCCAATTCTTCTGGGATTCCAAACTGCTTATCGATGACACTACTTTCAATCATGAAACGATCCCTGCACCAGGTTTTCAGTTGAAAAATGTTATCTGTCCATCTATTTGCAGCAAGCTTAATATCCTGAGATTAAAAGTGTTTTCAGTACATGTTTGTTAAATGCATTTTATCCTGTTACCTTTATTTCGTTCTTTTGGCTTTCAAACATTTCTTTATCATTATTTTGGCACTTGGTCAATTTGTTTGCGAGATACTGCTTTTCCACTTGTAAATCAATTATCTTTTCAAGCAGTTTTTTCTTTTCCTCTTCATCATTTGAGTTTATCTATAATGCAACTACTGTGATTTTGTACAAAATAATGTTTAAAGCACATACTTGAATATTACCAACTGCTTCTGTAGTTGTTTTTAGTTGTTCCTGAGTTTTCTGCAGATTTTGTTCAATATTTTTTAATTTCTTTTTATGGATATTTAAAGCTTGACTTGGGAAAGCCCAGAAGTAAATGGATGATCCAATTTTATCTGTTTCCACTAATCCATCATCAACCAAGCTTTGGACCACATCCTTCACAGAATTAGCAATAACACCCTTTTCTTTTGGAGCAATCTTTTCCAATTCCTAAAAATTATTTAACATAACAATTCATTGTTTTAAATGTGAAATTGTGTATACTTTTAATTGGAACCATGTCTTCTGTTCATAGAAGATTTGCATTATTCTCTGCTTCTTCTCTTCAGCACTGACCCCCTTCTTTGACATTGTTTTCAGCGACCCTGCTATGAAACAGTTTTTACTACACTTGGATGAAACTATCAAACTAGGACGCAAGTTCATCATTCAAGACTTGGATGAGAGCCACCTGTTCATATCCAGCGATATATTGGACACTTTGCAAGCGAAGATAGACGACTTGATGGATCAAATCAGTTTTCCCATCATGGAGAAGACTATTAACTAAGGATGTCGAAGGTGGTAAGTCGCGGGTCTACGAGACTTCGCGAAAATGAGCGTCAACGGATCATCGACGACTCGACGCGCAGGAGGCGTTTGCGCAAATTCTTGGAGAACTTGGAGGCCGACAACTTCCATGAAGATCCGCACGCGGATCTGGTTATGAGCAAGAAGGTGCCCAAATTCGATGATAATTTGGAATCGCGGACTAGGAGTAAGAAGCGTGAAAGAAACTCTGAATATTATCAAATTAAGTATAGGAAGAGTTTCCAACAAATGATTGAGGATGACAGGAAGGAAGCAGATGATAACAACAGGATGTCTTACATGGACTTGTCAGCACCGCAAAGTGACTTTCCTCCTTACTATACCTGTGCTGTTTGTGGATACCATAGTAACTATATATGCATTTCATGTGGGGTTCGAGTGTGCCAAACCAGATGTTTTGATACCCATTTTGAGACAAGATGTTTAAAGTGGACTACTTGAGTTTTTGTGCTTATTTCTCTGCATGTACATTGTTTAAAACTATTAACTTTTACGACTTACCAGTCACGAAGTTCAAATTGGTTTGAATACTTTTAAGGTTAAATGTTCACCACCATCCTTACAAATGTGTATTTATTATTCATTTTTCAGTTAGTTAGGCAATTTTACATACGTTTAAGTAAAATAGTAATTAATTTACCACGACTTATGTTGCATGCAATCTAACATGAAGCATAATAGTGAAATAAAATATAATTTTAGAATGATTTACAAATAACGAATTTGTTACAAATGATACGTTGATGATTCAAGTCAATATTTAGGTAATAATTAAATTTGATTGAGAAGTCGCTGTTACGTGAATGATCTCAATCTAGAACTGTTTCGTAATATCGTAAAACAATTAAGGTAGCACAAAGAAGAGGTACCTCGTGCTCTTGCACATCCAATGTTGTATCATTTTTTGTGATGCTGCATTCATTTTATAGTGTATGGAAAGTATGGATTATATTAATCATTTATTTATTTATATTGAACAACAATAGAGACAATTTATTGGCAATATATATAAAAAAAATAAGTTACTGTTCTCCTGTTCACAAAAGGTTCATCATGTAAAAATAAGACTTGTCATTTGTTAATAAAAGAATTTTATAGTGAATATCATTTTACATTGTGATAAAATTTATTTTATTTTTTTAATAAAAACTATATATTCATATTTTTAAGCTTAAATTAAAAAAAGTAAGCGGGTTTTACCTAAGATATACCTGCAGCTGCAGGGCGCATTGCAGAAGAACCTTGAGGCCTGGCATGAAGCTGGCAATTTGAGAGAAGTCTTGTCCAGAAACCAGCTGGGTATGCATGGCCAAACCTCCGGTGTAATCACCGTTCTGCACACATTGGACCATTTGATGTAACGCGGAAAGCGTATTCTGCGATAGCTGCAAATATAAAATTGTTTAAATATCATAAATCCGCTCGAATTAAATAAACTCACTTTACGATCTCTGAGTAAATCATATAACGTTTCTAATTTTCTAGAAACATCTTCAATCTTCCTTTTCGTTTGCTGAAAGTTAATATAATTATTAATTTAATTTCTTTTACTTTACTCGTTGCAGCTTACGGGATTATTGGCAGCGCAGCTACATTGATTTTTGAGTTCGTTGAATACAGTCTGCATGTGGATATGTTCCTCGGGGATTGGCAACTTTGCGATAGGTTGCGGCACTTCGACCCTTCCGGACACTTCCTGTTGTTGGGTACCAACGTTTGCGTTGGCAGGAACAGCTTGCGTGTTGAAATTGGTCATGTTTCTATTGAAGCCCTGTTGACTGCCGGTGGTCATTGGTGGCGGTTGGAACATTTGAGGACTATTATCTTGAGCATAAGGATTGAACGGTTGCTGCTGATGTTGTTGAGTTGGAGGCATGTATCCGTTTGCAGGGACGTTCTGCACTGGAGCAGTTCCGAATATCGGATGAGTGATGGGGTCCTGGGATGGCAAATCTGATTTGATTGTCTAAAAAATGGAGAAAACAAACTAAATTATCACATTTCGAACTGATTTCACATCAAAACAACATCACAAATGTTATTGTTCACTCGAAAATTCACGGTTAAATCTCTCTCTGCACAATACCTCTTTTTTCCATAATCTTAAACCAGAGTGTTCTGCAAACATTTTGCTACTCTCTCCATAACTCTAATATAAGAAACGAGAAGTTATAAATTTTGTGCCTTTTCAATTAATTCCATTTTTTTTTTCATGATCTTGTATGGATGTGAGTTTGTATTTACCGGTTGTTTCGCTGGCTTATTGAATGCTGGAGGATCGTTCCAGCCTGGAGCCGCAGTTGATGGTAAAACGTTCATTGCAGAAGACATATCCGGAGGAGGCATCATAGGGTTTTGATTGAAATTGTTGCTCGGCACGAATGGTGTGCTTGGTGGGAATGAAGAGTTCGTAGTGGCATTAGTGTTAAATTGTCCAGGATTCGGGGTGAAAGGTTGAGCTGCTGGTACCGGCGCAGGATTGAACACGTTTGTATTATTTGGTGTGAATGGATTGGTTGAGGCTCCCGGTTGGAAGATCTGCGGTTGCATAGGCGTGGGCATCATCGAATTGGGTCCGAATTGATTCCTTGATCCGTAATGGTTGGATTGGACCGAAGGATCTAAAAGATACTTGCCCTTAGGTAACCCAGATCCACCATGCGCAGATCCAACACTTCCTGGTCTTGGTGGTTGAGTGGTGGGTGGTGCAACCGGTGCTGGTGAAAATGGCTTCGGTGGTTGTTGGTTGAAGGTATTTGATAGTTGTGGCTGCTGCCATGGTTGTGTTACCGGTGTAGGCACATTTGGCAATCCAGTGCTGAATTGGTTTTTAAACGAAGCAGGCGGATTCGCAAATTGATTGCCATAATTAACAGAGTGCCTCGAATTTTGGCGGCTTCTCTGATTCACCTGACCGTAAACCGTTTTATGACCTAAAGCCACAGTTAAACGTTCCCTCAGAGCAGCGACGCGTTCGTTTTGTGAACTTCCCAAGTAATTCAAAGCTGTACTTAAGTTTCCTTGCGATGCCAGAATAAATGCGTATTCGGTCAAAAGCTCAGCTAGTTTTCCACTTACCTATTAAAAAAAATCATCACATTACATAGATTGTTTATGCAATACACGCATTACACTTACATCAACAATCCTTCCTTGCCTCTCTACAGATCTTTGCAAGAACGTCACTAATTCCACCAACTCCTGCAGATCGTTATTGGATGTGGTAGATTTGGAGCTCCAGGAAGAAACCAGCTTTTCAAAACTTCCAGCGCAAATGTAACACAACTGTGCGTCTTCAAGCAACTTTGGATTACCATCGCTTTCAGTTTCCAGACGAGATCCCATAGTTTCTGCACATCGATTAAGTATACCATTTATATAAATAATTTACTTTCCTTCTTAATCCTTACCACACAACATTGGTAATTCTTCATCTGAAGCATGCGTCAGCGCTGCAGCCAACGCTTCCTTCCAGCTATTTATATCACAATTGTTTATCACAGATATCCAATCTTCAGAAACAAGGGCTGAAATTAATGAAGAAACATAGCCTTCACATTGTTGAAGATATTTATACTGCGTCCTTGCCAACAACTCCGAACCACCTGCAATTGAATAATTAATATTGTATGGATTAAAATATATTGATTATATTACCGGTCATGGCAATGATTAAGGCATCTGCGAAACGTTTTGATTGAATGCACAACTCAACTGCAGCCTCCACGTTGTTAAGTAATAAAGCTTGGGCTATCAATCCTTCAGTATCTAAAATTAGAAAATGCATTACAAACAATATTTTTCTCAAAATTTCATTTATACCATCGCCTGTTTTTATTTTATAAGGAACTATCGGTTTCTTAACTTCTTGCGAAATACTGTCAAACGGTGAAGATTTGACGTCATCAATCTATAAAATAATTATTTATTAATAATAAAATAAAGTCAGGATTGATTAACGTACCCTGTTACTTGCAAATGGATATATGAGACCATCCACGTCATTATTGGTTTGATTATCAACAAACTCATTCAGCTTGGCGTTAACATCTTCAATTTTGTAACCCAGAAGATTGAGCAACTCAGCTCTTGGATTTTGCTCAAAGTTGGCTTTCAGGAAATGCCAAATATACTTCTTATGCTGATCATCGGTTGAATCTGCCTTGTTTTTGCAGTATTCTGAAAAATCGATCAATTTAATATAAAATATAACAATTTTTTTTAGTAAAAACCTGTGAAATTTCCATATTCTAACGCTTGTTCCAATTCAGTTGACTTATTAACCAAATCTGACTCTGTAATGACTTGGCTTACATACACGATTTGAGGAATGTATGGAGCAGCGTCTCCTGGTTGCATATTCTGTTTTGCTTGTGTAATAGCTTCTTTATCGTTCTCGAAAGTGAACAGTTTACCTCCAAACTGAATGCATAATTAATAAAAGATGAAATATAAGCAAAAGCTATTCAACTTACACCAAACGAAGCCCCAACCGGCTTCTTCAACCATTTGGGAGGTTTGCTAAGATCGACGCTCACCGGTGCAACGTTTTGTTGAGCTACAGGTGCTTGAGCATATCCTTCCATACCTGGGAAGCTATCAGCAATCTTGTTTGTAGTTTGAATCTGCTGAGCTTTACCACCCATCAACGAATACACCGAGACGTGTCCATCAAAGCCGGGGGTAGCAATGAGAGCTGGATTTTTGGGACACCAAGTGATATCGAAGTTCCATTGATTTGTTTTAGCAACTTCCGAGAGAATTTCTCCTCCTGGATAATTGGAATTTGGATTCCAACAAACAATTCTATTATCTTTAGCGCAAGATATGAGAAGGTCCGGATCTTGCGTGCACCAAGCCATAGAAAGGATACCCCTTTGATGGTTCTCCAAAGTTTTCAATGGTGACGTGGCGAATCTCAAATCCCACAATTGAATTATTGGAGCTTGATCTTCCTCTACAAGAAAAAAGAAATAAATTTAATTATTTAATCTAAATTCTTATTGGAATTATTTTACCTGAAGCTAAGCACAACTGAGTTGCGACTTCTGGATGCCACGCAACGACTTTCCACCTAATTCTGGATACTGTATCGGTTAGTTTAATGATCGGCTCGTTTTTCCTCAAATCCCAAACGACGCACTTCGAGGAGAACGTCGAAGCCAAAATATGTTGCACCTGTTTATTCCATTGAATACTAAGAACGTCTTCGAACGGCTGAGATTTAGCACCTACAAAAATCATTGATAGAAAACTTAACATCGAATCATTTGAATCCTTACAAACCTGGTGTCATTGGGGCGTTGGTGTTGTTCATGTCCCATATGTAAATTTCAGACTCGGAAGCGCCGGATGCCAGGAGATTATTTTGAAACGAGTTGAAATCCAAGGAATGAACAGGCCCAGAATGCTTATTGTGAGTGGATATTAAAGCGCTTTCATTTTTAAATATACTGTCCACGTTGTAGATCTGCATAAGACCACCATCACATCCACCAACAATACAACCCTTGCCATCACCACCATAAGGTCCCCAAACCAGTTTATGGAACCTCTGCTCAGTGGGAATGGACACCTTAAGATCCATTTCCATGCCAGGTTCTGACAGGTTGAGGGAGAATATCTCCAATGAAGCATTTGTGTTGAATGTTGCATCCAGCTGATTTGCTGCAGTTCCTGCAGCCAAATAGATGGAATCCTGATTTGCTGGGGACCATGCTATGTTAGCTGTTCTCTCCAAGTCTTTAACCTTCATTTTCAATATTTCCTAAAATTAATTTCAATATATAAAATTTGCATCATTTACTTCATAGATAATTATTATGAAATAGCCATTGACAGCAAATATCAAATTATTATATCATCTTTATCACAGAAGTCATTGCCCTGTAGTAATGGCCTCATTTTAATTAACAATAATTAATATTAAAATAGTTGTAAATAGTGCAACTGCAAGAATAATAATATTGTCATTTCATTCCAATTGGTTTTGTTTCATTCTAATTTGAAATTTTGTAATGTATAAATGACCTCAAAAAGTCAGTTTAGTTTGCAAATTGGTGTAGATTCATTTTCCGATAAATATAAAACAACATACGTAGGCGTTGTGTGCATTTAATACATCTTTTCTATAGAAAAAAATAAATGTTACCTTCAAAAACAATTGGAAATGACGTGTGATATAAACAAAACAAATTTGGCCACTTATGTAATTCTCAACTGTAAATAGAAACGAGACGTAAGCTTTTAAATACCTTATAAGTACAATTGTTTAATACATTTACAGAGTATTTCCTCGCAAAACACTTTAATTTTTGTGCCGCAACTTTGACAAATCGACACTGGGTATTGCTTCCAACGTGGCTAAACTTGATTGATAATTTGACGTATACGTAAATACATACACACTTGGTTTGTTACTTGGCTTCTGAGTAGTTCAAATGAATCGTGTTATGCAATTCCTCTTACACCATTACATTACATGTCTTACACGATTTTGAACTGTCAGATGTGTAAACAAAAACTGTAAAAAAGTGTAAATGATGTTATTATTATTATAAATTGGACGAAAAGGCTTGATAAATCGATTGACAAAATGGTAGAGGAAACCTGCAATACAACAAATAAACCCAAGGTATTTAATTGTTATATCAGATTTAGTGAGATGTTATTATGTTATATACTTGATTTTAAATTTCAGGTTAAAACTACCCACAAACCAAAATATGTGTATTTGTGGACAGTTCTGGATGTGCAGAGGTGGTTCAGGAGACGCTGTGAGCTGTACTATCCTAGCTATCATCAGCAATTCTTGAACCATGAAATAACTGGAAGGGCACTTCTCAGATTCAACAATGACCATCTGCTGCGATTGGGAATCACAAACAAGGAGCACAGGGAGGCAATCTGGGAGGAAATACTGAAATTGAAGTTGAAAAATGATATTATGGATATTAGGGATTTACAACGAAGCAACATGAATATGGTTTATGATTATGCTATTGCATGAGCCAAAGCATTGCAAATATTAACTCTTAATTGCTTTAATTTTATACTGATTTTGAATTTATTAAAAATAAATTACACAATAATAAATAAATAAATAAATAGATAAATAAACATACATTAAGTATTTACAAAAAAACATAATTTGTACTAAGAAGAAAACAATAATTAAAAATATCCATTTAAATCTAATGACTTTCATATAAATTCGCGCTCCGTTTTCAACTCATTTATCACCTGATTTATCACTGAAATTACTTTGTTCGTCATTCGGTATGCAGTTGTCTTCGTTCTCGCTGCTATCCTTGGTGTTATTGTCCTCACCAATCATCATGTACTTTTTGATACCCTGCTCCAACATGTTCCTTAATATCTTGCAATCTTTTAAAATGTCTTCGTTATTTTCGCGTTTTCTTTTAACACCCACTTCGCATCCCTCCTCTCCTGGCTCCACCTTAATATCCAGAAGCTCCTCTGTATCCGTGTACGAGACCCTCTGAAGTATACCGCCCAACATAGGTAGTAACGTCATCATCTGCGTGCCTATCAACCGATTGAACTCGAGCCGTTGCTTCTCCAGTTCCAGCTTCTCCTTTTGAATGACTAGACTTTCTTTCTGCACCTTCAGCAGCTCTTTGATGGTGTCTGAAAAATCTAAAAGTGTTAATGTTAGACATTGGTATAAAGTGGTAAAATACCAATTTTGGTACCTTCATCTTTAGAATGGGTAACTTTAGTATTGGTGACGTTACCATTTTGTGTATGCAGCACTTGACTGCTGGCGGTCTTGTTCATCTGCTGCTGTTGATGCTGCGGTTGCAAATTGTTGAGTATGAGCAGCGGGAACGGAAGTGATTTGTTCGCCGTATTCTGGGGCGCCATTTGAGTGTTGGGCAGAGAGAACGCAGGTAGAATTGTCGGAAGCTTCTGGCCGGAGGACGTCGAAGTTGCTGGACATATTGGAGTGAGTTTCGGTTGCGAGATGGACGCTTTCCCTTGAACATGTTGCACGATTGGGGCAGGTTTCAGTGGAGGCGGAGGGTTATCGTCCTCGTAGTCCGAACTGCAATCATTTTCATATTTACTGGAATTATAACACATCAAAAATTGACAATTTATATTTTGGCATTTTTATATTTTATTATATCAAATGATAATATTTAAAGGGATGTTATGTTATGATTTTTTTTAGAGTTTTTTTGTAGGAAGGGAGACTTGAGAGGTTTACCAAAAACGTTCATCAGGTTCTAAATTTTCGATTGAAGCGTATCCTTTTTAAGCAGATTATAGGTATGGACTAATGAATGAGGTTTGAGTTTGTTTATTTTGCGTTGAATATGGTGTAGTATCGTTGGTGATTAAAGGGTAAATCGATTTTGTAGAGGAGAGTATATTTATTTTAATAAATTGATACTTACTTGACGCTTTCGTTGGTGACCCAGGAGTCGTTATCATCAATATCGATGTCCTCGACTTCTTGCTTAATAACGACGTCCTCGATCTTGGGTCCATCGAGCGCTTCTTCCATGATTTTCTCGACGTCTTTCCTGGGCGATTCTTTGCTAAGAATGTCATCCATAGCTTTAAAATGCGGCCAATCGGGATCTACAGTGCCTATACCTTGGCCGCACGCCATCGTTCTTTTGATGCGATGGTAAAGACATTTTAGGTTTCGGATTCTGGTTTTGATTTCGTCCGGTGTTCGGTAAAAGCCACGCTGCTGCATGTGTGCCGCCAAGAGGCGCATCACGGGCGCCTTCCTATGCGTTAGGAACAATTTGTTTTGTATGTTAGGACTACCCCAAAGCTGAATCAATAATTTTGTCTCGTCTTCGCGGAAGTTGGCCGTGCGTTTCTTTTGATGCATTCGCATATGATCCATCTGGAGATAAAGACGATAGCGTTTTTGATTGCTCATTTACTGCTGCTTTCTTACTAAGTTTGTTGTTGCTGTTATTTATGTTTATTTTTTGTTTGACTAAATTATTAAACAATTGTTTGACTTGACTTCAAAAACATCACGGGCGATGATATTTCTGGGATAACGCGACGACGATTCCGTCGCCCTTCCCCATCCAAACATCCATCGCTCTTATCGTTATCGAACAAACATACGTATCCATGTTCGAATCAATATTTTACACGACACGCAATTAAAATCCACGAGAATCTACAAGATCTAGTAGGAAACTATTCGCCGTTCGAAACAAATCAAGTGAGGGGAAAATTTAATTCAGATTTCGTTGACAAAACTTCAATTCTTTAACATCAAATTTGATTTGACTGTAGCCACAGACACACATCAATATACCTATGCTCTCTACATCATATAATCATTACATAAATATCATTTTATATTAATTATATACTTAAATACAAGCATTTTTCATAGTAAATTATGTACATCATTCATAAGACTATGAGTTTTTAAATTAAATACTTTATAATCAATTACAAATATTCAAATAATCATGACTATTTACTCAAGTGTCTTAAATTAAGTGTTAAACTTAACAATGCTTCTAAATAATAGAATTACCAACTAATCATGTATATTATATTTAATTGATGTTTCAAATTGTAAATATATTTATTTTATATACCATAAACATGCTGCAATTCAATATTCAAATAATGATTCATATGTTTTGTAGGATGACTAACTCAATTAAATGAAGACCAAACTATTTCCCTCCAAAGTTTTTGTTATTAAACTTTTCATTGCTTTAAGATTTCAATATTCTCATTGGTTTATGTTAGAATTTATTTTGACTTTCAAAGTTGCAAATTAATCAAGATTGGCCTATCCAAAAGTGATTAAACATGACATTTTCATTAAGTAATATAATTTTTATTTGAATTTGAAGGTTAATACTTTTTTTCGTGTAGATTTCGTAAATGTTAAGCATTTGGGAATGGTAATACAAGAAGCATGATAATATATCTAATATGAATGATTTACCTTAAAAAATGTGTTCAATTCAAGTCTGTTGTCTACGAGAAAAACACTTTACTTAGTTACAGGAATACATGAAACTTTTCAAACCAATAGGATTTAAATATCAATTCAACTTTTGTTTTCTCATCTATGCAACACATTATACAACCCTAAATAATTTGAAAAATTCTTAAAAATTTTTATAGCTTAGTTGAAGTTAATTATAACAAGTTTACATTATTATTAGAAAATTTAAGTTTAATATAAAGAGTTTATTCTATAATTTGTAGAATTTCTACTTATTAAGTATATAGTTAATATAACTTTGAAATATGAAGAGAAAATATAAAGAAAATAAAAATATTAAAAGATGTGGTATTAAGGAAAAGGTTAAAGTTCCAGGTGCGATACTAGTTTTAGGGTCGTGCGAAAGACGTCACGATATTAGGATGATGTTTTTTTTCTTTGTTGGTTTCTATGGTCGAAAAGGGCGCGTGCCTATGGGATAAAAGGAAGCTCACAATGGTCTTGTGAGAAATATACCAAACGATTGCACAATTTAGAATATAACGGCAATAGTTGTATATTGGCTTAACATGAAGGTTATATGCTTTGATAGATACATTTTGTGATAACGCTTCTCATTGAATATTGTGCTATTATACTAATTTATTGTAAACATAGCCGAAATTGATTACACGTTTGTTAATCAGTAATTAAATAAAATAATAGGAGATAGTGGCAGTAGCATTCAAGTTCTACATAATAGTTACAACTAATAGTTACAATGAATATTGTTAATAAACTGAAGGATTTAGTATATAATATAAAGTATTATAGAAATAATTATAAAGTTAGATATTTTTTACTATTTGGTTATGATGAAATAATATGAAACATATGGTGTTGTATTGAGGACACTGTACACATTCTTTCTATGTCAATTTAATTATGTTAAAACTATTGCTTGTATTTCATTGATGAACTTCTAATATTGTTTAGTTATTAAGTCATTATCACAGTTTGTATACTTTGAAGGTCATTCATTTCTTAAATTGATGTTAAATGTATTTTCTAAATTATTATATAATTTAATAGTAATAAATAATTGTTGTTGTTTGCTAAATCAAATGTAGTTTAATGTTAAAGATTGAAGTATTTTTTGTAAAATAAATGTTGATAATTGTCGATAATTGATGGCATTAGGTCGTATCTGTATATATGAATTCGTTGTGGGCATTCTGGTGTTTCCACCCCGAGCGAAGGGATGGAAGCGCGCGCGAAAATCAATAAATAAAAAAAAATCGCACCGTACGATTGTGAGCATGTCCACGTATAAATAATTCGTTATTGAATCACGGCGATTCCGCCTTGAATTAAGCTCATTGTGAATAGTGAGAAGGGATGTAATTGTTCAATTAGTATGTAAAATAATGAAGAAGAAAGAGGGGTTGGGGGGATGTAAAACAGAAATGGCAACAACTAAACAGCGGGGTTTCGGAATGACACTTACCTTTGATGATTTTTATTTTTTTTTTGTATATATGTATATAATGTTTATGGTGATCACAGTACGTTATCACTAGGTGAAACACTAACAGTTAAGACACTGATTATGTTAATTGCCGGTGTATATCGATTTCGCACGGAGTGCGTATTTGAGTGTGTGCATTTGCTAAGAGCTTAAAGCTCAGTAACACAGGGCTGAGTCCTTTGGAAAGTGGGAACTGAACCACCCTACTGATGTAGGATCGATATTGCACGGTCATGCGCCGTTTACCAGACACTTAAGTCCTTGCAGTAAGGACATGCAATAGGCGGCGGTGGCCACCCCACATGGAAAATTCATTGTTATCGAATGGATTTAGGGGAACTCCGGCGCGTGGAATGGGGTGGCGCGGACCCCTTAGAACCGCGCCGCTGCTGCTCACACATTGATACACACACAGAAAGACAGAGAGAGAGAGAAAACGGGGAGGGATATGAAGAAATGCCGCGCTTTACTCGTCCTTCATATCCTTTTTTTTTATTATTCGTTTTGTTTAAATCCTACCGACAACCTTGCCCCATTCCCTCATCCTATCAAGAGCGTCCTCTGCCGCGACACCCATTATTCCCTCCGGCGAGTTCCTCGGTTCGTATCCCAGCACGATCCTCGCTTCCTCCAAATACCGGATCACTTCCTTGATCCTGTACCTCAATTGGGTCTTGTTTAGCAGCTGCCTTTCGAACTGCCTTGTGGTAAGCACAAGAACGGGTGCGTGCAGCTCGTACAGCGTAACACCTGGAAAGGTACGCACGTACAACAAAACAATGACCAACAAACGAAGAACCCCGAATCTCACCCCTCAATCGCGTGAATCCCGGTTCAATCACATCGAAGATCCTGATAATCTCCTTGCAAATATCCATCTTGCGCTGCAGTTGCTCATCGTCGAGTTCGTGGATTAAGTAACCGTTGATCTTCCCGTACAGTTGGCTCAAATTCAGCTTGATTTCCAAGAAGAGGTAGTGGGTGGGATGCAGCACGTTCCGGTATTTACTTAAAATCGCCTCCAAACCTTTAAGATCATTGGAATCCAGAGCGTCGATTTCACGGGAAATCCTATAAAAAGACGTATCAATTTCACCCTTATATTTTAATTGTATCGCGCACCTATTGATTAGCAGCTCCATCGATTTAGCTGTTATTTTGTAGCCAGGACAACCGTTAATATTGTTGCATTTCCAATCGGATTCTGGGCTCAAAGGCTCTAGCGCCAGGACGTAACCGTCCGGACATTTGGGACACCTCAGAGCTCCGGCGAATGTTCCGCATTCCGTTGGATCTCTGCATCTTGCGCACATGCAATGAAAGAACTTGTTCTCCAAAAGATGTTCCCGCCGTTTCAGCGTGCTCTTAAAACGACAAAAAAAAAATAACGAACAAATTCGTATCACCCCAGTTCCGCTTTATACCTGCAGAGTGTAAGCGTAGCTCAAGGTTATAGGTTGATTGATTGATATGGAAGTGGACGCTCTGACGGTCAGCTTAAAATCATCCTCATCGTCGTTATGATTCGTGTTCGGTATGCAGTTGTGCGACATCAAAAATGCTGTGGGGTAAAGACCCCGGATGTTCACCCCCAGATGACCGATCTCGAAAGCATTCACCTTAAAAAAAAGAAGTATAAAATCAATATCGACACACGGACATCGGACACGTGCTCACTTCCAATATCCCGCAGATTCTGTGCACGTCATCCTCACTGAATTCCTTCATCTGCCAATCGCTGATTATCCTGTTCACGATCATCGTCTGATTCGTTGTCCAAACGTCCGTCAGCTGTTTGCGGATTTCGTTGTGATGCTCCATTTTCATTAAAATCTCGTAAGACTTTGGATCGGTACGCTTCAACATCAAACATCGGAGCGGAACGATGCAATAGAAGTTCTCTTTCAGCTTGCTGAAATTCCTGTAATCCAAGAAACGATAAGATTTGCAATCTCGTAAAATTGTACACTCCGCTTTGGTGTGTCCGAATTGCGTTCCAAGCTTAGCGCAGTTCGCACTGCACAAGGGCCAATCGCAACCTTTACATCTGCAAAAAAAAAACTATTTTAGTTCAATTTGATAATCACTAGTAAATTATCAATTACTTTGCGTAACTTCCAGATTCTTCGATCGGTTGGTAACAGGCGAGACATTGCACTTTACAGCCTGTGCATGGACCAACAACAATAGGCATTTCACTCAGTATAATATTTCCTGGCCTCAATTCTCTAGTTGCTACCATATACCTAAAATCATTGAAATATGAATTAACTCAATTATAACACTATTTTTAATGGTAATAATTAAATAAAGATTATATATTCATTAGGAAATAGAAAAAAAAACTAATGTTCTGCATAAGTGTCAAGAGGAAAAAGGAACAATTGTAAAAATATCTTCAGAGAAACATCAATTTTTAATCAAATTCAAAATACTTAAAAAGTAAATGTTGTGTGTAAATGTATATCATCGCTGATCAAGCTATTGGTATTGTTAACATTAAAGACATTCAATGTTATATTTACATCGGAGGAAATAAATTCAATTCAATTATAACACTATTTTTAATGGTAATAATTAAATAAAGATTATAGATTCATTAGGAAATAGAAGAAAGAAACTAAAGTTTTGCATAAGTGTCATGAGGAAAAAGGAACAAGTATATCGAAGCAGATGGTTTATTGGTATGCTTTGGCTATCATCCAACTATCAATAATACAGTTTAATTAAGCCATTAAACGTTTACGCTTTAAAAAATATAGTTCTTCTATTCAGCGTGTTTCGGAAATAAAATTTATTACCTCCGATGTAAATATAACATTGAATGTCTTCAATGTTAACAATACCAACAGCTTGATCAGCGATGATATACATTTACACACAACATTAACTTTTTAAGTATATTGAATTTGATTAAAAATTGATGTTTCTCTGAAGAGATTATTACAATTGTAGGAGAGTTGGTTTATATACTAATGATGTAAATTAGTAAAATTTATAATTTATAGATTAGTGTATTTGTAGTAAACATTTTCATTAGTACTCTAAACATTATTTTTAAAAGTCTAAATGAAAGAGGTAAAAAGCTAAACTAACTACTTATTCGTAAATTTACCATTATCAGTTTTTGTCACATTCATTTGTCAGACAAAACAATATATTAAATTAACTGCAAACTTGGCAAAATTATCAATGTAACAATTAGTTACATGTTTTTTTCTAGTATTGTTTTGTAAACTTCTAATTAACAAAGTGTACTCACATCATTGATATACGTTGTTTAACGTTTTTTTTTTCTAAAGATATTTATTAATTCTAAAGATATTTATAAACTTATTATTTATTTACATTTTTGTTTGTTAAAAGTTCAAAGTCCATCCATTTGAATATTTTACTAATTTTCTATTGTTATTCATAATCATAAAATTAACATAGCAATTTTAACAATTAAACAAAAAGTAAATAAAAAAAATCGCATTTAAGTATTAGCGGAAAAGTAAAAGCTACGCTAATTATATTTACTGTTGCGTCGTTAGCGCTGTAAACATTCTGCGAAATGAGCACACTAAAAAATGATTACCTTCCCATAATTTTCGAAGTTTTAATTGCGAAAATTTCCTCTCCATCATCGAAATTAGTAACACTCGCATCTCTGTAATCATTCATGAATTGATCGGAAACAACTGACTGTGATCTGCTCTTCGATTTGCATTTCTGAAAGGAAAGCGGGAAAAAAAATAAATAAATATTCATCGCTTGTGAAAATTGCAGTAATTTTCCAAATCGCAAGGAATATTTCTAACACATATTATTTCGTTTATCGTGAAAAAAATAAATATAGAAAACAACAGGATATTATTATATATGCAAATGAGCGCATTTCGAAATAAACTAAATAACGCAGGAAACGAAGCTATGTTTTCATAAACATGTCGCGCTGAAACACGCAGCGAATGTATGTATTCATTTCGAAGGATTCGAGGAAAACATTTTTTGCGACAATGCCAACAGTGATTATTCGCCGATCACGAAAACTGCCAATAATTTTTTAATTTCCAAAATATCTAGAGTTACAGCTTTTTTTTTCACAAGTGTTTTCATTTAGCTCCGAAAATAAACGAAAAAATCTATTAAGGATAATTTTGGAGCAATAAAAAAAAATACCTTTTTCCTATGGTTATGGTTGTGGCTCTTCGAACTCATCTTTGATTTTGTGTGTGATAATCGAGATTTCTTTGCTGATTCTTACAGTCAAGTGTCACATGTAGTTTTCGTGAGACACTGCCTGGTGAAAACTCTGCAAGTTTATTTGCAGACCAGAGATATCGCCCTACTACTAAAACAGATTTTGTGGGAGTCAAATGCTTTATTTTAAGAATATATTTATATGTATATATATATACACATATATGCAGACACACATTAGGATACACATACACATCTATTTGGACAATCTTTTTTATCAGTTGTCCGTACGTGTAGTAAATATTGATGGTCCCTGGTTTCAATAACAATTAATTAGGTTGCATTTAGTTTGTTTTCCTTCTGCGAAATAAAGTGGTTTTCGCTTTAAAATAATGTTTGCTCGAAATTTAATTATGTTCAGTCAGATTTATATTCTCCTACGAAAATAAACACACTTAAAATACTTAATATTTCAGTATATGAAAGTTGTTGTTTTTTAATTAAACTTAGTTACAATTACGTTTTACTTAAAAATGTGTATCTTTCATTTATGTAAATGTATTTTTATAATTTCAATTTAATTAGAATTTTTGGAAATTAATTTAAAAATAATTATTTTATTTAATTCAATCAAAATATTAACGAGAATCTAATTTCGATTAAAATTTATTTATGATTTAATATCAAAATATTAATAATGTTTTATTAACTTGTTTATAGAAAAATAAATATAATATAAAAATTATTCAAAAAATCTTGAATCATTTAATTTCATTGATACTTTATGATGTATTAGTTAAGGCGGCTTTTCAATTAGTCGAGGCTATTTAAAGATGTAGTAACAGATACCAAGTCGTGTTCGAATGTCAGAGACACAGATTTTGGCAATCAGTCTTCTGTAATGTAGCATAACAACTGGACCTTCTCAATTTATACATTATTGTTATGACAATAACTTTTATTTACAGTTTTATACATCCTTGATCTAAGTATAATAAGTGAAATTTTCATCCAAATCATAAATTTGTATCAATTCGAATAGGACATTTCTTGAAGAGCACGTGATGTTTCTATACCTTTGACAATAGATGGACTGCTTGGTATCAGATCCAAAAATAAGGCATTTAAGTTGTGTATTTATAAGAGCAAAGCGCATTTTATTTAGGATGGTGCGACAGTAACGTTTCTTCCGTTACGTTGGCTCTCGGCCAGAAAGGATAATGCCAAATATTTGAAATAATCAAAATAAAGGAAGATTGCACAAAAAAAAATCGATCGATTCAATTATTTATTCTGTAGGCATTTGGAACATGGACAATAGTCGAGAGGTATCCTTAGCAACAGAGGTAGCATCCATAATAATCCAGAGATGTCCTTAGCAATAAAAGCAGCATTCATGAGGTGTCCTTAGCAACAGAGGTAGTTTCCCTTATAATGAGGTGTCTTTAGCAACAGGGGTAGCGGCTGCAATAATCAAGAGATGTCCTGATTAACAGAGGTAGAGTCCATAATAAGCAAGATGTTTATTTAGCAACAGAGGCAGCTTCCATAGCAATAAGGATGCCTTTATCAATATGGGTAGAATCCATATTAACCAAAAGCTTATTTTGTAACGCAGATAGCCTACATAGAAACCAACATATATTTTTCACAAAAAGAGCAGCGTCCATAACAACTAAGAGGTGTTCTTAGTAACAGATACAGCGTGCATAATAATTAAGAGATTTGCTTAGCAACAGATGTAGCGTCCATTATAATTAAGAGTGTCCTTGGTAATAGAGGCAACTTCCAGAGAATTAGAAGTCATCCAATATTGGTAGCATCCATAATAACCAAGAAGAGTATTTCATAATGGAGGTAGGGTCCAAATCAATTGAAATAGCATAAATAACAAAAAGTAACAAAAAAAATCAATAATAATATTTAAACGAGTAAAAATAATCAATTTATATTTGTGAAATAATAATATATAATAATAAAGTAAAATTTGATGTCTGCGTTCGCCCTTAGGGCGAATAATCAAATTTTAAATGAATGTGTTTTAAAAATGCAAAAGTTTTCCTATTAGAATTTTAAATTTGTGAACGTGTAATATGTGCAGTGGTTGCGCGATGTGCGTTAAAATAGAAAGAGGAAAATGAAGAAACGAAACGTTCGAATGATGGACGTGTTCAAAGAGAGCATAATGTAAACTCCGATGTTCTTTTATATTCACACAACCGGTAACCTTGATTGATTTAATTGCGATTTATAGATTTGGTAAGAAAAAAAAAATCATCGGATCGAACGTGGCGGAAATTGAAATGTTTATTTACGTTGCAAATTAAAGCAAAACGCTGAGATGATTGCGTCTAAGCACTCGAAACTGAGTGGCAATAAATAACTCCAGCAGCTTTCAATATATATATTTTGACAGTTGTACTGTGCATACAAGTTCTCTTATACACGGTTATTAGATTTGATGAGGAAAATTTAAAATGGAAAATTAGGTTTTGTATTGGTGGAGTGTAGGCAAATCATAACGCATTTGGAGCACTGGCTGTATGTGTGTATCCCCTAATAGATGAGTACTATTTATAACTGAGTGTAACATGTGCACTGTATTCGAGTCCACTTCGCGTTAAGACTGGAAGCTTACTGATATTTTGTATGTGAATTGATTAATCCTCGTTATATCATGTCGGAAGTTGCCAAATGCGCTGTCTGCCAGAAGCCCGCACAGCAGAAATGCAGTGGATGCCATTTGGTGTACTACTGCAGCAAAGAACACCAGAAGGATAATTGGAAATTGCATAAGATCGACTGCAAACCGTTTAAAGTGAGTCATTATATTGTATTATAATAATGATAGTTAAGGTGATTTTGTAGATCTCTAACGATCCAAACGTCGGTCGTCACTTGATAGCAACGAGAAATCTGAAACCGGGAGATGTCATCTTAAAAGAACCTCCGATTGTCTGGGGCCCTTCTCAAGTTACAATCCCAGTGTGTCTAGGCTGCGGCAAAGGTCTGAACGCGAAGACCAGCAAGCCGTGTCAGAAATGCGGATGGCCTATGTGCAGTGAAATCTGCCAGAACTCACCTAGTCACATCCCAGAATGTTCATACACTGTCAATAGAGGAGATAAAGTAAGTTTCAAAACTTAATCAGACAAAATTTAACTCACATCTTTGCAGGTAAATATATCAGTTTTCGATATACCAAATCCCAGTTATCAATGCATCACAGTTTTGAGATGTTTGCACAGCAAGCAGTTTTTATCAAATGTTTGGAAGAAGATAGATGCGTTGGAGTCGCATTGCGAAGCTAGGAAAGGCACCGACAAATATGAGCAGGAGAAAATCACGGTGGTGGCTTTCATCAAAAGATTTTTCAAGTTGGATTCCTTCGAGGATGAAGATATCTTGAGGATTTGCGGCATCATAATGGTCTGATTTTGGTGGAAATTTGTATTAAGTGTTAATGTTTTTTTTTTCTAGGTGAACGCTCATGAAGTACCATTGACCGATCCACCGTACGTGGCCATCTTCAATACAACATCGATGTTCGAGCATAGCTGTCATGCGAACTGTTCAAAAACCTTCACAGCTAATGGTCATGTACTTATAACAGCTGGTGTAGACATCAAGAAAGGAGAACATCTGAGTATTTGCTATACTGATCCACTTTGGGGTACTGCAAATAGGAGACATCACCTGCAGCAAACTAAGTTCTTCTGGTGCTCCTGCTCCAGATGTCAAGATGTCACTGAATTTGGCACTAACTTTAGCGCATTGAAATGCCCCAAAAAGTAAATCATTTCTTCAATTGCCATCAATAAATGAATCATCAATTATTTTCAGAGATTGCAAGGGCTACGCATTACCTAAAACATTCAAAGAAGACAACTTGGAGTTGTCAGATAAAAGTTGGTTTTGTACTACTTGCAATTACGAAGTCGGCGCCGGCGAGGTGGGCGGTATCCTGCAGGATTGCGGAACTAATTTGAGCGGAATCAGAAAGGGCAATTCGAACGCCTGCAAAGTCTTCATCAGCAATTCCTTGAAGTTCTTGCATCCAAATCATTACTATTTAACCGACGTTAAATTTGCACTTTCGCAACTACTCGGACAAGAATTCCACGGAGGATTGCCCAAGATTTCAGATGAAGATCTTCAGTTGAAAATCGATATTTGCCGACAACTCACCGAATTGGCCAACAAAATAGCTCCAGGTATTTAATAAAATTCAACAAAATTAATTAGATTATTAATTGTTTGATTAGCTGAAAACAGGATAAAAGGGTTGCTGTTGTTCGAACTTCATGCTGCGATTATGGAATTGGGAAGGAGAAGAGGAAATTCAGGGACTGAAGAATCGGGACCCGATTATCTCTACACCAAATTAATTGTGAGAATTAAAAAAAGTTAATTAATCTTTAATTAATAATCTGTACCTGCAGGATTCTAAGAAATATCTGGTTCAATCTATCGAAGCTCTTAAGAACGAATCCGAGGTGATGCCGGAAGGACAAATTTGCATTCAGGCGAGAAGGAATTTGAAGGATATTGACGTACTCTTAAAGACGGTATACAATGCTATTGGATCTTCGCCGATTTAATATTCATTGATTATTCATTGAAACACTAAATGAAAAAATAAGTTATTCCAAGTTATAACAGCAGTTACAACTAGTGGATTATTATATATCGGAACTTGGAAATTTGGATAATAAATTATTAAGCACGCTTCTTTAGTATTATTACTTTCTCTATAGAATTAGAATTCCGAAAATCGCGACAAATTCCTGAAGACGCGGCAGTATATAATTTAACTTTATGCACAAACTAAATTAAAAAAACTGAAAAGGAAATATTATTAATATTTCCGATGGAGAGAAAGAAGGATGTTTCCAAAATGGCTTTTGTCCTGCCGAAAGTTTTGTTGAATATTTTACAATTATGGCCGAAGGAGGAGAGCAGAAATACGCCAATCGCTTTCTTCGTTAAACTGGCTCTGCTTATCTTTCTTGAGTTGGGACAAGTTATTTACTTTGTGATGAACATCTATGATATAACCACTATATCATCAACTCTGTCGACGATTTCAACAACGTTTCAGGTAAAAATGACAATTATCATTTGCAGATTAAATGATAATCACAAAACTTTGCAGTCTATAATAAAAATAAATATTATTTACGTGCATTCGGCAAGGTTAAAGGTTATTATAGTTATGGCTTTAAACGAATTTTGGCCATCCGATTTCATGGGACCTGTTTTGGAGAAATCGCTGAAAATGACCTCGATGTTCGTTATATTCAATATGATTTCATTGATGGGCAGTGCTTCGATATTCGCTTTCGGGTTTCTCTCCAAACCGCTTTTGGAAGGTTCCAACACTTTACCTTTCCTCTCTTGGTATCCGTTTGAATACCAATACTCTCCAGTTTACGAAATTCTGTACATCTTGCAAGTTTTCACTAACATTTACGTGGTTATCTTAAGTATTTTAGGCCACGATTTCATTTTTCTGGCTCTGTGCATTAACGTTATAACTCAATATAGGTTACTGAAAATGATCATAGGATTTACAGGAAGCGGTAATAACGCGGATTTGAATAAATCGCTCATGGAATTGGATGGTAGTCCAAACGACCAAACTGGAGAGAATGCAGAAACGAAAATTTTAATAATTAGATGCGTCATTCATCACAACAAACTGCTATAGTAATACTTTAATAAACTCTTACTTGGTGATATCTTAAAGACTTCAATTTTAAGCATTTGTAACGAAATGGAGCAGATCTTCTCACCATCCATCTTCATCCAATTGGCCACAAGCGTTGTTGCTATTTGCGTCTCAACATTCTTGATCACCGTCGTATGTTTAACAAATTTCTCTATTAATTTTTGTTAAAATAACTACTTTCCAGGTAAAAATTGACAAAGGTCAATTATATCAGTTGACTTCTTACTGCCTCGGACACGTTCTGCAACTGTTCATGATTTGCGCTGCAGGAAATGAACTTACCTATCAGGTATTATTAATTGCGAGTTCCGTGACTCAATAATATCCGGTTCCATCTCTCCCGCAGAGCAAATCTATGGCCACCAACGTTTACAACAATGATTGGTATTTGAAGACGGAAACGGATATTAGGAAATCGCTAATAATGATGTTGCGTAGGTGCCAAAGGGGCAGCAAAATGACAGCCTTAGGTATATTCGATCTAAGCTACGAAACGTTCGGCAAGGTAATTCAATATTTGCAATCTTTTGTACAACGACTTTTATCTTTCTTTTACATACTTCCTTCAGGTAATGCAGTTATCCTTTTCAATGTACACTCTGCTATCAAATATCGAGGAGAGGAAGATGTAGTTTACCCAAACGTCACATATTGATTATATAATTCGGCTACCACTCCATAGACTGCGAACGCTTTCACTTCTTCGGCACTTTTCAAAATTGAATCTTAGTTATTCCATAGAAAATAGTTCTACAAGCCGTATATACATATTTTAAGACAGTTTACGAATAATTTAAAAAAAAAGTTATCAATTACTTTTTTTCAGCAATAATAACTAGGCTAAATAAAAACAAATAAGTTTATCATGACTATATGATATAAAAAATGGTATAAATAAAATAACATTCGTAGTTATAATTTGAAACAAAGTTTGAAAGAAGCGAAATATAAACTAAAAAATGTCCATGCCTTGTTTATGTTACTCGCTGAATATAACTCTAATTGTTGTACGTTATTAATGAGTATACGCCAAGAAAAATATTTTTTTTGTTTAATTAGCTCGGAAAAATGCGTTGTTTTTAGAATACTTTTGCTAATTGTACTTTTATCTAGTTTACAATAAATAGAAATATAATGAATTATGAAATAATCAAAAAAGACAAACAAAAGTTTGGTTTTAATTGGAGACTTTTCAATATTGACATGTTAAAACTCGAAAATAATAACATCTGAAGATCTGATGGTACATGCTAATAAAAGCCTATATATCGAAATGTGCGCGAAAATATTTTAACTGGCGATGGAAATTTCGTTGTAATTATTCGCATAATGAAACGTATTACGTAACTCTCCCAATTGAGCTGTGCTCTTGAATGGTCGAAGGGTTTCAGTTAGCAGCAGCTGCATTATTGTTTATTGTTGTGCAAAGTTCGAGAAAGTTTTGATAAATACGGGAGTCTAGAATATAAACATGTAGGCAGAACTGACCACTTAACAGCAGCTTTTCACGTCCAAATTCCATATATTTTAATATAATTTCGATCCGCACTCGAACAGTGATACTAACGCAACCAAAATCCGTTGGTTCTGCTCAGACGGATACATTGAATAAGAGGGATATTGTGAACATACCTTTTTGATACGTGAAATGTTTTTTAAAGCTTCAATGAGTTAATTTGTATCGAAAATGCGTCTAAATATGAAATAATGAGGAATAAATAATTGTCGTTAATGAGGATACAAAATATTGAAATAACAATGGTTAGATAATTTGTATGTATCTATCAAATAATTGCGATTTCGAAAAAAAGTGATGCGGAATAGTTTGAATGCTTATGTATATAAATGGGCGAAAACGAAAATATATCATTTATATAATGAGAATCGACATGAAGCAAAAACTGGTAATCGCCGTGTTTCTTTTCACAATTCAAACTGTGTTTGGTCATTTAAACAATGTCTGCACCAGTTATTTTTCATACGGGTTTAAATTATCAGATCATTGTCATCAATGCAGCTACAATCCCGATCTGTTTTCGACAACTGTAAAGCAGGATAAGTGCAGTTTAGGTATAAGATTTTGTTACATTTCGGTGATTTCAGGATAGAATTATTAAAAATCATGGGTATCCATTGGAGAATTACACTGTGAACTCAGGAAACAAGTTTTATCTTAAAATTTTTCGAATTCCCTACAGTCCGAACAATAGTAACTTGGCCAATCGTAAACCTATTTTCCTTCAGCACGGATCTCTCCGCAACTCGGATCTCTTTGTTCTGCTTGGAAAATCTTCCATGGGTAAGAATTGAACTGAGATTTGCGAATAATTGGTTTTGATGGTTTGATTCAAGCTATGCGTTTATCCGATATGGGCTACGACGTTTGGTTGGGGAATGCTAGAGGCAACTTTTATACTTCCTCTGTTAACGGCGAGAATAAGGAAGACAGTAGCTATTGGAATTATTCGTATTAAATATGTCTGAGAGTAGATTTTCGATTTTACATTTTATGATTTTAGATTTGATGATATGGCTATATATGATCTTCCTCCAATCTTCGAACTAATTGCTAATGTCACCAAGAAGCCAGGGGAATTGATTTACGTTGGTCACTCGGCCGGAACAACGGAGGCTATGATCTACTCCATTCGAATGAAGTCTCACGCCGAGAAGCATATCAAAGCCTTCATTTTCATAGCTCCTGTGGTTTACAATGAAGATAATTGGTTCATGAAACTAATTGTAAGTTAAAAAAAATAATTTGCACGGTTATATTAAACTTTTCTTTATTGCAGAAAATCTTGGTGCATCTTAATCGTAAAACGTTAGGAACGAGAAGTAAGCTATCCACTAAATTTTGCTCATTGAGTGGTATAACATGGCATATTTGTTTATTTGCCATACAATCGTTGTTTGGCCCAGACAATAACAACTTTCTACCAGTAATAAAAAAAATATAGTTGCAAATGGGAATTCTTTTAATTTAATATTCTAGGAAGAAATGCCTTTATTGTTGAGCGCCGGAGATATTGGGAGTCTGACACCGTTCAATCAGTTTGCAGAAACTGCGGGTACCGATAAATTTCAATCTTACAGGAATAGTAGTGAATCGAGTATACAGAATTATAATCTCGGAGATATCGAAATTCCCACTTACTTGATTGTTGGAACGCACGACAGTTTGGCTACGTACAATGTAAATTTTAAAGAACATTGAAATATGTATAAAACGTTTTAATATTTTTATTCTTTTAGAATACTTTAAAAATTTTTGATAGGTTGGGAAGTACGCATAAGAAAATGTACGTTATCGAAGATTACAACCACATGAACTATTTCTATGCGAAGGATTTGGACGTTTCCTTCAATCCCCATTTTGATGACGCCTTGAACAGAATTGGAAAACTATGATAATTTGAAATAATTTTAAAAAAATCTTCTGCAAATATGGGTGGTCATAACATTGAGCACTTCATTTATACAATAAATTACTGCACCCAACTACCTTAATTATTTATTACACAACCTCTTTTAATTACAGATCCAATAGAATTCTAACTAGCTATTTTTGGTTGTAGCTTGACCTAATTTATAATCATATATAAATAACACGGATAATACTTCTTGGAGGGTAATACTTTTCTGTAGTATATTTTTTCAATTTCGACAGCTTATTATTACTCGATAATAGTAATAGCTACAAAACTGATATTAAACACGCGAAGACACTATTTTTTGCAATAAAAAAATTGATATATTTGATCAATATAATGTTTAGCAATATTGTTAAGAAATAATTGGAGTTTGTATTAAAAATGTAATGAAGTGATGCAATATGTGTAAATTTCGAGACATATTAAAGCAATTGATAAAAAGGTGAAAATAAATAATGTTTATATAAAAAAAAACTTGTACAGATATACTGAATTAATGATGAGTAATATTTAAGCAGTTGATAAAGAAGTTAATTATTTATATCAAAATTAAGAATGTTTTGTTTAAAAATCATCATGTATCACAATAAGAACTTTGGTATAAAAATCTGTAAATTTTGTCCTTTTTATTTGTAAGTTTTTCTTGGTAACATTGACGTGTTCCCAAATATGATAATTGGATGTAATAAATAATGAGGAGGATTTGTTTGAATATCAGGACTTGTTTATAATATTAATCATTGGTAATGAGTATAAATAATATTGAAATAATATAAATAATATTAGATAATTTAATTTTTTTTTAAAGCGAAAATACAGATAAAAAATATTTTAAATATATAAGTGCTTGTAAACAAATAAAATTCATTTATATAATGAGAATCGAGATGAAGCAACAACTGGTAATCGCCGTGCTTCTTTTCACACTTCAAACTGTGTTCTGTGTCTTCAACAATGTCTGCACAAGTTATCCGGCATATGGGCTACAATTACTCGATTTGCAATGCAGCTACAATACCGATCTATTTTCGACAACAGTAATGCACAATGAGTGCAGTTTAGGTATAAGATTTCGTTACATTTTGTTGATTTCAGGATGGAATTATCGAACATCATGGGTATCCATTGGAGGAGTACACTGTGAACTCAGGAAACAAGTTTTATCTTAAAATTTTTCGAATTCCCTACAGCCCGATCAACCGTAACTTGACAAATCGTAAACCTATTTTCCTGCAGCACGGATCACTCAGCAACTCGGATTTGTTTGTCCTTCCTGGAAAATCTTCTATGGGTAAGAATTGAATACAGTTTTGTGAAGAATTTGTTTTGATTGTTTGATTCAAGCTATGCGTTTATCCGATATGGGCTACGACGTTTGGCTGGGGAATACCAGAGGCAACTTTTATACGTCTTCTGTTAACAGCGAGGATAAGTCTGAAAAAAGCTATTGGGACTTCTCGTAATAAATATGTATATATGTATAAATATGTTTAATCATTGATTTGTGCTTTTACATTTTTTGATTTTAGATTGGATGATATGGCTATATACGATCTTCCTCCAGTCTTCGAACTAATTGCTAATGTTACTGAGAAACCAGGAGAATTGATTTACGTTGGTCACTCAGCCGCAACAACGGAGGCTATGATCTACTCTATTCGAATGAAGGCTCATGCAGAGCAACATATCAAAGCCTTCATTTTCGTTGGTCCGGTAGCTTACTTAGATGAAACTTGGTTCATGAAAATAATTGTAAGTTATATAATAAATAATAACAGTTATATTACACTCTTATTTATTGCAGAGAATATTAATGAATCATGGTGTCTATACGTTAGGAGAGAGAAGTAAACTACCTACCGAAATTTGTTCAATTGATGGACTCACGTGGGAAATTTGCTTAGATGCCATCAACATAATCATCGGCTCCGACGATAATAATTTCCCACCAGTAATACTAATAAACAAAAACTAAAGATAATGCTAAACATTTTCACTTAATTTTATATTTCAGGAACAAATGCCTCTATTGGTGAGTGGCGGAGATATCGAGAGTCTCAAACCGTTGAATCAGTTTGTGCAAATTGCTGACAGCAATCAATTTCAAGCGTACAAGAATGACGATGAATCAAATCCGCAAATTTATGATCTTGGAGATATCAAAATTCCCACGTATTTGATTGTTGGAAAGAACGATCGCTTGGCAACATACAAAGTAAATTTTAAAGAGTTTGAAAATTATGAGTCTAATTATGATTTTATTGTTTTTTTTCTTTCTTTAGAATGCTTTAAGAATTGTAGATGAGTTGGGAAGTGCGCAGAAAAAACTGTATGCCATCGATAATTACAATCACATGAACTATTTCTACGCAAAAGATTTGGACGTGTCGTTCAATCCCCATTTGGACGATGCCTTGGACAGAATTGGACAACTATGATTTTTTTTTTGAAAATGTAATAATATTCTTTTTTTTTTAATTTTTTTATATAATGATATAAAAATACTATTTATATCCAAAAATATTTTTCATTGAAAAAAATAATGAAGAAATAATAATAACTAGTAAGTAGTAATAGTGGTTTACAGTTATGACTTTGCATGATAAATATTTCCAATAATTATGGTGATATTGCATCAATTATGATGAATTGTACAGTACGAAACATTGCATTTTTTTTACTAAAACTCAATTGCAATAAGTTAATTCAAAGAAAGAATTATAGAAGATGAACGCACTAGCAGAGAGCTGAACCAGAAAGAGGAGGTGAATCTACCAACCTGGGTGGTTTAGATCAGCGTTTTTCAAGCTGTTTGGTCCTTTCCACTTAAACAAATTTCTGTGACCTCCGAAGATTGGTTTAGATTATAAGTTAATCTAGGATAGTTTAGATATTACATTAGTTAAGACTTGCTAATTTTGCATTAAATACAGTTAACGTAATATTCAAAGTTATCAATAGTAATAGCTACAAATTAAGCACACACATCGACAATAACAATTGTTTAGTAATGCGATAAAATGTGAATTTTGAAACATTAAAAATAGCCATGTTTTATCATGAAATTATCATAAACTGCAGCAATTAATTAATTGGAGCAAGCACTTAATAACTGTACATAATCATTAAAATACATCGTGTTTATATCAACAAATAAGTTTTGAACTGATAGTTGAAAAAAAACAGTATTTGTAAGTATGTGAATAAATTATGTTTAATTAAACAAACTTTCAATCAAAAGCCGATTTTGCCAAATCGGATGATAATTGAAACTTATCTTTCTGATTTGTGGAATGGCAAAACTTTAATGCAAATAATGACAAGAAATTGGTTAAATATCGAAACTTGTTTACAATATTAATCATTTGTAATGCGAATACATATAATTTAAATAACAATACAAAGATAATTTACACGCACCAATTAAATAACTGTAAATGTGCAAATGATGATAAGGAATAGTTTAAATACTTATTTATATAAATAGGTAAAAACGTTCACATAATGCGAAGCGACATGAGACAGCAACTGGTAATTGTCGTGTTTTTCTGCACACTTCAAACTGTGTTTAGTAGCATAAACAATGTCTGCAACAATTATCTCTCATACGGGAATAGATTAATCAGTATTCACTGCAGCTACAATCCAGATCTGTTTTCGACAACTGTAAATCAGGATCAGTGTTCTTGAGTTATACAATTTCGTTACATTTTGCTAATTTCAGGAAGAGATCATCAAACATCATGGTTATCCATTCCAAGAGTATAAAGTGAACTCAGGAAATAGGTTTTATCTTCGAATTTTTCGTATTCCCTTCAGCCCGAACAATCGTAACGTGACCAATCGTAAACCTATTTTCCTGCAGCACGGATCCCTCAGCAACTCGGATTTGTTTGTGTTGCCTGGGAAATCGTCTATGGGTATGTGTTAAAAAGCGTTATGGTAAAAACTGGTTTTGATGATTCGTTTAAAGCTATGCATCTATCCGATATGGGTTATGATGTTTGGCTGGGGAATACCAGAGGTAACTTTTATACTTCATCCATTAACAACGAGTCTAGGAAGAATAGAAGCTATTGGGATTTCACGTAATAAATATGATCCATTGTGGATTTTCGGTTTTACATTTTGGGATTTTAGTATGGATGATATGGCTATATATGATCTTCCTCCAGTCCTCGAACTCATTGCTAATGTTACCAAGAAGCCAGGAGAATTAATTTACGTTGCTCACTCGGCCGGAACTACTGAGGGTATGATCTACTCAATTAGAGAGAAGGAACATGCCGAGAAATATATTAAAGCCTTCATTTTCGTGGGTCCTTTGGCTTACATTGAAGATACTGCGTTCATAAAAATACTTGTAAGTTAGAAAATAAATAGTACTAATAATTATTATAAAAACACTCTTCGTTGTTACAGAAAATATTAGTGAAGCTTGGATTCGATTCAATCGGATCGAGAAGTAAGCTTGCCACCGAAATTTGCTCAATCAATCTCATCACGTGGACAACTTGTATAAAGGCTTTCAATTCGATCATCGGCTCAGACAATAAAAATTTTCCACCAGTAGAAAAAGACAAAACCTAAAGAAATGCGAAATTTTTGACTTTAATTTTATATTCTAGGCAGAAGCGCCTTTATTGGTGAGCGGCGCAGATATTGAGAGTCTCAAAGCGTTGAATCAGTTTGTTCAAAATGCTGGCACTGGACAATTTCGAGCTTACAAGTATAAAGGTGAATCGAGTTCGCGGAACTATAATCTTCAAGATATCAAAATTCCCACGTATTTGATTGTTGGAAAGAATGATATTTTGGCTACCTATAAAGTAAGGAATTTGGAAATATGTTCTGGCTGTGATTGCATTGTTTATTTTTTATAGAATGCCGTAAGGGTTATAAATGAGTTAGGAAGTAAGCAAAAAAAACTGTATGTAATCGACAACTACAACCACATGAACTATTTCTACGCGAAAGATTTGGATGTCTCCTTCAATCCGCGTTTAGACGATGCCTTGGACAGAATTGGTCAACTTTGATTATTTTCATACTTTTTATGCTTATTTCTCGAAATCTTTGATCATAAAATTTATTACTTATTTTATATACATACAATGAATATACTTTAACTATTTATCATACAACCTATTTTACTGGAATTTTATTTTTATACAACCAAACAATCTTAAAGTAATTGTAGCTTTAACTACTTTATAAAAACACATATATGTGCAGTTAATTATGAAAATTAAAAAAAATAAGTTTATCAGTTATTTCGCATTGTATTTATTTACAAATTTAATCGTTAGATTAAACAAAAATATACAAAAATTTAAAATCCCGCAAAAGGGGAAGAAAATCAGAAATGATAAAAATGAATCTAAATGAATACTTTTCTTTTTAACTTTTGATTTTTTATTGTTATTGTTACAAGTCTGTTTGAAGCCACATTTTAAGCTAGAAAAATCACATTTCACAATCATAATTACTGTACTATAAAAATATTTTTTAATTTGTTCAAATTGAAACCTCTAAATATTTGGTAACAAAATCATATGACTTAAACCACTTTCAATATCATTAATTAAAAAAATACTTGGTGTCAACTATGATATTGAATAATTTATGAAAGTTGACGCGAATAATATATGTATGTTCATATTAGATTTGTTCACAGCTATTACTCAAAAATAATAATAGCTACAAATCTGGAATAAAAGTTAATTAAAGCTTGTATGTTTTACTTTCATTAAAGTTTTCATATTTGTAATTGGTATCTGTGGTTGTGGATAAAACCTGCAGACACTATTTTTTTTTTCAATAAAAATTGTTGTTTTTAATTTTCTTTCGCTGTGAAAATATCAACAGCTACAAAATATGTATACACATTAGCATTTGTGGTTTAATTAAAACAGTTTTTTTTTTCCAGCTCGGAATCATTATTTTAAATATTGTCATACAATTATCAAGAACTTATAAATTTTTAATACAACACTTAAAACTTAGAAAGTAATAATATTTATTGCAACAACAAAATTTAAAAAAACTGAATACAATGATAAAATTAAAGTAAAGAGCTATTGTCATCAAAATAAATGGTATTTATCTTATAAAATGTTATGAACTTATGATAGGAATATTTGTTGAAAAAAAAGTATTATAGGCATGAACATATTTTTGTAAAAGTTATGAATGCATTAAAAAAATATTACGTTTTGATTTAATTAGTAGCATTTATTATTATTTTTTTTTTAAATATTTATATCACAATTAATAATGTTTATTTTAATAACAAAACGATGTAAACTCAAATCGTACGTTCTGCAATATTGAATGAAAAATTGTTTTGTGGAATGATAAAACTTCAATGCGTTTTTCGTTCGGTATCGAAAACACGTCAAAACATGACAATTGGAGGTAATAAATAAGGAGGAATTTGTTCAATATCAGAACTTGTTTACTATATTAATCATTGGTAATGAGGTAACATAATATTGACATAACAATGCTTAGATAATTTTCACTTACCAATCAATAACTTTAAAATATGCTAATAAAGATAAGGTATAGGTCGAATGCTTCTTTATATAAATGGGGGAATACAAAAAATAACATTTATATGCTCAAAAAGTAACATGAAGCAACAACTGGTAATCGCCGTGTTTCTTTTCACATTTCAAACTGTGTTTGGTCATTTAAACAATGTCTGCACCAGTTATAGTGCATACGGGATTAAATTAGTTGATCCGAAATGCAGCTACAATTCCGATCTGTTTTCGACGACTGTAAAGCAAGATAAGTGCAGTTTAGGTATATGATTTCGTTACATTTTGGTGATTTCAGGATATAATTATTCAAAATCATGGGTATCCAATGGAGCAGTACACTGTGAACTCAGGAAACAGGTTTTATCTTAATATTTTCCGAATTCCGTACAGTCCGATCCAGCCTAACCTGGCAAATCGTAAACCTATTTTCCTGCAGCACGGATCCCTCAGCAACTCGGATCTGTATGTCCTAACAGGAAAATCTTCCATGGGTAAGAATTGAACAGAGTTCTGCGAAGATTTGGTTTTGATGGTCACATTCAAGCTATGCGCCTATCTGACATGGGTTACGACGTTTGGCTGGGCAATAACAGAGGCAACTTTTATACTTCATCCATTAACGGCGAAGATAAGGCGGAAAGGAGTTATTGGAATTTCACGTAGCCAATATGATTTATTGCAAGTTTTTGGTTTCTATATCTTAATATTGTAGATTGGATGATATGGCTATATACGATCTTCCTCCAGTCTTCGAACTAATTGCTAATGTCACCAAGAAGCCAGGAGAATTAATTTACCTTGGTCACTCGGCAGCAACTACGGAGGGAATGATCTACAATATTCGAATGAAGGATCACTCTAAGAAGCATATCAAAGCCTTTATTTTCGTTGGTCCTGTGGCTTACATAAATAATACCCCATTCATGAAAATACTCGTAAGTTATTTATTTTCTAACTTACGAGTCTGTACCTAATTATTTCTTATTGCAGAGAATATTAGTGAAGCTTGGATTCAATACTTTCGGAGCGAGAAGTAGGGTTCCTACCGAAATTTGTTCAATCGATGGCCCCTCATGGAGAATTTGCGTAGACGTCTTTGATTTGTTCATCGGTCCCGACAATAATAATTTTCCACCAGTAATACAAAAATAAATGTGAAAAACTTTAGCTTGATATTATATTTCAGGAACAATTGCCTTTCTTGGTGAGCGGCGGAGATATCGAAAGTCTAAAAACGTTGAATCAGTTAGTACAAATCGTAGATAGCAAGCATTTTCAAGCCTACAGAAACAAAGGAGATTTGAGTACAACATTCTATAATCTTAGTGATGTCACAATTCCCACTTATATGATTGTTGGAAAGGACGACGCCTTGGCTACATATGACGTAAATTTTATATAACTTGAAAAGATATTCTAATTGTGATTTTTTTTGTTTTTGTTTTAGAATGCTGTAAGAATGTTAGAAGAGTTGGGAAGTAAACATAAGAAATTGTATGCTATCGAAAAATACAACCACATGAATTATTTCTACGCTAAAAATTTGGATGTCGCGTTTAATCCGCTTTTGGACGACGCTTTGGATAGAATTGGAAAACTATGATAATTTGAAATAATTTTTGTGCGTTTCTGTTTTAGTATTTCTTTTAGACAATAAATTGCTCAGTATAATTACCTATTATTTATTATATAACCAAACACATTGAAGTCATTCATGTGATATCTACAAAAAAAAAAAACAATACAAATTAAGTAAAAACAAATATTCAAGTTAATACAATTAGGTCGGCAAGAAAATACTTTGGATTGATCAATGATTTTTTGTAATCTCTCTGACAACTTCATAATTTTGCCCTCAAAAAACTGCTGGTTTCAGGTCATCATAATTACTGAATGTTTTACAATTCAAAGAGTTTTGGTAATCTGATGGTACAAGGTCAGGACGTGATGCGACATCACTTTCCAACCAAGTTCTAATAATTTCGCACGAGTTACCAAAGATTTGCCAACTCAGGTCATTTATTTGAATACTTCCTCCAGTTTCCTTAGTTGTTAATAGTAAACATATGAATTGATTGTTTGGTTGCAAATCTTTTGTAATAATACCAAATGATAGCAATTTAACTTTCGATATGTGATGTGATTTTTTTTAAATGTTACAATTTTCTTTTAATTTGTGTAAAAATTTCCTTTAAGTTTAGTAAAAACGTCATGGTACAAAATTGCATGTCTAATATCAAAAAATAAATGCAAAATTACTGAACTAAACATGCGAATTCTGTGATGCGAACAAAAAACAGTTTGAATCATTTTAATGAAGTGCAATTAAGTTTGCGTTTCTGTTCAATAAAAAAAAATGACATTCCTAAATTATCAGTCCTGGTTGTAACGCTATTGAAGACGGTTATCACACGAAAAACTGTAGTAAATTTCCCAGCACAACAGGAATTATCGCAAATATATTTAACATGGAAACAACAATTAACGTGAGAACGTTACATTTAGTTTACGTAACAAATATGTGTTATTATTGTTATCACTGTTTGTTTACGGAAAAATTGCATTTTCTTCAAGAAAAACCCGTAATCGCGGCCGATCGAAAGAGCTTTGATTTAATTGTTTCGTCAAGGTTCTTGCACATACACACTGCAATTGCGTAGTTGGGAAAACTGCCTAAGTTGTTACTGGGAATGTTTTTTGGTCCATGCGGTTATTGCCTAGTCGAGATATGCAAACGGCTATTAGTAGAGGAAATTGGATGATTAGCAGTGAATCTTCGAAGCGGATGCTCGCACTTAGCATTGTTATAAAACTTGGTGATTTGCAGATTTTCTACAAGTTAAGTGTCTGGCATTCGATGTTGCAAATCCGTGATAATGGGGTCTGTCGAAACGAATTTATTATAATCTATATGCATTTTAAAAATTATGTTACATAAATTAAGTTCGTAATGCGTTGATATTAGAAATTTGCTAAACCAAAGTTCATCGCATAATCAGAGATCTCCAATTATTACGATAAATTGATGTAGGCGGAAGCATATTTAAACAGATGCAATTCACAATAATGAATCAGTGAGTTCAGAGACTTCAATAATTAAAAATTATTGGAAATATTTATACTACAAATACTTGTGTATATTTTTTTTTAAACGAAATTATAAATAAATCTCTTCACGTATTTAATTAAAATTAATTACATTTACAACTTTATTGTATAAAAATAAACACGATAGATGTGAAATTTATTTTAATTCAACGCGTGCACTTACAAAAAAATAGACTTTAAACTATTGTTTTAAAACACACGCAATTTTTTCAGTATGTTACATATATAATTACATTGCCGTGATATTTTTTTGCTAGTGAACGTAAGGTTTTCTCGGTGTTGTAACTACTCTAAACAAAGTAAGTTTAAAGAAATTTGTTGAAAGTAGAAAATATAGTTAGATTTAAATAAAATAAGTAATTATTTTTTGGTGTAAATTTGCAAAATACAAGATTGTTAAAATCAGACACATTTTGTTATAATTTGAATATTTGTATTGAAAGTTAAATTCTTTTTATAGCTTAGCTGGAAAAATATTTAATTCATTTTATTTTATAAATGTTCATTATAGTTTTCTTAATTTCATCATTTCTTACAGAAGAATTATTTTAACTTATTTCTTATTAATTATAATGGAAGTGAAAAAAGGAATTACATAATTATTATTTATAAAAAATAACTACAAAATGAAAAAAATATGAAGAATAATGAGAAATACACAAAATATATATGATAAGTTTTTTCTTAAATATAATAACTAATTCATTTTACACGCAGAAAATTGTAAACGAAGGAGATATGGATAAAGGTGGTAAAGTTGATGAATCTTCTGGTTGTGATGACAAAGGAGTTGACAAAAAGTCTACTTGGAGGTATGCGTTTCATGGAAATGTTAAATAATTTCTCATCATCAAACATTAAGATTTCACAATAATCCAAGAAAAAAACGCAATCAGTTAAACCTGATAATGATTGAAAATGAAAAATATCAAAAGGTTATCCAATGATTACGTTTACTCATAACTATTTCCTATTTGATATAATTTCGTTTCAAGTCTTTTCTCTTTCAGGAGAATTACAATAGCAAAAATTGGAATCGTCGTTTTGTTTATTGCAATTTGCGCTGGTTTCTCGTATAAAAATAACGTGTGCAAAACTTGGTCCGATTATACTATCAAACATGTCAGCGATTCGTGCAAGTATAATCCAGATGTCAATGCAAACATGGTAAAATCTAGTAACTAAATATAAGTAGTAATAAATTATATTTTTTTAAATATTTAGATTAGTATTGTGCAAAGATACAACTACAAGATCCAAACTCATTACGTTCTTACCGAAGACGACTACATCTTGACCGTCTTCAGAATAGCCAATAGCTCGAGTTCATTCAATTCTAATAGGCAACCGATCTTTCTGCAGCACGGCACTATCTGCTCTTCTGAAATCTGGTTGCAACGTGGCGAAGATTCTATAGGTTTATATAATTTAGCTGAAAATACACAATTTTATACATTATATTGTAGGTTTTCATCTGGCGAATGCTGGTTTCGATGTGTGGCTTGGTAATACTAGAGGCAACTACAATTCTCCTGGTCAAAGTTCTACACTACTCAAGATCGAAGTTTTGGGACCACTCGTAAAAAACTTTGTATTGCTTTAGTAGTATTCTTATTTCATCGTGAGATTTAAGGTTCGATGAATTGGTTCTGGACATTCCAGCAGTAGTTTCGTATATTGGTAATAAGACAGGAAGGACTGGAGATCTCTTGTATGTGGGTCACTCAATCGGAAGTACTCAGGTGTTGGCTTATGCTTCTGAAAGACCTGATCAAGCCAAAAAGAACTTGAAGGCTATGATCCTTTTTGCCCCGGCTGTATATCTAGATAAGCAAGGTTTTCTCGTCAACTTGGTGGTAAGCAATATACAATAATCATTGGATAACAACAACTTCAATTCTAGATTTCAGCGTTTTCTACTCAATATACCATTACCATTCGATAGCCTGGATCTGCGAACTCCTTTAATTGCGAAGATCTGCTCTTTCAATTTAATAATCATAAACCTGTGTAGATATGTTTTTAATTTGAACTTTGGAGATGAGAACAATTTATACGATCCAGTATTTTAAAAACTTTTTTTTGAAAATTACTATTTGTTTAATGTCATTTTTAGCGTTGTTTCCGATTATGCTAGCTCATTACCAGATAGAGAATCGCTGAAGCCCTTTGTGCAGTACATCCAGTTTGCAGATACGGCGGAATTCAAGAAATTTGATTACGGAAGTGAAGGTAATTTGAAAAAGTACGGAACCGAGAAACCGCCCAAATACGATTTGGGTAAAATTTCCGTTCCAGTATACACGTTCATAGGAACCTCAGATGATTTAACACCATTTAGTGTAAGTTTTCTACTAAATCTGTAACTTTATCATTACAATCTGTTATTTTTTTCAGAATGCGGAGACATTCCACAAGAATTAACTGTATATAATGAAATTTATGCTTTACAGAATTATTCTCACATGGCTTACTTTTTGGATGCAAATGCTAAGGAAGTTTTATACAAACCGTTCTTTAATCTTCTCGAAAAACTTGGGACGAAAAAGTAATTTTTCACCTAAAATAACAAATAAAATTGTTACTATGTAATTTATAATCAATTCTATTTAAAAAATTATTTAAAATATTTATATAAAATAAAATTTCAAACACATTTGCTAATATTATCTAATTCATTATTTTTTTCCTTTGAAAAATATCTTTTAATTAGTGCACAAATACTGAAATTTTTTGTATCAGAAAATATTAATAATTATCTAATAAATATAATAAATTGAAAACTGTCCTATTACAAATCTCAAGTTCACTATTTTCTTTACGCAATTAATCGTTCGTTGCAATTAAAGACTCTTGAAGTAATTAATGATAATAATTTATTTATGAAATGCATAATTAGGATATTTTGTATTTTGGCTTATCAAGTAATTAATATATAATAATTATACTTAACAATTTCGAAACACCAATTTTTAATATTATCATATAATTATTAACAAACACGCAATATTTCAATTATGTGTGTGTTTTGATAACAGAAAATTATTTAAAATAATTAATTATTATGCAATATTATACTCAGTGGCGGAACAATTATACAATACCACCGCATCCCTGATCTATAAGAAGCTCAAAATAGTTTAGGGTCCTAAAATACTAAAACTAACTGGTGTTTAGGGCTCACGACTTTCCCTGTCATCAAGTTAATTGTTATTAGAACTCCATGATTTTCTCTATTTCATAATCAAATATAAATTTGCTTGGTGTCATCAAATTTGTCCAAATACTCCAAATTTTCTTAGGACTTGTGAAATCACACCTCCGCGAAGGAGCACTGATCTTAAGCGAAGCTTCTTATCAAAACTGTGCCTTTCTCCTCATACTCTTAGTAATTACGTTGAATGAACAACTACTTAGTCGTATCGTTAAGGAAAGTGCAGCCAATAACCATAGTTAAGACAATAAAGCAAACCAATTTTGCATGTTAATGTTTTTTGATTGCCCACAACGGCTATATTCGTGGTATAAGTTCGACTATAAAAGGAATTAAAAATTAGTGATAGTAGAAGTTTGTAACTAAGACCTTATTTAAATATTATCAATTAAATAAAATAGTTATTTTTTAAGGTTTGCAAGATGTTGTTCAAATACTTGATGGCACTTGGTTTGATGGCGTTCAGCGATGGATTTAAGAATAGGAACTTTTGCAAGAAATGGTCAGATTATACTGTTTTCTCGTACTTCGATAAAAAAATCCAGCTGCTGGTATAATGAAGATGTTCGAGCAACAACGGTATTGGAATTGTTCTTTCTTTGTTGTGTCGTGTCCCAGAGATGGAATTCTGGACAAAGTGGAATATCTTCTTCTGGTGTTGACATTGTAGAATTAAATAATTCAATTGGTTTAAAACAAGTTTATTATAATAATTGGTACTCTTGGGGTTCTTTCCACAATGTAGATAATTTTAGAGATTGACTAAGACTAATTCTAAATACTTATTTACCAACAAAGTTAATTATTATTAATACGGACGGGGTGGGAGTTTGAGGAGTAAGTCACGGTTTTGAGAAGACGCTTCCCTTCAGGTTACTATTCTCCGTTGGATCTCTCTATTCTGTAGTTTGGTTATCAGTTAAAAATACGAAGAAACGCTGCAAACGGTCAATGTCTTCCGTGGGATTTGCCTACTCTGCATTTATTCTGATAATGACCTATAATTTAGTGGTTGGACACAACAGTTGTTCAGTATCTGTAAAATAATATTGTCAAGAAACAAAAATTGTTATTTGCTGTCTGTTGAATGATGATACTGTTCTCGAAAGGTTACATAATATTGTTGCTAAAATTGTTGTTGAATGGTTCAATTTCGTTGTCAAGAGACACGTTGTTATTTGCTGTAGTTGTATGGTTATATACTATTGTTGGCAAAGACGTGTGTTGTTTTTTGTTGTTGAGATCTTACACAATATGTTTCCAAGTGAGATCATTTGTTATTATTTTTAATGATTGAAGAATAACGTTACCAATAGCATAAATTATTTTTGTTGTTAGTGATTGTTTGAAAACATATACCTTGTTATTGTTGAATGATTGCATAAAATAAATTGTTATTGTCGTTGAATGGTTATAGGATACTATTGCCAAAAAACATAACTACCAAGTTCAGACTCATAATGTTACAACGGAGGATGGATTTATCTTGAAGTTATTCATGATTCGCGTTGGCGACAACCAGCTTTGACGTACCCAGGCAACCAATACTTTTGGTGCATGGTACCTTGAGCAATTCCGAATTGTGGATTCAAAGAGATGATTCAGTTGGTATGAAATAAAGGCTTTAGTAAATAAAAAAATAATTTAAAAATAAAAATCGTGTAGGTTTACGTAAAGGTATTAATTATATAGTTATGGATTGTTAACGCACCGTGGATCTTACTATCCTTGGAGATGGCTTCGGGGAGTTCTGCTGTTTTCTTATTTGTGGGTTTGATTTTAGCGTTTGGGATACCAGGAATAGGTTGTGTGGGTCCCCTTGGACACTTCATGGACCAAGCTGCATGGTCCTCCTGATTGCATGCCGCACACCTCTGCGGCAATGGCGAAGAGAAAATATGTGTCGGATGCGGTCCCTGGCACTTATTGCATTTAGTTATATTGGGGCATTTCCCCACTACCGGAGGTGGAGGGATGCTCTCCTCAGCTGGGTCGTACAACCAGTGATGATCCTCACTTTGTATGTTAAGTTGTTTGTTGCTCTACATGTTATTCGTTTACAGTAACTGTGATTGATTTTGTTATTGTTTAATTGCGAGCTTATTTCATCGTCGGTTATTTCGAGATCAACTCTGATGAGAACACAGGATAGTGATGTTTGGTTTATGTGTTTTAACGGTAACTTAGAAGAAACACTCTCTGAATGGCTGGTTATAATGCCTCTGCCATTCATATCCCTGAGGTAGGCTATTACTGTTGTTTTGCACGTGTTTGATTTAATCAGAAACTCTGATTTGGTGAGTATTACAACATCTGAACGGTTGCATGGGTTTTTGGACCAAGCGTCCGAAAACTGGGTCCTGGTCATATTTGTTACGGTTTTTACCACGAAGATATTTCTAGTGGTTTGTGCAGATGTAGTTTTTGTAATTTTCGTTGGAGTTTTAAAAGTATCATCGTCGTTGGATTCGTGATGGTTTTTTTATTTTCGGTGTTTTTGTTTTTTGGCCGCAGCCCCACACAGGCTGTCGAAGAGCCGGTACACGAGGATAAGTAAAAAACACAGAGAAACTATTTACTGATAAAATACGGAAATTCAGAGACGTCCGTTCTTTACCACGACTCGTGCAGAACTGTGTTTTCTTAATTTCCCAATTTCTTGTAGAAGAATGTTTATTTTTTAACTTATTTTAAATTAATAATAAGGGAAGTGAAAAAAAAATTGGGATTTTTTTTTTAAAATTCGATAAATTAACAGGAATTATTATTTATAGAAAATAACTATCAAATGAAAAATTATGAAAAATAATGAGAAATACAAATAATATATATGATAACTTTTTTCTTAAATATAATAACTAATTCATTTTACACGCAGAAAATTGTAAACGAAGGAGAATTGTTATCCATGGTTGTAAAGTTGATGAATCTTCTTGTTGTGATGACAAAAAAGCTGATAAAAAGTCTACTTGGAGGTATGCGTTTCATGGAAATGTTAAATAATTTCTCATCATCAAACATTAAGATTTCATAATAATCCAAGAAAAAAAAATAACGCTATCAGATAAACCTGAGAATGATTGAAAATGAAAAATATCAATCAATGATTACGTTTACCTAATTTACTCATAACTATTTCCTATTTGATAGTATTTCGTTTCCATTGAGTGATTGATTATGTATTAAATTTTAATCTCATTTTCTTGTCTTTTCTCTTTCAGGAGAATTACAATAGCAAAAATTGGAATCGTCGTTTTGTTTATTGCAATTTGCGCTGGTTTCTCGTATAAAAATAACGTGTGCAAAACTTGGTCCGATTATACTATCAAACATGTCAGCGATTCGTGCAAGTATAATCCAGATGTCAATGCAAACATGGTAAAATCTAGTAACTAAATATAAGTAGTAATAAATTATATTTTTTTAAATATTTAGATTAGTATTGTGCAAAGATACAACTACAAGATCCAAACTCATTACGTTCTTACCGAAGACGACTACATCTTGACCGTCTTCAGAATAGCCAATAGCTCGAGTTCATTCAATTCTAATAGGCAACCGATCTTTCTGCAGCACGGCACTATCTGCTCTTCTGAAATCTGGTTGCAACGTGGCGAAGATTCTATAGGTTTATATAATTTAGCTGAAAATACATAATTTTAATCATTATATTGTAGGTTTTCATCTGGCGAATGCTGGTTTCGATGTATGGCTTGGTAATACTAGAGGCAACTACAATTCTCCCGGTCACAAGTTCTACACTACTCAAGATTCGAAGTTTTGGGACCACTCGTAAAAAACTTTGTATTGCTTTAGTAGTATTCTTATTTCATCGTGAGATTTAAGGTTCGATGAATTGGTTCTGGACATTCCAGCAGTAGTTTCGTATATTGGTAATAAGACAGGAAGGACTGGAGATCTCTTGTATGTGGGTCACTCAATCGGAAGTACTCAGGTGTTGGCTTATGCTTCTGAAAGACCCGATCAAGCCAAAAAGAACTTGAAGGCTATGATCCTTTTCGCCCCGGCTGTATATCTGGATAAGCAAGGTTTTCTCGTCAACTTGGTGGTAAGCAACATACAATAATCATTGGATAAGAACAACTTCAATTCTAGATTTCAGCGTTTTCTACTCAACATACCATTACCATTCGATAGCGTGGATGTACGATCTCCTTTAATTGCGATGATCTGTTCTTTCACTGTAATAAACATAAACCTGTGTAGATATATTTTCGATTTGAACTTTGGAAATGAGAACAATTTATACGATCCAGTATTTTAAAAACTTTTTTTTTAATTACTATTTGTTTAATATCATTTTTTAGGCGTTGTTTCCGATTATGCTAGCATCATTACCAGATAGAGAATCGCTGAAGCCTTTTGTACAGTACATCCAGTTTGCAGATACGGCGGAATTCAAGAAATTTGATTACGGAAGTAAAGGTAATTTGAAAAAGTACGGAACCGAGAAACCGCCCAAATACGATTTGGGTAAAATTTCCGTTCCAGTATACACGTTCATAGGAACCTCAGATGATTTAACACCATTTAGTGTAAGTTTTCTACTAAATCTGTAACTTTATCATTACAATCTGTTATTTTTTCAGAATGCGGAGACATTCCACAAGGAATTAACTGTATATAATGAAATTTATGCTTTACAGAATTATTCTCACATGGCTTACTTTTTGGATGCAAATGCTAAGGAAGTTTTATACAAACCGTTCTTTAATCTTCTCGAAAAACTTGGGACGAAAAAGTAATTTTTCACCTAAAATAACAAATAAAATTGTTACTATGTAATTTATAATCAATTCTATTTATATAAAATAAAATTTCAGGCACATTTGCTAATATTGTCTAATTTATTATTTTTTTCCTTAGAAAAATATCTCTTAATTAATGCACAAATACTGAAATTTTTTGTATCAGAAAATATTAGTAACTAATAAATATAACCCCGTTACCAGAAAAGACTGGAAAACCACCCCAACAGTCTCGCGTTATCCCTCCTAGAGAGTAGTGACACCCCCCACAGACTACAGATACACTTTCGACCTCCCCTTTAGAAACTAAAAGTTAGTTTGTTTTAATGTTTTTTTTTCTTTTTTTGTCAATGTCAAAAAACTGTTCAACTCGTTGCCAAAATTGTTGCAGATTTGGAATGATTAAAAGTAAAGAAAAAATAAATAATTAAAAATATAATAAATTGATAATTGTCCAATTACTAACGTCAAGTTTACTATTTTCTTTAAGCAATTAATAATAATTTATTTATGAAATGCCTTATCAAGTAATTAATATATAATAATTATACTTAACAATTTTGAAACACCAGTTTTTGATATTATCATATACTTATTAAAAAACACGCGTTGTTTCCATTATGTGTGTGTTTTGATAACAGAAAATTATTTAAAATAATTAATTATTATACAATACCACCGCATCCCGGATCTATAAGAAGCTCAAAATAGTTTACGGTCCTAAAATACTAAAACTAACTGGTGTTTAGGGCTCACGACTTTCTTAATATAACTCTCTGAGATCCGACAGTCCCCCACTATTGTCCTCTCAACAATTTAACTGTTGTTTAGAATTCGATGATTTTCTCTATTTCATATTGAAATAAAAAAATTTCTTGGTGTCATCAAATATGTCTAAATACTCAAAGTTTTCTAAGGATTCGTGAAATCACGCGAAGGAGCAGTGACCTTAAGCGGAGCTTCTTATCAAAACCGTGCCTTACTCTTCATACTCTTAGTAATTACGTTGAATGAACAACTACTTAGTCGTGTAGTTAAGGTAAATGCAGCCAATAATCATAGTTGAGACAATAAAGCAAACCAATTAATATAAAAGAAAGACTCACCATTTTCTATTATTAATTATTATATCTTGTTTTGTGACAATTTGTAAATTAATAATTATAAACATGAAACAAAAAGTCAACTGCTACAAAGGGCTATTGACCAGGTCTTTCTGCCCTAAAGCAAACCATTAAACGAATATTCAAGAATAAACCACAAGTAAAAACTTGTTGGATTGATTATTTATAAACTTCACAACAGAAAATCGAAGAAAATATTCCACAGTGACTTGTTTTTCCATACAATACATAAAAAGTCCCGAGCGATTTAAGGGCTCAAATAATATTTTGAAGGGGACGCAAAGATTTGTAGTTCCGTCACTAATTATAATTATTTAGAATAAATAAAATAAAAGTTTAATATATTTCTATGACCTTGTTTTAATGTAAATAATTGAATTAAATAATTTATTCTAAAAAACAAGTCATCGCAATTAATTCACTGCAATTGATTAAATATAATGATTTTAAAATTTGTTAGATTCAAAAAGTTTTATTCAAAAAAATTATTGAATTCTAATTATTTTTTGATTAGGAGACTTTTTATATTTCTAACAATCGTTTCCCAAATTGCGAGCAATAATTCACTCGTGTTACAGTTTCTTTACATTGTTTCAAAGTTCAAATTAGTAACGTTAATTATATGTCTATTTTGCATGTTAACGTTTTTTGATTGCCCACAACGGCTATATTCGTGGTATAAGTATGACGATAAAAGGAATTGAAAATTAGTGATAGTAGAAGTTTGTAAGTAAGACCTTCTTTAAATATTATCAAATAAATATAATAGTTTTTAAGGTTTGCAAGATGTTGTTCAAATACTTGATGGCACTTGGTTTGATGGCGTTCAGTGATGGATTTAAGAATAGGAACGTTTGCAAGAAATGGTCAGATTATACTGTTTTATCGTACTTCGATAAAAAATCCAGCTGCTGGTATAATGAAGATGTTCGAGCAACAACGGTATTGGAATTGTTCTATCTTTGTTGTTGAGTATCTGTAATGTTGTCAAGAAACAAAAATTGTTATTTGCTGTTTGTTTAATGATGATAATGTTGTCGAAAGGTTACATAACATAGTTGCTAAAATTGTTGTTCAATTTCGTTGTCAAGGGACATACATTGTTATTTGCTGTAGTTGTATGGTTATGGTATTGTTGCCAAAGACGTGTATTGTTTGTTGTTGTTGAGATGTTACAGAATATGTTTCCAAGTGAGATAATTTGTTATTGATTTTAATGATTGACGTTATCAATAACATAATTTATTGTTGTTGTCAGTGAATGATTCAAGACATATAGTTTGTTGTTGTTGAATGGTTGCATAAAATAAATTATTATTGTTGTTGAATGGTTATAGGATGCTATTGCCAAGAGACATAACTACCAAGTTCAGACTCATAATGTTACAACGGAGGATGGATTTATCTTGAAGGTATTCAGGATTGCCAACGCGACAAGCAGCTTTGACGAACCCAGGCAACCAATACTTTTGGTGCATGGTACCTTGAGCAATTCCGAATTGTGGATTCAAAGAGGAGATGATTCAATTGGTATGAAATATAGGCTTTTAGTAAATGAAATATTAATTTAAAAATGAAAATTGTTTAGGTTTCTTGCTAGCAGATATGGGATACGATGTGTGGTTGTCGAACAGCAGAGGCACGTACTATTCTTCAACGCGCGTGAAAGGATTATACTCGGATTACTGGGATCACACGTACTTCAAACTATAGTTTCTGTTGGATCGTTGTTATCGATAAAATATAATTTCAGCTTCGACGATTTGGCTAAAGATAATCCTGCGGTTCTCGAATACATCGACAAGGAGACACGACAAGCTGGTAACATTCTGTATTTAGGACATTCCGCAGGAAACACGCAGATGATGGCATACGCAAGCGACAGGCCGGATCACGCCAAAAAATACCTGAAAGCCATCCTGAATTTTGCTCCTGTAGTTTACCTTGACAAAGAAGAATTTTTGATTAAAGCTGTTGTAAGTTAGAAATCCAACTCAAACAAAGTAAATCTCTTTAAGTACTTATTTTGCAGAAAGTATTAGTCAAACTGCCTATACGTAAGATCAGCGTTAGACAATATATATTGAAGAACTTATGCTCTATGACTTATGTAAATATTAAACTGTGCAGGGCTGTGATCGCGAAAACTTTCGGTCCTGAAAATGGAATCCACGATCCTGTAATTTCGCACTTTAAATTAAATGGGAATTTATGAATAATTGAGTAATTTTTAGGAAATCTTCCCTACTTTTATGGGAATGTTTCCGGATCAAGAAGGTATCAACATCTTCAAGCAGTACATGCAGCTGGCGGATAGCGCAGAGTTCAAGAAATACGATTACGGCCCTCGTAAGAATTTGATAATGTATGATTCCATAAAGCCTCCGATGTATGATATGTCGAAGATCAATATACCTATGTACATGTTCGTTGGAGAGGACGACGGTATTGGGACGATGGAAGTATGGTTTTTTTTTCTGAATGTTTCAGAATTTCTTTAAATCTTGTATTTTCAGAGTGCCAAAAAGGTGCAGAAAGTAATGAAGGTGTACACTGAAATCTTCAAAGTCGATAAATACAGTCATCTCACATTCTTCCTTGGTAACAATATCCAGGAGGTTCTTTACCCTCCATTCAAGAAAGTCTTGGAAAAATTGAGATAGTTTAATTAATGACGAAATGCTGACTCAAATTAATATAGATAATAAAGTACTTATGCAATGTTTCAGAATTTCCTTAAATCTTGCATTTTCAGAGTGCCAAAAAGGTGCAGAAAGTAATGAAGGTGTACACTGAAATCTACAAACTCGATAAATACAGTCATCTCACTTCTTCCTTGGTAACAATATCCAGGAGGTTCTTTACCCACCGTTCAAGGAAGTCTTGGAAAAATTGAGATAGTTTAATTAATGACGAAATGCTGACTAAATGAATATAGACAATAAAGTACTTATGCAATAAGTCGGCGTATTATTTTATCAAACGAATTCCTGAATACATTTCTGTAGTCGAAACTATGTTGTTATTTCACCAACAACAATGTATTGTACAAATAAATAACGAATTGTTCTTTTTGTTATTTATTTGTATTGCTGCATTTTTAAACGCTTTATCTAATACTCATATGTTATGTCACTTATTTGGAGCGTTTTCTTACGTCTAACAAATATTTTTCAATTACTAAGAACATATAATTTGCAACATTAATTATTATTTTTTTATTTTATAAAATATGATATTTCTTAATTTTCTTTTTATCTTGAAACCATTTCATAATAATTTTACAGAAAGCACGGAGGAACAGCGTTCTACGAAGTACATGCATTCTATAGCAAAGAAGGAGGACAAAGTGCTGTGTCCAACCACTAAACTCGTTCAATTTATTATTTACCAAACCTAAGGCTCCACAATAGACAATAGAAGGGATATTTCTTCTATTGTCCAAAAATCCATTCATGGGACACGATTGAAGAGTGCTGGTATTGCGTAGAAGAGGACAACCTAGAACCCAAATCTGCAGAAGAGCGAAGGCATGAGGTACATCTTGGAGAAATACTAGAATCAGAGACGTTTGTTGTTGAAATGCTGAAGAGCCAAGAGAGGTGAGACATCATAGCAAATTACTGATCAGAAGTACTCTCCATTAAGGAAGATGACTAGCGGAAGATGGAGAGAGAGAGAGAGAAAAGGAAGAAATTGGTAGTGGACACCAAGTGGTTGCTAGTAAAGACAATCTGCATTGCAAAGTTATACCAACGTATCGTACTTGGATGCGGTTGAAGAAAGGGAGAGATTTTAGTGAGTAGGAAATTTACAAAAAAATATTTTTATAGTATTTTTTTTATATAACTTTTCCAAACTAATCTACTCTTTTATATCAAATATTAAAATACTTATAACAATTGTAAATATATAATTTTTTGTGTTTTGTTCAGACTAATCAATTCTCAAATAAGGAATAATAACAATTATTGCAACAATTTACCAAAATATAAACTTAACACAATAACATAGTAATAAAAAATATGAATAAATTAAACTGGAAGTTTCATAATATACATAAAAAAAACTGGACTCAAAGTTTTGTATTTTAGTTGATTATGAATAACATATATTTTATAAAAACTGAATATTTGTTATTTTTATTATTTAACACATAATTGATTCATTATATGGTTTATAAGTTTATGAAATTAATTGAACTAAACAAGTTTATTGTATTTTAATCAATCATGTTTCATTATTATAATGAATTATTTCAAAAACACAATATGAAAATAAGTTGTTTAATTGGTTTTTTTCTTATCTTAAGTTGTTGTTATTCTCAGCACATGTAATTATTTTTTACTTTGTTGTTATTGCTGTGCATTATCAAAGTAATTAAAACAATTACTTTTTATATCAGTTATAATTGATATTTGTTGTACATGAAACAGATACAATTTAGTTTATGTGGAACATGTCGTTATTTATACTCCTCTTTGACACGTCGACAAAGACAAGAATTTTAGTCATTTCTGGTATCAAAACAAAGAAATTTGCGCAAATTACGTAACAATTTATGATATCGACTAGACAAAAAGTACAATTACAATAAGGTTTTTGAAGAAATTAAAACATTTCTTTATTTATTTCTTTCTAACTACTAATTAATAGATAAATTCTTGTAATTAGTGCACAGACAAAACAATGTAACCTAATTAAATACGATTTAAAATATAAAAATAGGTGATTTCTTATAAAAAAAGATTAGTTAAATAATTTAAATTATTTATGTACGTGTTAGTGTGATTGCATATATTGTTGTGTTTAGAATAAGCGGGTATAAATCTGGGTTTTACGATTATATTACGAAACATTCGCATATATAAATAAACTGGACACGAAGTTTTATAGTAATCATTTGCAATTTCATCGGAAACACAAATAGTTGTATTTATTGTTGTTTTCAAGTAAGTTTTAACCTCATATTTGTATTAGTGCGGGTTGAAACCGGACTAATCGCGTACTTCAAAACCGTATAAAAATAAACAGCACAAAAAGAAATTTTGTGCTTTAAGTTTTCTCAATTAAAGTTTACTTTTTTTTTTGAAATTTTCAAACCGGGCTATAGTGAATACGCACTATGCGAGGTATCACTATGCTTAATAAGATTAATTGAGTTTTTGAGGAAAATAATAAAATTTTGGTCGAAATTAAGATTTTATAGTTTTTATGATACTTGGCACCTGGAATAACATTTAATGATGAATATTGCATATTATTAAAGTAATTAAAGCAATTAATTTTGTTAATTTACGTTTTTCCATTTATTACACATGCGATAGTCTCAAATAGAAAAATGTCGATGTTTGTGTTCCTCTTTGGTTTGTGGACGTTGAGCGTCGAAGGACTGAGAAATAATGTGTGCAATAGATGGTCAGATTACAGTAACAAGGATTTCAGTCCTTTCTGCTTTTACAATCCGGACGTTGGCGCAAATTCCGTAATTGGTTCAAATAATTGCGCAAACAGATGCTAACTTGATTTTATTTTAGATTCAATTAGCCGAAAGGTATAATTACCAGATTCAAACGCACAAAGTCATCACGGAAGATGGGTACATTTTGACAGTGTACAGAATTGCGAATAGCACGACTTCGTTTGGAATCGGCTTGCAACCAGTGTTTTTGCTTCATGGAACCATAAGCAGTTCTGAAATTTGGATGCAAAATGGATTGGAATCAATTCGTAAGAAATTATGTAATTGTTGAAATTGATGTTAATTTATTGTAATTGAAGCTTTCGTTCTCGCTAATATCGGTTTTGATGTTTGGTTGGGAAACACTAGAGGAAATTATAATTCCCCAAGCCACGCTGATGCCAACATCACCCCTATGGAGTATTGGAATAACACGTAAAGTTTATTAGTTTTTAATCAACATTAATAATTGATTGATTTATTAGTTTCGATGATTTGGTCAAAGATGTTCCGGCTGTGCTGGATTACATAGCTGAAAATACAAATAAAGCAGGAGAAATAGTTTACATAGGTCATTCTGCTGGAGCTTTGGAAGCTGTGGCTTATGCAAGTGATAGACCAGAGCACGCGAAGAAGAATCTGAAAGCCATCATTGGAATAGCTCCGGCCGTTTATTTACCTAAAGAGCAATTCATGGTCAATCTAGTTGTAAGTTTAAATATAAACACGGCAATAATTGAAAAAAAAAACTTCAATTAACTTTCAGAGGTTGATACTACGTTTTAATCTAGTTAAATTCGATATAAAAAGTAATGTGTTCCACGAAATCTGCACAACTAACGTTGTAACCATTTCCCTATGCAGAACTTTCGTGTATTTGCTCTTTGGTAACAGCAGAATAGATGATCCGGTAAATAACATTAATGAACTTCGATTGCTAATACATCAATACCTTTCAGGCTCAGTTTATCGTCACCGTTAGAACCTTTCCAGATAGAGTAGCTTTGAAGCCATTTGTACAGTACATCCAATTTGCGGATTCTGGAGAATTCAAGAAGTTTGATTATGGGAAAACAGCAAATCTGATGATGTACGGTCAAGAAACACCACCTAAATACGATTTGGGTAGAATAACCGTTCCATTTCACTCGTTCATTGGTGCTTCCGATACTTTGGTTACAGAACAAGTAAAAAAAATATTTTTTTTTTAATTATTAAAATTTTAACTTTTTTTTAAATTTTAGAATTGCTTGAAGCTTCATAATGAATTGAACGTGGAAAATTCCCTTCGCGTTATCCAGGATTACGACCACATCTCTTTCTTTACAGCGAATAACACTCACGACATGTTCTTGGTTCCTTTACTGAAGCTCATGGAGAGACTCAGGACATAAGCAAATAAAGTTATGTAATGATGTAAGTTAATTGATGTGTGCGTAATAAATTATTGAAATAAACTGATCGAACTTTAATTTATTATGATAGATTCACTCGTTAAAGCAAACTACGTGAATTCATGTAATTCCGGTTTTTGAAAATGACATAATTATTTCTATGGTAATTTTTTTTCTATAATAACGTAGTTCAAGGTTAAATCTGTTTGCGAAGTTATTGAAATTAGCGTTGTTATAGTTATAAATATTAACATAATTAATGGTACACCTCTTATTATATATAGTCATCAGTACTTTAACTTTGACTTTAAACGCCAGATACAATTAAATAAATCTAATCCTGTTCTACATTAAAATGTTAAATGCACTAAATAACTGTTTTGTTAAGTATAAGTATGCATTTAGTGTTGAATGTTGAATTTTCTTTATATTGAATTTATACAAAATGTGAAAAAAATATATCAAAATAAAAACTCGCAATACAAAACTTAAGAAATTCTAGAATATTTTCTTTGATTTTCAAATTATATAAATTTCTTCAAATTTGCAGAAAATGAAGCAGTTGAATGTGGTTAAATTTGCATGCGAAAATTAGATAACATCGAGGCGTCGAAGTGCACGGAAAGTGGAAGCAATTAATCGTGTTTACATCTTCCGGTTAAATCGGGCAATTTACTGCACACGTTACGCAATACGGTCTCTTCCGCTCTTCCGAGAATTACGCTCGACTTGCACACCCGCAATTGCAGCCGATTATCGACGTTTAATTGTCCAGACTGCTCACATTACAAACGTATGATTCCGCTTAGTTCCTTACCTATTCGCGCAATTTTTAATTGCATGGAAAGTGTAACCGATTGCTCACCGGTTTCATTCTTTACGATTAAAACATTGCATAATCACTCTACCATCAATTAAATGACTTGAAACTAAGAATCCATAAGAATTGTTACCAGATTACATATTGTTAATGAAATTATAATGTACGTAATGTAATATTATTATCACTTTTGAGCACTTGGCTGTACAAAGTGTGCACTTTAGTAATTGATTTTTTTTAATTAATCACACAATACAATTAATATTTGAAGATTTTTTTTTTAAATTATGTCTATTTAAAATAAATATTAATTCAACCTACATTAATATATAAATGGTTTTCAAAATATTTGAAATTACTTGCAAATAAAATGATTTTAAAATAGTCAAAAGTTGATAAATTTATATAATTAGTAAGTAATTTATTTATTGCCACTTGTAAAATATATACAATTCAATAAATTGATTGAAATATACGGTTTCTCTTCATTTCCTTCTACCAGCTTTAAAGACTGTTTCTTTCCATCTTCAATTAGGGTCATTTTTACCATGCGTCATTGATTTCTTTAAATTACACGTTGATTTATTGAACTGCTGAACAGTGAAATAATCGTTAAATGTTCAATAAACGTGTTATAATTATTATTTAGAAATTTTCTAAATAAAATTCAATACAACGAAAACCTAATTATCCGTGATAATTCGGGAACATTAAAGTGCTTTAAAAACGTAATATCTATGTGTTAATATGTGATAAATATATGGATAATATCTTCAAGAATTGGAAATATTCAATCTAAAGATTTTTTTTTTAGAAGATTTTTAATAGTAGATTTAAGGAGACTTCAATTCGAATTTACATATTAATAAATATGAAAATTGAATATTTCAATGAAAGACTATGAAATCTAATATGATTTCAATTTTTCTTATAAATTGAAAGAATTTGATGTAAAATGAAATGAAAGCGAATTGATAATAAACGCGGAGATGAGAAGAATCGTGTGTAATGGATATTATGAGTGAAACGATTTCAGTGTAGTGGGAGCGTTTCTTATTTAGAGCAAGGAGATTTTGTTATTCCATTGGAAATTCATTACGTAACGACGTCTTTCATTCTGCGCGGCAATAACTATAATAACGCTAATCGACAGGCAAGTTTTGATGCATTTCCTATTCAAAGAAGTAATTGAAAATAAAAATCGATTTGAAGAGAATATTTTAAAATGAATTATTTTAATAAAGCTGCATCCAAACTATATATGATGTCAAACATTTGTTGACGTAACAGGTGTGAAGTCATGTTATAAAACCTATCTGCTGCTTCGCTCTGCAATGCAGATTGTTTTTGCTAACAAACATTTTATTTTGAGGTGTGTTGGTCTCCACTACTACTTTATTCCTTTTCTCTCTGCAACCACTATTAATTATCCCACCTCTTGACTCTTCAGCATTTACCCAACGAACGTCTCTGATTCTAGAACTTCTCCAATGCTGGAAAAGTGGCAGGATAAATGGGATAGCTCAGAGAAGGGATCTTGGACTAGACGCTTAATCCCAGAAATAGTGAAGAAGGAGGACGAAAAGTACTGGTATTGCGAAGAAGATGATAAACCAGAACACATGTTCTTTATATGCAATGGGTGATGATGAAGCACGAGGCGGAATAAAATCTCGGAGAAGTGTTGGAACTGGATACGTTGCTGAAGAGCCAAGAGAAGTGGGACATCATCACAAGGTACGTAGCACGGGTGCTCTCTATTAAAAAAAATGACGAGCGGAAAGTGATAGTGGATACACGTAGAAGCGAAGAGCTTGCTCAGACAATCTGCATTGCAGAGACATGTGGAGATAAGTTTTAGTGAGGTAAGAATCCTACAGTACCACGACTCTACCCGTGGTCCCTATGTAAGGTTTGCTCTCCTCTACAAAAAAAGTACTTCTCCAAGATTGCTCGTGTTTCGTCTTTGCCCTTCTGCAGCATTTAAAGAACGTAAGTTCTGGTTCTGGGTTGCCATCTTCTTCGCAGTACCAGCAGTTTTCATTTTCCTTCTTCTCAATGAAGTTGTTATTGATTGTGATGGAAAGCAATGACATTGAACTAAAGTAGCTGAACTTTATGTTGTAATGTACTATAGTGTAGATGCAATTATTGCAGCAGTTATTACTATTATTACTTCTCAACTACTTTAATAATTAGAGTTATAAGTGTCGAAAGGTCCAATCGAGTAAAAATTGAATAACAGTTTGTCAATTTGTAACAGTTATTTTTAGAAATATCAATAAGAAATAATGTAATATAATCAGCAAAACTGTTGTTGCTACAAGCTGTTCAATATATAGGAATATTTCCGCTCTTAATATTGTAATTACAGTATTATTTTAATTGGTAATACCAATTACTCCGAACGACTCATTATTATAGCCATAGTAAAAGTTTGCAAAACGTTTTATAGATAAAACATAAATATTTAATTTAATTTTGACATAAAATCTTATATTTATTATTGTATAAGTAAAATAAGATAAAAAATTCAATATGATTATTTTCTTTTTTAAGAAATAATACTATAATAAAGTAAAATTAGTCTTATTACAGTTCTTGAGAATACTAATAAATAATAAACCTAAATAAATGTATTCAATAAATGGGCAAATGTATAAGCAATTTTTGTTTAATATAGTATTACATAATAAATGCAGTATAGAAATTTGATTTGAAATTTATAATAATCTTATTTTAAATTGTTAATGGCGATATCAAATTCATCGTAGAAATCATCTATGTTTTTGCTGAAGAAAAAATTCATATGGTTGTAGCCTTGCATCACTGTCAACTTCGAATTCTTAATTTCCTCGTGAACAATCATCACGTCCTTTAAAAAAAAGAATTAAAATATAACAAATTGTAATAAGGTTCGAAAAAAAAAAATACAAAAAAATAAACTTACAGTTAAATTAGCCAGAGCGTCGTTTTTACCAGCAATCAAATGCACCGGTACATTTATCATCGAAAGGTCGTAAACTTTAGGACTTCCAAGACCATGGTTGTACGCTTCAAATTTCCCGCTTGACGCCATTTGCGCAAACTGCTTAAGCGGTAACGTGGATTCACTGCTCATCAAATACCTAAAGAAGATCGGCATATATTCCTAAAAATGTATTATTATTTCATGAACATTTATTTGAATAAGTATTTAGTTTCAATTACTGCAGTGTAGAGGTTAGTTGGTCCGTATATGTAATTACTTAAATTGGCCAAATTCTTCATAAGAGAACCGAAGTTTTGCAAAATTGCAGTTAACAAATTGTTACTGGAACCGGTGTGATCAATTTGCAATACATCCAGTATTTTCTGAAAATATAAAAATATAATTACTTGGAAATTGATATTTTAGATTTTGGATTGAATTACGACGAAATTGATTAAAAGCTTGTTGGTAGAATTCATTTTAGCGACTGGGCATATGAGAATTAGTCCCTTCAAGTTACGTTTGGCTTCATCTCTATGCGTGATGGAGTAGATCATGGCTTCAGTTGTTCCCTGCGAGTGTCCAACGTAAATTATTTCACCTCGTTTGTTGGTCTCTTTGATTATGGTATCGAAGACAGCCGGCAAATCGTAGTTTCCCATATCGTCTATACTGCAAAAAAAAAAAATTAGTATTGATGAAATAGTTAGTAATATAGCTTTAACATGGTAAATTAATGGTACAAAAATAATAATTACGTATAGTTCCAATATTGTTTATCTGTTTTATGATTGCGTTCATCCGAATTATAGTTTCCTCTGGTGTTGCCCAACCATACGTCGTACCCTTTCCTGGCCAATCTAAATGCTGAAAATGAAAAACTATACGTTAAACATCAATTTTAATCACATGTTTAATCTTACCTAAAGAATTATTTCCGGTGTAAACCCACCACTCGGAACTTGCTGCAGCGCCGTGCTGCAAGAATACAGGTTGTCCGGATGGATTTGGTATCCTGTATACATTCAAAATGTATCCATCCTTTGTATAAACTGTATGATTTTCCACAGGAAAACCATGTCTGTCTATGATCGCACTCTGCAAATCAAACAATTAATTTTAAAAAAAGTTTAAAAAGTATTAAATTTCATTTATTTACTGTGTCCGAAAAAACGTCAGGGTTATCTTCGCATGTGGTGATTAAGTTGTATTCTTCATATTCTTTGCAACGTTTCCCTCTGAGACCGTAAGCAAAAGAGATTTGAATGAAGACGATGAATAAAAGTAACTTCATTTTGAGACGTCTATTCGACTATTGTTCATATTTTTCATATATATATATAGGCCTAAGCGATATGATAAGCTTTTAAGGTCATTTCGTAAAAATTTCATAAATAATTGCAACTGATTACTAATCAATATGCGCATTTTGTTTTGAAGTTTAAGCATTTTAAGTCTTAATTGATAATTTCCATGTTTTTTTACTTTTTAAATTGGAAACATGGAAATTCGTCATTACATTCTTACACAATAAATAATTATTGGCTTAAATTTCACTGAGAAGGACACACGTGTTGAAAGAGGGTAAATTTGGCTACAATTTCTATTTGTTTTAATTTCACAATTTTAACTCAATTCTACTAAAAAAATGTCCTCAAAATTAAGTAATTATTTTGTAACAAAATTATATTTACTCATCTTTCGTAATGATTAACCCGAAATGTTGACTGAATTAATAAATTTAAAATATAAAACAAAAAATGTTTATCAAGAGATTATTTATTTCTTAATAGAACAATTACACCAATCTTGTATTAACAACATTTTGCAATATTTTTATTTATTGTCACTGATTTTTAAAAAATAAAATATAAAAATGTTATAATTAAATAATTATTTCGAAAAAAAAAAAAGTATATTTAATCTTCTTTAGCAATTATTAACAGAAAATGTTGCCTGAATGAATAAATTTAAAAAGATAAAACAAAAATATTTTTCAAGTGATTTAAAACAATTGTTTTTTTTTATGGTCCATTGACCAACCTTCATGTAGGTTTATTAACACATGCACATAATACACGTACACACACGCACAGTTTAGGTGAGCTTCTATACTGTGTTGATATTTCCTGCTGCTTTTTGAGATCTCCTCTCTCACACTCTGGATACCTTAAGGCAGTGATCCCCAACCCCGGTCCGTCCGGGCCGCACAAACCTCTCGTTGCAAAAGACAAGCTCACGGTTCTCATTGACTTAGTCAAAATGTTAAGTCACGTCCCCATTCAGCGAGCCGCGGTATAATTATCAAACGTTGACCAGTCCGCGGCGATAAAAAGTTTGGGGAATACAGCCTTAAGGAACACCAGCAGAAATTTGGTCTTCAGTAATTTTGACTTGATAGTGCCTTCTGAATGAATAATACACATGCGGAAGGAACTTTTTAATTTTATACAGCTGTCCGTCATGCCAAAACCTATCGAAAGCTTGGGATATGTCAAGGAAGGCAGCAGAGTAATACTTCTGTACTTCGAGACTCTTGTTGATTTCTTCTATTCGATGCACCTGGTGTACCGTGCCATGCTGTTTTCGAAAGCCGAACTGATGATCTGATATTATGTTATTTTCCTGTATCCAAGGTAAGAACTCCGCAGTAAGAACAATTTAGACAGTACTGGTAAAAAGCTTATAGGTCTATATGAGGTAGACAGTTCTGGTGGCTTTGAGATAAGGATGATTTCTAGTTCGATGAAAAGCAGCCAAGTCTAAGGATGGTATTGAAAATCAGTGTAAGTACATTTAGACCAGTAAATGACAGTTGTCTCAGGACTTCAGTCGTTATTAAACCGTAGCCAGGAGATTTTCTTGGTTTTAATCCTCGCTGAATCATTGTTTCGACTTGTTTCACTTTGAAGTTTTATAGGAAGCTACATTTGGTATGGGATTGCGAAAATGGTTTGGCAAGTACTGAAGGAAACGGTTAGAAAACGCTGCCTAGATGTTCAACAAAGAATTTAGCTTTCTTCATGTCGATTTTGGTTCAACTACCATCAAGTTTACGAATCGGCGACACACTTTGTGCAGAGTAAATAATAAGTGGATTCGATTGGAGTCAAGTTACTGAGGTTGTTAATGACTTCATTTTTCTAGTTTTCTAGTAATGTCTTCAGTCGTCGATCTATTTAGTAATCTTTTATTAGAAGAATCACGGGTAAGTTGCCAGTTTTTCTTCAGCTTTCGTTTGCTCTTTTTTATTATAACTGAACATTTGTAAGTTGTTTCAGTTGCAAACGAGGCAGGTTTTGGAATCCAGGTTTGTTAATTGAAACCATAAAAATCCATTAAAATAATTACGATAAATTACAAAACTACTATAATTCGTAATTTTTTTATTGTCACAATTTTAATGTATTTTTTTTAGTAAAAAAATGTTAAAATTAAGTAATTATTTTTTAAGAAAAGTGAATTTACTATTTCTTTTCTTAACTAACCCCGAATGTTTATTGAAATAATAAATTGAAAATTTAAAATATTAAAGTGTTTTTTTTTATTAGAAACATAAAATAGTTTTTAACATAAAACCTGAAGGCTGAATCAGAATGGAAAGTTTCCAGAAAATAAAATATAAAAATCAAAAATCATGTAATAAAACTATAAATTATGTATTTATAAAGTTTCACATTTCATAATATTTGGTAATATAATCTTAGGCAGTTATCAACTTTATTGCGTTCTAAATATTTCCATTAGATTTAAAATGCAAAGCATATTAGCAAATCATTACTGCTAGTTAATTTTCACTTACCTGTTTTCAAGGTGAAATAAATTAAAATATTAGAAATACTCGTTGAAACTGAGATCATTTCTCGTAAATTATTTTCCAAAGATGAATTGGAAATCATTTTAACATTTACGTTTTTTTTTTCTTAGCAAAAACTTCAATTTCAATTTGATTTTTTTTTTTAATTTTTTAATGATTATGGAAATGCTTTAAATGTTTGTATAAAAGCTTACTTATATAATAATAACAGTATTTAAGTGGACAGAAACAAAATCAATTAAATTGAACGTGAGTACAATTGTTATAAATGATCGAACTTTTATGCATGAATTCGTAGTTAGTATTCGTAGTCAGTCTTCCGTGATACTTGTTTGAAAAAGAAGACATTTGATAAACTTTAAATTAAGAAATTTGTTTGAAATTAATTTATTAATTGAGAAACAAACAGTAATTATTTACAAGAGGCAACCAAACCGAAGAAGTGAGTTATATAAAAAGAACATTTTCTCGTATTAAGTTTAATTATAATTAAGATTTTTAAGAAATCTGGACAAATTACACGCAAATATTTAACTTGTGGCATTCTGTGAAAATAAAAAAATAATTATAAGTAAAGTTGGTTGACTACGTTATAACATTTGAAATATTTTCTAATTAGCAAATATGTAGAAATATTGATGTTTTAAGTCAGCAATTATTTATAAAAGTGTATAATTACTCAATCAGATAATTATTGATTAATTTTGAAAAATATTATATTTTTTTAGCAATGATGTTAATTTATATTCTTACAATACTTTTAATTACAAAGATTGGGATATGCGTTGAAAATAACGTTTGCACAACAGTGGAAGGATATTCAATGAAAGAAAACAATAATTTGTGCAAATATAATCCAGATGTGTTTTCAAATACGGTAATTGTTGTGGATTTGTGCAAATTTCTTATTAAAATTTTATCTTTAAAGTGGGATATGGTGCAACGACACGGTTATCCTATTGAGAAGCACAATACTGTTACAAAAGATGGGTATATACTAACAATATACAGAATACCACATGGTAAAGAACGCAGTTTCGGTGGACAACCTGTGTACTTGCTGCATGGGACTTTGTCGAGTTCAGAAATGTGGGTGAATATAGGAAACAAGTCTTTAGGTAAGTTAGAAAAATTTTCAGAATATAGAAAATTTAGTATTTGTATAATTTTAGCTTTTAAATTGGCTGATCGTGGATACGATGTATGGATTGGAGATGCTAGAGGAAATTTCAATTCTTTGGGACATATTAAACATGATATTGACAGTAATGAATATTGGAACTACACGTAATTAATTCAATTTAGTTTTGATTTCCCATTGAAATTTTGTTTTTAGATTGGATGATCTAGCTTATTACGATATGCCAGCAGTATTGAATTATATAAGCAATGAAACCGGGAAAGGCGGTGAGATCATTCATTTGGGTCATTCTCAAGGATCGTTGGTGGCTCTGATGTACGCATCTCGTCTTCCATCTCATGCTAAATCTCATTTGAAAGGTCTCGTACTTATTGGACCTGTAACATATATTAGACCAGTTTCCAACTTAATCACCAAAATGGTAATAATTATATAATATAATAAGTTTTTATTTCATGATAATTTACAGTATTCAGTATTAACATCATTGATTCCTTACGTTGGTGATCGAAGCAACGCTATAACACGATTTTGCACTATGAATTCCTACTTCTTCAATATATGTATTAAAATATTGGATTTAAGCTGTGGATCAACGAAAGATACTTACGTCTTGGTACTATAAAGCTCATTTTAAATTTATTGTTATTACATGTGAAATTTTCAGGAGGATATGCCAATTTTCTTCAGCTATTGTCTCTATCAGGAATCAACGAAACCTATTAACCATATCGCACAGCTAGGAAATTCGCAGAGGTGTCAGATGTACGATTATGGACCAAAAGGAAATCTTGAGGTGTATCAATCTGATTATCCTCCTGAGTATAACATTTCACGCATAAATATACCCACTTATCTTTTCGTAGGCGAAAATGATACAATTGCTTCTCCAAAGGTAAATAGTTCAAAATGGTTAAAATGTGTTTAATATTTATTATATTTTTTGCATCAAGCATGGAGAGTTCATTTACAGAAACCTGACTATCCAAGAAAAAGGTTTATTCGTTTTGAAGGGCTTCAATCACGTGAGCTTATTTTACTCGAAATATTTGGAAACTGAGTTTCACCGAAAGTTGTTTAATCTGTTACATAATAAATTATTGTCTATTTCCTATTTGCATAGTGTTTTTATTTTTACTAATTATTAACTTATTATTTTGAACAACCTTTCAACATTAAAGTATCGACGTTCAGAAGATTAAAATGTAGTCGATATATTTTTGTTGGTTTACCTGCTGTTAGCTTGCTTTACTAAAAATATTTAAACACTGAATTCATTTGAATGTTGTTCAATTCATTAGATAATTATCATCAATTTCTTATTTGCATTGCGTTGTGCATGTTTCAACTTTAAAATATTGAAGTTTAAAATAAGTTTAGTAAAGAGTTTGTTTGTTGGTTTAGCTTCATAAAACCGATGATCCAAAACAATGATTTGTATTTAGGTATGAATTTGTATTATTTTTACTAAGAAGATTTGGAAACTGAGTTCTTCGCAAAGTTGTTCAATCATTAGATAATAAATTATCGTCAATTTCCAATTTGTACAGTATTTTTACTAATTATTACTTTTTTATTTTGACCAATGTTTCAAATTTAAAGTATTGAAGTTCAATAGGTTAAAATAAGTTTAGTAAAAGGTTTTTTTTTTGGTTTAGTTTCATAAATCTGACGATTTAAGAAAATAATTTGTATTAAGGCATCAATCTCTATTTTTCTTTACTAAAAAGACTTGGAAACTGAGTTCTTCTCCAAATTGTTCAATTATTAGATAATAAATTATCGTCAATTTCCAATTTGTTTTGTGTTTTTATTTTTAATAATTATTACCTTTTTATTTTGAAAAATGTTTCAACTTTAAAGTATTGAATTTTAATAGGTTGAAATAAGTTTAGTAAATAGTTCTTTTGTTGGTTTAGCTCCATCAATCTAATGATCCAAAAAAATAATTTGTATTTGGGATTGAATTTGTATTTTTTTTACTAAAAAGATTTGGAAACTGAGTTCCTCAAAAAGTTGATAATAAATTATCATCTGTTTCTTACTTGTATTGTGTTTTTTATTTACTAATTATTACGTTTTTATTTTGAATAACGTTTCAACCTTAAAGTATTAAAGTTCTAACGGTTAAAAATTAAAAGTTTACAAATAGTTTTTTTTGTTGTTTTTATCATGTTTCATATCCAAAGTTTTCAACTTTCAATAAGTTGTTGCGATTCCAAAGGTGAAAAATTCGAAAGGTTAAAATAAGTTTAAGAATTTGTTGTTTATTTAATCATGATTTACTGAAACCCTCGAAAAGTTGAAATAATTTAAAGAATTATGTACATTTTTCTTTTAAGCACGTTTCGCAAATGCTTGTACGTGAATAAACCTTGAAATTTTAGTTAATAATTTATTATCTGTTTACTACTTGTTATGGAATATTCAATGTTTCTGTTCTTTTTAATTGGAACAACTAATTATCTATGTTAATCCTACTGTGAACGGTTTTAATAGAAATAAGTATATATATATATAGTGATAGCATACGGTTATTTAAAGTGTAAGTACGTTGGAATAGGCTGAATCATTTCGTGGTAAAATGTTGTTTAAAATACTGGGATTAATGTTGATGATCGCCAATTTTGGCATGACCCAAATTTGTTTCCAAACAAAGAATAACGTTTGCAAAACCGCCAGAGGATATTCCAACAAATGCGATAACAATACTTGTTACTACAATCCGGATGTTTTATCCACTACAGTAATTCAAGTTACAAATTATGTAAACAGAATTAATATGTTGTTTTTTAGGTGGATATGGCAAAAAGACATGGTTATGACATAGTAAAACATGAGGTAATTACCAAAGATGGATACATATTGGGGATATACAGAATATCTTGTGTTCATCATACAAACGTTGGTAAACAGCAACCGGTGTACTTATTGCATGGAGCTTTATCAAGTTCGGACGCTTGGGTAAATTTGGGTAGAAAATCTTTAGGTAATTAAACATAGAAAATCAATAATAAAATTAACTGAAGAAATTTAATGTTTAGGTTTCAAATTGGCTGATAAAGGTTACGACGTTTGGCTGGGAAATACAAGAGGAAACTTCCACTCGCCGGGGCACATCAAATACAACCTTAAAGATAACGCCTTTTGGAATTACACGTAAACCATCAAATAATTAAGATTTGCTTTTGACTAATTTTTAATTTACAGTTTAGACGATATGGGGAATTATGATATGCCCGCTGCTATGGATTACATTAAACAAGAAACTAACAAGCAGATTGTCCACATCGGTCATTCTCAAGGTTCGCTACAAGCTTTGATGTATGCAGTTCGTCATCATTCGGAGGCAAAATTAAATTTGAAAGGTCTCATCTTGTTGGCACCTGTAACATTCATTCCTTACGTGAATGATTTAACTTTAGCGTTGGTACGTTTAACAGTTTTGTTAAATTGTGTTTAATCCACATTAATTGTTGCAGTTTAAATTGGCTTCAAGTCTAATTAAGAAGGTTGCAATTCGAACCAATATTGTGACAAAAATATGCACATCTACCAAAACAATGCTTCAAATTTGCAACATGTTTACAGATTTAATGTATGGACCTAATAATAATACTTATGTGATGGTAAATTAATTAGTTTATTATAAATATGTAATTAATTGGGTTTAATTTTAGGAGGAAATGCCTCTGTTTTATAGTTACATGTATAATCGAGAGTCTATGAAACCTTTGTATCAAGTGAGTCAACAAGGAAACGCTCAGAGGTTTCAGAGTTTCGATTATGATATAAAAAATAAATTTATTTATCACTCAGAGAAACCACCTTCTTATGAAATAAACAAGATACAAGTTCCGACTTATCTTTTTGTTGGTACCAACGATAAAATTACAACAGTCGAAGTAAATCAATCAATAATATATAATTATTTATGCCAGTGTTGTTAATAATTCAATTTTAGAGAGCTCAATGGATTTATGGAAACTTAACTGTTTCTGAAAAAGAAATTCACGTTTTGAACAATTTCAATCACATGAGTTACTTCTTTTCCAAGGACGTGGAGGGCGAATTGCATTCCAAAATATTTAATATTTTAGAAAATAAACTAGTTGATTTTTAATTTAACTAGCAGTTTTGTCCATAAAATTACAATTTATTGATGACAATTATAACGATTTAACACATTTCAATACATATCTGAAATAATTAAGTGATTGAAATGGAAAATCAAATTTAGTTTTAACCAACTTTAATTAAAGAAATACCTCGTAAAGTGCGGCATGGATCAGTCCGGTTTCAAAATTTCAAAATAGACTTAAAAGTTCTCAAATAGTGCGGTATATTGGCAAATTATTAATATATAATAATATTAAAGCGTTTTAAAGTTTTTTTTAATGTTTCTCATTAACTACTACTGTACTAATTTGTGCCCTCGTTTGAAATGTATAGATAAAACAAATAAAATGTGGCGATTGCAAACGAGAATACAAGTAACGAACTAATTACTATTTTTTGTACAATTAGTAATAACAATTAGTTTTTGTTATTAATGTAATTGAACATTATTAAATATTAGTGTTAATTTAGGTTATACATATGAAAATAACAAGTAATTTAATAAATGTAATTATTTTTATTATCTGTACATTACTTCATTTTACATATCAAATTTTGCTTATATAGGGTAGCCGATCTGGTACGCCCGTTTTAAATTTCCTTCTATTTTTGACTTCTAATGTTTAACATTTGTCATCTGCTGTTATTGAAGTTATTAAAAATTAGTTTTTTTGAAAAAATAAGTAGAAATGTTTCAAAACATAAGCAGAAATGTCGAATCTGGGCCAATGAAAATCATAGCTCTAGGAACACATAACGATGAACCCATAAGGAGTCAATGTTTGGTGCGGATTATGGGCTGAAGGAGTAGTTGGACCGTTCTTTTTTGAGGTATCAATTGGACAAAATGGACCTCAATGAAATGTGGTTTCAACAGGATGGTGCCACATGCTATAATACAAGAGAAATAATCGATTTGTTAAGATCATGTGATTTCCATATGCGAATGCGGATGTTAATTAGTCGCCCAGATCTTGTGACTTGACCTCATGCGATTTTTCCTTTGGAGTTTTGTAAAGTCCAAGGTCTATACTAACAAACAATTCCTGAAGTGAAAATAGAGATCCAATGCGTTATTTCTGAAATTGAGCCAACTGCCTTGCAAAAAGTCTTCGAAAATTTTATTAAAAGGATCAGGGTATAAAAGCACAGTCGAGGCGGTTATTCGGGCAACTTAGTATTCTATAATTAATCTCAACATGTCTACTTTATAAATCAATAAAAACATTTCCAATTAAATACTAATTTACTGTGTTTCATTTCAAAATATAATCCGGCGTATCCGATGGGTCACCCTATATATAATTTACGTCATAATAAAAACTTTTAGCTGCATTTTTTAAAATCTACTATTTATTTGTGAAATGTAATAATTTGTCTCAGTATCTACAAGATACAGTGCTTTGAATAGTAGTAACAAATAATAATGACCTGGAACCAGATTGAGAGAATAAAATGAAATTAGTTCGCAATTTATTTGTGAATACAATTGGGCGCCAAGTTTTTGTAAAAATAATAATATTTAGGAATCTTAACTGATCGAGAGAAATAAGAAAATGAAATTAGTCTGAAATTTATTTGTGAAATGTAATAATGTTGTTGCCCCACGTTGATCGTGGATTTTGTAAAGTGATTATATAGGGTAACAACACATCCAATAAATGCCCTTCTCGGTTTTACTGGAACAACAACTGCAAGTGAATGGTGAGTTTAAAAAAAAAGACGATACCGTTTATCATTTTATTGGATATGATAGCCCACTTTTATAGTATCTTAATTGATACCATCCAATTAAGATACTATAAAACTGGGATCTCGAAGACATGTGGTTTTAACAGGAACCACACATCACGTGAAATACTTATTGGCATTATTGCACGAGAAAATTTCCGGTCAACCAGAATTGTGTGTCCATATCGTTATTGAACTTCTTTCTCTGGGTTTTTTTGAAGCCAAAAGTTCATGTTAACAAGCCCACAGTGGATGACTTTGAAGGAGAAAATTAGACGCTGAATCGCTGAAATACAGCCCCAGATATGCAAAAATGTGGTTGCAAATTTCATCAAAAGAACGCAGTTGTACCAGCAGTGTTGTTACAAACATAACTTCCATATGTCTACTTTACATCTTAAATCAAAGTTTCGATTTTTTCTCAAAAAAAAAGTGTTTTTTACACTATATAATATTTGATTAGATATCTACCTCATAGCATATAGTTCTCGAAGAGTACAATAAGAACTCTTTGTTTAACACTATTTTCAAAAACTATTTCTTTTTTAAGTAGTTTTACATTTGGGTAAATAATTAAAGCTTTTCCAATGGGTAATGGGTATGATGCAAGCAGTGAGTCATAACATTTAAAACTTGCAGATGAATGATGCGACGTGGAAGTTGGTTAGGCGGATCCATTTATTCAGTAATTAGTTCAATCAATTGGAATTCACGGCTTTAGGGCTGCATTAAATTGCGTGGGCGTATAGATGTGTATGTGTGTGAGTTTTGTGTGTGCACGTCAACGACGAGGATGTGGAACATTTTGCAGGAAGGCAAAGTTTCGTTAAATTCCTGGTGTAAAATTTAATGGGCGCAATATCTGCGGCTTCCGAATAGATTCAAAACGTCCGCGCAGTAAATTAACAAAAACATTTTGGTCACTTTTATTCGGGTGTCCAGTGTCTGCTAACTAAGGGCTGGAGAGAGGATAAAACCGGAGGACTGTTATGGTCGTAGTTTTGGACTCAACGGACGCTCGGTCCTCTTTTTAAAAACTATATAGTCTCTTCGCATTTAATTGTAAACAATCCAAAACCAGCTTTGCGGCTTTACAATATCCTGCAACAACCGGCCATAATAATTGTACCGCACCTTCTCTTCATCCTCTTCCGCAACCTCCTTCTGCCATCCACCGAATCCTGCAAATATTGTAGCTATTATGTAAAATTAGATTCTCTTCCTTTCTCGTTCCCAGCCACACGCTGCCGAATGATCGGGCTTAATTATCCCATAAAAACTTTCCCTTCCAGCATCAAAACTTTATTTTACTGCACAAACATTTAAATCCTTCTATTATTTCCTTGAAGACTTCATGTCAACCTCAATCTAATTAGTAAATTGCATCGCATTTTAATTGTGAAAAAAAAAAACAAATTAATTTCAACTTATTTTATGATACTTTCATTTTCAGAAACTTTACGATTTTTGACAAAATAAATCAATAATTACTGCAAATTCATTTTATAATTATGTTGAATGAAATACTTTCAATTAAAAGTTAATTAATATTAAAAATATATAGATTTTTGTATAATTTTATGAATAATTATTGACTGGACGTAAAGTATATTATTTATTAGAAAATTTTAAGAAAGTTGTTAATAAACAAATCTGAATTATTTTATTAAATTTACAAAATTTCTGTGTTCGAGTTTATTGTAAGAAGTCGATTAAAGGATAAGAGAAACGAGAAACCGATATCAAGAAAAAATAAATAAGGGTTCGATAATTGGGTTGCTGTTTTAATGCGAAGTATTAGAGGATCGAGTGGAGTTAACAAGCCTGAAAATGGCGTCGGACAGTGCGAGGGAGGGTGGATTATTTCTATGCCGAAGATTGATGGTTAGTAATTAGATTCCATGGAGGAAATCCATACAAAACCTATGTCTTCTTTTTTTATTATCAGTTGATGTGCTTGTGTGTATCGTCGGTATGATGTGAACCGCAGTGTGAAATGTTCCTTGAACCATTGTGTCTACTTCCCATCGAGAGAGGGACAAGGGTTGGTTACTCTGTATGTGGGTTTGCTTGTCTCTCAGTACGTTACGCTTACATCCAGTTGTTTGCGTACTATTCAATAGCTTTGGATTGTGGTTAATCACAGTGGCGTTCGCCGCTAATTACTTAATATTGTAACAGTCTGTTGTTGGGTTACACACGGCGACAGTGACTAATTACACGAAACTTTATTAAATCAAACTAATTAAACACCTACGACAAACCACAGATTCAAAAAAAAAGTTTGTTCTCAGTTTACGTACTTACTATGTAAACAACTTGCTGCAGCTTAAGCAAAATCAATCTTATACAAACGGTTAATATAAGTATTTAATTCTTATTATTAAATAATTGTTACTCTGTTCGCAAGAACATACCTAAGAACAATTGACAATGGTTTGTGGGAATATAGACAGTGTTCATATAATTGTATAATTAGTAAGTAAGTAAATTTCTGTTAGTTAAACAGAGATAAGTCATTTTATATTTTGTTCGTAATGTTAATATGTATGTATAATTGGTAAATAGATAAGTTAAAATAAACGATACATTTTAATATAAAGAATTAAAATGAATGGTTTTCAACACATATGTGTCTGAAGACCATCATGAATTTTAATATAAATTGACAACATTGTTCAATTTGTTCCCAAGAACGTAATTAACGTTCATGTTAACATACAATGTGTAAATAAATAGTTTGTAAGTTAGATCAATAATTTGGTACATTTTCATATAAATGGAAATCATAAAAAATAGTAATTGAAAACAGTAAATTTACTTAAATGTTATCATTTTTTTGGTATGACACATTCTTCGTAATAACGTACTCGATATTCATACAAACGTACAATATGTAAATATAACATTAAGTTACACAGATGTACTTTAATAAATCGATGAATGTTCGCATAAACATACAACGTTTTATCATATATGTTTGCTATTTTCTTCAATATTGATGTCAATTTTATTGTAAAACTGGAATATAAGTATAACAGGTTCATATAAACGTACATTTAGTTAAACAGGTGTACGTTAACTAACCAATCCATGAATTTTCAAATACATTTAGTATTTTTTGGAAAACATATGTCACTTTATTCATACAAACGTACGTTAAAATATAAAACATAAAAGACACATGTCTTCTTTTTTCCTTCTGATATTCGATGTCCATATGAAAGTACAATTTGAAAATAAATAGTCTATAGCTAATATATAGATATTCGTTAATAGATCGGTGAATTAACATATAAATTAAC